GACAAGCTTAGCTGGTTGACGGGAAACAGACGACATGTAGTGGGAAGTCTATAAACAGGTTTGCACCATTGCCCCACAGGGATTGCAGAAAGGGTTCGTCGGGGTCACCATGATAAAGATTATATGATATGAAATGAAATGGTATGATTTGATTTGATATGATATGATGATGATCATCATGATGATGATTATGGTGATGCTGATGATCTTGATGACGATCGTGATCATGTCGCATTCAGTTGGCTTCCGGCACGGTCAAACGTAGGGTTTGCAGCGTTGATCTTTTATTGGAGATGTTTAGCGCCCCAATATATGCATCTTGGTTCATGGGCAAAACATATTTTACGTTGCCGGGTCAAATATATCAGTATAGTCACGCACACCCAAGTTTTGATTTTTGAACACCCTTTGAATGATGTCTATGCCCTTTTGGCAAACAGAAAAACCTCCTTGAGACAACCTGAGATAGGAGAAGTGGTGGTTTAGGGGAAAATGGAGGCAGCGAATAAGAAGGACACATAGGAGGCCGTGATATTCAACACAAATGGCTGGGAACTTTGTTTGCCCAATCCCGCGCCACCGCCCCAGGTACACACTTTACGAGATTACGTTCGCAGGCGCTGCAGAACACAGCGGTTTTTTTAATGGATTTTTTGCGATGCTATGCCACACATTTCGCATATTTTCGTTGGTTTGTTTTTATCGGCAAACCATGGTAACATCACCTTTTTTGAATGGTTAAACAGTTAAGCTGTGTGGGTTTCTGCGGTGGTGGGGACATTCCCGGGCAACCTGGCGCTGTCATACTCATAGTTTTCGAAGTCCACCTTGCAACAGGGAAAGCAAAGTAAAGTAGTGCCCATTTGTGGAAGTCATTGGGGCTTCACGGTTTTCAATCATGCGTTTGCGATTCTCGGAAACAGTCAATGAGGCACATGGGTTTGAAAAATTGTCCATTGCTATTGTTCGGAAATGTTCACACAGCGCATGAGAAAAAAATCGTTCGTATCTGTGGATGGTTTTGTGGACAGCTGTTTACATTCCGGGAACAACGATCAAATGGCATATCTCCAACAACGTTTTTCGCTACTACACAGAAACTGACAATACCTCCGTTCAGCGAAAACGTAACAATTACCCCATGCTTCCTTGCAAAACATATAGCTGCGCTTTTCAACAGGAAGAAATTTACAATTAATATAACATGTAGTGTTCACATTCTACACATCCAAAGTTCTACCACAGTGGAATGAACTCTTTTTGGAATTCCTGCAGGCAATTGGCCTACAATGGCTCGTCCAGTCCTCGACAAGGTGGGAATTTGATCTCGGCATCGCCGGGTTGATGGTTTTGACATCGGCATCGGGATAGCAAATGCGGATCATGTGGGACTGGCACAATGATTATCTTGTGAAGACCGATTGAAAACACTAGATGTGTAAAGGAAAACAGGTTGGCATCAACATGTTTGTCAGCTTTTGAACATTTTATTGCACACAACAACTAAGGCATTGGTCCGTCATGAATATTGAAATCACAAATCCAAGTCCTTGATGTGTTTTTGATGGTTTTGTTTTGTTCGCACAACCACAAGAAAGGCCCGCAAAGACGTGGAACATTAACGACGTTTGACACACATGGGTGGCAAATGAAACGCATGAGTTGCAAAATCATATTAAGGGAAATATCTACAATGACAATTGCGACATGTCATTGGCATCTTCCAGGCCATACAATGGAAATTCGTTGTGTTTAGTTGGAGGATGTATACATAGGTCCCAGTATAGGTCTTACAGGTCAGTTGGGTACCAACACTGTAGGTGCTTCAATATGCTTCAATGCGTTCCTCTATATGGCACTATACGGCTACTTTTGGATGACCGCCTCACTAATCTCCATTGATTGTTTGCATTTTGTAGAGTTTGCTTCCAGCCATAGCATTAATGACGAATGATGATCCACCACGAATGCATCGGAGACCCCAAAGCACATAAAATCCAGCAGGTCAGCCGCTGTTGACTAACGCAGGTGAGCCACGGCTTTGTGATTTTCTTCGTGCTTTATATCACGGTCATCGTCTTCGCGCTGATAAGAGCCCCTTTCCCGCACCGAAAGTTGCTGTTTGTTTATCCGAAGGTACCTGGCTTCGTCATGTTTGCCAACCACCAGGCGCAACAATTATTGGTATTCGTAAGGGGATGTAATGACTTTTGGATCAACCAGTGTCAGTTATTTGCGAGTTTCAATCAGTATCCGTTTCGTAGCCTTCGGCATTCTGCCGGCCATGGTGCTTGCTCCTGGGGCGCCTGGGGCATGAAAAAAACAATTACTTTACTTCGTGTGATCCCCACCATGACATTTATACATTTTGTTACTGGCTCATCTTCTGGCATTCTATCTGACATATCTTCTGGTATTCTATCTGGCATTCTATCTGGCATATCTTCTGGCATTCTATCTGGCATATCCTCTGGCATTCTACCTGGCATATCTTCTGGTATATGTTCTGGCATATCTTCTGGCATTCTATCTGGCAAATGTTCTGGCAAACATTCTGGCACTTTATCTGGCATAACTTCTGGCATTCTATCTGACATTCTATCTGGCATACCTTCTGGCATTCTATCTGGCATATCTTCTGGCATTCTATCTGGCATATCTTCTGGCATTTTATCTGGTATATCTTCTGGCATTCTATCTGACATGCTATCCGGCGTTCTATCTGGCATATCTTCTGGCATTCTATCTGGCCGTTGAGGTCCAGCGGTGCGCACTGAGCTCGGCAGGTCCCAGGTTGAGGTCCAGCGGTGCGCACTGAGCTCGGCAGGTCCCAGGTTGAGGTCCAGCGGTGCGCACTGAGCTAGGAAGGTCCCAGGTTGAGGTCCAGCAGTGCTCACTGAGCTCTGAAGTTGGCGAAGAGCTTGGCCAAGCAAGAGCTGGCAAGGCAACAGTGGACGTGAAAGTGGAGGCAGAGGTGGTAGAAGAGGAGGAGGACGCGGAGGAGGAGGAGGATGAGGAGAACAGCTCTGATAAAATCTAACAACCCTCACCTGGCAGGTGGGGAATAAGTCAGAGGCTAGGTGATGTAAAAGCCACTTGGTGTAAATAAAAGCCACTTGGAGTAAATCCTAGTTTGTTGAAAGCTGGTTGGTGAAAAACTACATTGCGCGCATCTAGTTTGAAGAAAACCAGGGTTGTGCAAGAGCTAGTTGGTGTAGACGCTATTCTGTGCAAAATCTGGCTGGTGAAAAAATAAACGGTGTGACAGCTAGTTTGAACAAAACCGGGGTTGTGTGAGAGCTAGTTTCGGTGTAAAGTGTAAAAGTTTGTTTGTGTAAAAACTAGTTTGTGTAACAGCTAGTTCGTGCCAGCGGTGGGAAAAGCGCGCCAGTAGTCGTGCACGTTTCTGAAAACACGCATATGCTCCGGCACGTCTTGGGTTAGGGCTAATGTGCATGTTAATTTATGGTGCACATGCACATGCTACATCACGTCTTGGGTTGGGGGGGTGTTAACGTTCATGTTAACTTGCCGCACATGCAGATGCTACGTCACGTCTTGGGATTGGGGGGTGTTAACGTTCATGTTAACTTGCCGCACATGCACATGCTACGTCACGTCTTGGGTTGGGGGGTCTTAACGCTCATGTCAACCCAAAGCTGATGCGAAGCACCAGGATCTGGCAATGGTGTTGGATGAACTCCAAAGCGAAAAATCTTTTGGAGGTCACTGGTAGCTCTTTGAACAAGCGCATGGCTACGTGAAAGGAGGAATACAGCGCGCGAGTTTTCAACACCAAAGTCCCTGTAAATTGCAGCAGATCATCAAAAATGCTCTTCAAATCCCCGGGGAAATTTAAGCACTTTTTGGGACTGGATCAATAGTTTCGCTTTGGCGAAAACGACATTTTTTCAAAATGCTCACAGCCGCTGGCGTGGGTTTTCCCCCCGACGGGTAGTTTGTGTACCAGGTAGTTGGTGTAAAAAACTAGTTTGTGTAAAAACATGTGAAAACTATAGTGTAAAAACATGTTTTTGTAGGTGGATATCTACAGCACAAGCATAGCTCTATATAGATTTGAAGCAAACACAACGAGAGAAACACGCTTGCGGGCTGGCGGATTTCGAATTGTGGATACTGTATCCTGAATCCTTGTGCGACGGCGCTACTTGCAACTTAAAGCGGTCATCAGAACTGAGGTCATAACCGCTGTGTTTCTCAAAGATACGCTCGATGCAGCCAACAACGACGCTGAGTACTTCGGCCGAAAAAGGATGTTTGGTGTTAACACATCATAGCCCATCTTCCGTGACATGCATAAAATGTAACATCTACCAGTATGACGTGCATTTGGATGTAATATGATGTAATTAATTGTATTCCCAGTTTATGGAATTGATTGGTGTGTTCACAGCGGCATGACCGCGCATCCAACACCCACAAGGTAAGCGATTGCATGCCAAAAATACACAGAGAATGATACAACATGATTTTTGTACCAAAGATAAACATCCTATATACCAAACTGGCCCCACCATTTGCAGACATATCATTCAGTTCGCACCCAGGCTGCGTATGGCTGATGGACTGCGGAAAAAAGCTGAATATGCCACTTGAGCCGAATCTATAGCCGCTTCTGAAGCAATGCACTGATTCCTGAAGTTGGTGATTTCATTTTTCAAATACATGTGTAAGGGGTATATTTGGATACAGCTACTGACTATTGCAACGACACAACGTCCCGACTTGGCTTCTTTTTGGCCCTTGTGATTTGCTGAGATGTATTGGATACTGTATGATTTATGGTTTGATATATGTGAATTATTACTTCGCAGCTGTGTACTTTAAGGATTCTAAGGCCAGGAAGATTCCCACCAGAGTTGTTTTTCAAGTCACAAAGGTCGGCATCAAGTCGTAAGATGTTTTTTTGGCCGGGCATGAAGATGTAGTACGTCATAGTACACCCAAAGCATGACTGTACATGGAAGGGTGACAGGGGTGAAGCACCTCCAGCAACGTGGCCAGAACGGGGATGAACTCCTTGTTGATCCACTGTGATCGCCTAGCGTTTACATTAGGGGTCTTAGGTACAGCGGAACCGTTAGATAAGAACGGATAAAGAATTTCCAGCCTACCCTTGGGTTCTTAAGTGCTATAGGTGGAACATATTATACGGGAATTATGAACGAGGGCACCCTCAAGTTCTTAACGGGTTAGTTCTTAAAGGGGTTCATATGGCATATGGTAAGCGCTCAGCAAATTCGCACTAATTTCCCAACTTAGAATTATGTGGAAATAGCGCCTCCAGAGACAGCTGTGCAAGCAGCGAATCCAAAACAGAGCTTTCTTCCAAAACAGAGGCAGCACGGGCTGAAAAGCACACGCGCCAACACGGGCAGAAAGGGATTTGCTGCTGCGCAGCCATAGAAAAAATAGGGCAAAACGTGAGATAAAAATAGATAAAAGGTTATATTAAAGGTTGGCAGACACCAAGGCCAGAGAGTCAATAGCTCAGTTGCTAGAGCACCAGCCTAGCAAGCAGGAGGTTGGGAGATCGACCTTGCACTATGTGGAACATACATGGTTTCAGCTTTAGCTTTCCTTGATTTCTTTATCCCGCTCATGTTAAGGGGAAGAAGACAGGCATCCATCCAGCCAGGTTTTAAAAAAAATATAAAGGACCGGATAACCCCACATGTCAACTGCTTCCAATAACTGGCAAAAGAAAGGTAAAGATGGGATGGGAAATGCGGGAAAGAGAAAAGAGATGGTGAAGGATTGGCATGTGCAACAAATGTATGTCGACAAGTTGTGTGTGGACAAGTTGTGTGGACAAGTTGTGACAAGTTGTGTGTGGACAAGGTGTGTGTGGGCAAGCGTGCCACTAAAACCAGCCCATTGCGAGAAGTGCCAGAAGTGCCACGCCTGCCACCTGAAACGAAGGTAGATGTCACCAAGTCCCACGCCTGCCACGCAGGATGCACGTCGATGTCGCCAAGTGCCACGCCTGCCACGCAAAGAGCCGCGCCGTCCACGGCGTCATCTGGGAACCAAGCGCGCCACCAGAGCCAGCCCAGTGCCATCAGTGCCACGCCTGCCACACAAAGTGACGATCGATGTCACCAAGTCCCACGCCTGCCACGCAGGATGCACGTCCATGTCGCCGAGGGCCACGCCTGCATCGCAAAAAGCCGCGGCGTCCACGGCGTCAGCTGGGAACCAAGCGCGCCACCAGAGCCAGCCCAGTGCCATTAGTGCCACGCGTGCCACGCAAAGTGAAGGTGGATGTCACCAAGTCCCACGCCTGCCACGCAAAGTGACTGTGGATGTCGCCGTGACAAGTTGTGTGTGACAAGTTGTGTGTGAGCAAGTTGTGTGTGGACAAGTTGTGTGTGGAGAAGTTGTGTGTGAGCAAGTTGTGTGTGTGATCAAGTTGTGTGTGAGCAAGTTGTGTGTGGACAAGCTGTGTGTGAGCAAGTTGTGTGTGGACAAGTTGCGTGTGGGCAAGTTGTAGGAGGAGGAGGAGGCGTGGAGGAGGAGGAGGGCCGGAGGCGGGAGTGCACAACCAAAAGCAAGGACCCCACACAAAGATGCGGGGAACAATATTTAGATCATGTTTGGTATAAATACCAGTTAAAGGGGAATAAAAACCAATGGCTAGAATTCCAGGGTACCCTGGAGTTCTTATTTCGGGTTGAATCCAGCAATCCATCCCCTGGAGGTATTGCAGCAGGTTCTTAGACAGTGGCTTCACAGTAGTCAAACTGGATTGGGGGCCGCACTCGAAACCGACAGCCAACCCTCTATTGATTTTTTGCCCCCTTCTTATGAAGTCACCGCAACGCATACAATCCTGAATCATCAAACGAGAGGATAAATCGTCTGAAGTTCAAATCCTTAAGATGAAGGTTTTTGTTTTTCCTTTTTTAAATAACGTAATAACCCACCAAAAAAAATATGTGAACCAAAGTAAAGTGGTACCTAATTTATCCTGGTTTTCCTTTGGGAGTCTTTGACACAATACCAAAATATGTACATATATATTTTTTTAATTTAATACTTATATATAGGTGTTTATATATATATATATTCATGTATATAGGTGTATATTTACATTTTTATGTGGGTGTACATATATATTTTTTTTTTGGGGGGGGGACCTGGTGGCGTTCCACTCTCTCACTCTCTCTCTCTCTGTATATATATATATATATATACACAGAGAGAGAGAGAGAGAGAGAGAGTGGAACGCCACCAGGTCCCCAAAAATACGTGGTTTTAAGCGTTTTTTGACTATTTTATGCTTCTTAAACGTGGAAAAACGGGGACCTGACAGCGTACCTTTCTGGATATATATATATATATACAGAAAGGTACGCTGTCAGGTCCGCCGTTTTCCACGTTTCTGGAAATGCAGTGTTTTTGCTACATCATGTTCAGTCCTTTATGTTCATATACCTGTGCTGGTATTGCTAGAGATCCACACAGATTGTCAGACTTCCTCAGAGGTTGCCAACGAATGTCCAGAGAGTCATGAAGATTCCCAGGGAAAAGGAAGGAGGAAAAACAAACATAGTGTGTGTGTGTATATATATATATATGGCTTCCCTTAGGGGGAGAGGTGGCCAAGGAAAAAACGGAAAAAACAATCGGGCTTATCCCCTCCCATGGCCCTCCTATGTACATAGCCTCTCCCTGATGGCAGGCTGCCAAAGGTTGCCAAAGAATGTCCAGAGAGTCATGAAGATCCCCTGAGAAAAGGAAGGAGGGAAAACAAACATAGTGTGTGTATACCTTAGGGGAGAGGTGGCCAAGGAAAGGGAGTTTTTTTTTTTTTTAATGAGCTTCCCCCCTCTCCTAGCCCTCCTATATATAGCCCTCCTATATACATTGATGGACTTGCATTTTCCTTGTAGTAGTAGTACTACTGTATGCATCTATGATATGGATGCTACATAAGTACCGCATAGCAATACGTACACACGTTTTCCACATGTACTTTGCATATGTAAAGGAATTCTTCCAGGATTGACTGCAGTAAAGACTCTTTGGTTGCAACTGACTTTGCTCGTAAGAGTTGGCACATGGTAAGGGCAGCTCCAACTTACCCTTTCTCCAAAAGTCTGTTTTTCCTGCATATGTCACAGTAATTTGCTATGCCACTGCATATCTAATCCAGGTACCCTGTTATCATAATTGCTTGGCTGTGCTTTTATAATCTTTTATGGCAGGATGAGTAACACCTAAAAAGAGGTAAGACTGTTTTTAAAACTTGACAGAAAACAGCTATGACACAACACGTTGGACTAGGAACTAGCAGCTCCCAGAATGCATTCATATGGAAAGGGTTCCCTTCTCCATCCTTTTGACCAATACTCACTCTTGTTCTTAATTCTTTGATCTATAAACTGTATGAAAAGTTTCAGGGGTTGTTTGTGCTTTAGTGGGTGAATGGTTTCAACCAGTATGCAAGCGCATTGTCACAAGTGTGCAGTATCAGTATATATACAGTAGAAATGGCAGCTTCGAACATGCACTGATATCTAGATGGTATTTTGTGATAAAAGCATTTTTTTGCAGATACCATAGCCATTTGCTGTGTCAACACATCCAAGCTGCATTTAAACTTAGAATGCAAATATTTTATATATGCATTTTTCTTATATAGTACATACAGTTATGGAATGGGTGGCATATAAGTCACCTATGCCCTTAAAGACACAAGTTTTCTACATTTTTCCTGCATATGCAATGGTATTCTTCCAGGTTTCATTGCAGTAAAAGATCTTTGCTTAAAATATCGATTGATCACAAGAGTTGGCAAATTCCAGGAGCACTTCCATTTCCCCCTTGCTTCAGAAAAGGCGTTTTTACCTGCATATTCCATGGTAATTTGCTGTGTCACTGCAAATATAACAGCAAACATTTTATTACCATAAATGTATTCATGGCTGTGGGCAAAACTTAAACTATGTCAGTATAAGTTCATCATGGTAACTAGAAAGGCACAAGACCAAGGAAAGGAACCACTTAAGCAACTTTACCAAACAACTGTATCTATAGAATGGCTGCCTTGCTTGTGCATTGATGCAGCAAGTTACCATGAAGCATGCCAATAAAATGCAACTACTTGAGGAGGGAGAGTATATTGGAATTTGAACTTTCATTTACTAAAAGAGTTCCACTGGAACTATGATGTCAACCAAAAGGCGACCTGGCAATCCAATATCGAAAACCACCAATGCAAATACAAAGTGCTATGTATATGTATATATATATACTGTCTTTGCAGTAGCTGTATACCTAGGTAGTACCTATATATTAATATATACATGAAGTACCAACTGACACAATGAATCTCTATGTTTCAAGATGTTGTTGGGCAAAGAACTTTGCCATTCATGCACTAAGACTAAGACCACCTATCGAAAAACAATAGAGCTACAAAAAGCAAGCAACCAAGAATAGAGCTAAGGATTAACAAATCAAAAACAGTGCATCTCCCAAGAACTTTGACCTTTCATATATCATCAAAAGAGGAAAAAGAAGCATACAATAGTCAAAAACGCTTAAAACCACGTATTTTTGGGGGACCTGGTGGCGTTCCACTCTCTATATATGTATATATATATATACACACACACATATATATATATATGTACGATAGATAGAGATATATATATATATATTACAAGGGCCCATGTTTGTGAAGCCTGTTTCCTGCAAAAAAAACGGTCCTTTTTTTGGAACTGCTTGATCGTGCTTTTGTTGCGGCTCGGTGCGCAGCAATGCACACAGCCTCAATCAAGCACCTATGGTGGCCATGAATGTGAGGAGGATGTTAGATGTCATGGCGGGGTACCTGAATCGACGAATGTTTGGGTATGTCTTTTGTTGTAGGGTACAAGCCTAGGAGCCACTTGAAAGAATCTTCATAGAGCTTCGCAGTGCAAGTGGCAACAAACACCGATTCAAGCCCATTCACACCCATGTGCATGCTGGGCCGGGTCTTGCCTGCTCTGTTGCCAGCATGAGTTATCCCTCAATCGCCACCGGCCAGATTATCAGGAATTATGTCATGATAGGCTTTCAGAGTGGAAGCTAAAAGAAGATGAGTCACTGAGATGAGCTATCCACAAGAGAGGTGTTAGGACTTAGCAACAATGGTTGCACATAGTTGCACTTCTGGTCATGCCAGGTGGATCACCGGAAAACCCACCAGGAACAGGGGAGGAAGCTTATGTCACGTGTTTGCTAGGGGGGAACATGGAGACCAGGAACAGTCAGGAACACGAGGATGCGGAAACTGCACCAGAATGACAGGGTTCCTGAGAAACGTCGGTGGGAGATAGAATAATATTCTCCAAAAGCAAAATCTCAGGAACGCTGCCAATGTGGTAAAAACGTGATTTTGAATACAAAAGTGCTTCCCATTGTGGTAAAACAGGGATTCTGTGACAGAATCCACAGGGAATGGCCCGAAAAATCCCTCTGGCAGTGTTACTCGTGGTCTCCAGTCCTATTAAACAGGCTTGGACATGTTGGCTGCTAGTTGTGTGTTGGCACGGTACCTCTGAGAGCCAAACCTTTTTCCAGCAGTATGCGTGCAACAACGGACATCACCCGGCACTGGTTCTGGTGCCCCGAAAAATTTGCATTTCTTGCTTCAAACTTGTGGCCCCCCATTGTGTTGCATCTCAATGTCTACTTGCAGGCAGCTGTTGCGCTTCCGAGGGCACAATCCAAGCAAGCTCGCTTAAGCGTAGCGCATCTTGCGCCTTTTTGGCCGCACCAGCCCAAACTCTAGTGGCTTCGGTTGCACCGGCTCAGGACAAGCGGGTAGTTCATGAATTAAGCAAGCCTAGAACGTAACTGCGAAGCCCGGCACCAATGCCATGAAAGGAACGTTGCCACTTCGGCTCTGCGAACCTCAATCAGGCAGCATGGCTCAAGTGGAACAAAACCATGCTCAGAGCTGAGGTTGGCCGTCAGGGTCGGCTTGACGTTAGTTCCTGGTATTCTCTTTTCAGCCATAATTTGGAAGCTGCGACAGCAAAGCCGTCAAGTGGTTGGACCAATGCAGCGCCTGTGCGGGTGTGCGGGGCTCGCCCTTCCACTGTCCCTTTGCAACTACGCATCCTCAAGGACATTTTGGGCTGTAGAGCATATTGGTCACAGCACCTTCTTGCCGCTACTCTCATGCTTCTGTTTCAAATATGCTACAGTCAGCCATTGGCGCAGGGCAAGGTGGGAGAGGAACCTGGACCCAAACGCACGGGATTAAACCTTGATGTGGGAAGGGTTTGGGGCCCCAAAACAGAGCCTGAATCTGGCACCCAAAAAGTGTGCCCCCACTTCTTCCGGCCTCTGTTTCTGTCCCGCTCACAGGTCCCAAAAATGGGGCCGCAAAACCGGCCACTTGCCCAGCCCCGGTGCGCAAAGTGTCCAGGGCTAACAGATCCGCATCTTGTAGCTTACCCCTGCGCAGCCGCCATCGCCGCCGCCACCGGGCAACCCATTTATTGGCGGACCTTACGACCCATACTCGCAGAGGCACTGTCGCCGAAATTGGTGCAAGCCGGCAGCTGCGTTTGTCCTCAGCCAGCGCTCCCTTTAGTTGCTGCATCTCCATGCGTGCGAGAAAGGCTAGGGCTATAGGGAGCGAAAAGAGATGAAACAGCCTGGCACGCACATATGTGTGATCTCGAGTTGCGCGGCTTGGCTGCCATATGAAACGAAATGGTGTTGCACTGCTTTTCATCTAGGTCCTTGTCTGCAGGAACGGTGACTGCAAACAAAGTACAGCCCCATGCTCCCTATTTCTGGCTAGGAACCCCTTGCACAGCCTGCGTGTCCTAGCGTGGCTGCGGCGTGTGCAGTGATTGCACCCCGTGACAGCTACCCAACACCACCATGGGCTTTGAGATTGGCATGGATGAAGGACATGACTGCCAAGTGCAATTTCAAATCCTTCACACATGCAAAGCCCTGGTTAATCATGAGCACAAACATGTATTTCCATTGTATATATATATATATATATATATATTTATATATACTGTGAAACTTGGATAAGGCTTTGTCAGGCCCATTGCCAGGAAAACGAACGAAAGGTTCCGGAGTCTCCGCTACTCACTGCACGCAGAAGGGGGCTGACTGTGTATACAACACCCTGGTCCCAGAAACGGGGCCGCCATTTTGGAAGCCTTTCCTTCTTCCGGCAATATTGCGGCCCCGTTTTTGGGGCCGGTTTTTGGCCCCATTTTTGGGACCACGAAAGAGCAAACAGGAGCTGCTCGATGGTCCTGACGGCCCGGATTTCGTCCATTTGCTGGCGCCAGCTTTCCTTCTGCAATGCAAGCCGCCAGAGACACACACATCCGTATGATACTGTATATATATATATATATTTGGTATAATATATTATGCCTTTTCAATTGGAGTTAGAGTTTATTTCAGAACAGGCCACCAGAGGAGTGCGCGAACTGCAGCATGTTCAGTGCAAACATCCGCCACAGTGCGGGACATGAGCAGCGTCTGGATTTAGGATTTCTTGCTTTCCGTGCGCAAATCCACCACAGAGAACCATTGCAAATCATCCCTTCTGAAATTTAAAGAGGAAAGAAAAACAACATGTCAAAACTACTGAAACCAAAAACAAGAAAACAAAAAACAGAAAACACATTTGGAATTGCATGTTACTTTTGGAAAGGTTGGACTTTTGGAAGTGCATATTGGGACATTTCATATTGTTTAGGGTCACTGCCTCTTTTAAAGACACACTGCATTGCCTTGAACAAGAAAACAATTCTTGTGTTTGGAATGGCACGCAACAGTTTTATTTTGAATATTGCATTTCGTAGCAACCATGTTGCAGTTATATGAAGAATATGACGTGTGTTCTGAAGGATGTTTGTCTTGTACAAAAAATTATTATACCATTTAAAAATTGTAAAGTGGATTGGTCACATTGTCAACAGTCAAGAAGACTCGGTTTCAAACACATTTTGTCTCGTGGACATGAAGCATCTTCGTGTGTAGTTGAACTCATATAACCCAAAAAATGCCTCCCACAGCAGCCAGCTCTCTTTATTTTTGGGTTAAAAATGCAAGATTCAACCCTACAGGATGGGCCCCCCCAGTTATAAGTTGGTTTATAAACCATTGTAACCACCATTAACTATAGTTATATCTACCATAAACCAATTTTAAACCACTTATAAGGCTAACTTCCCTGTTGGAATGTCCGCGTGGTGAACCAGTAAACACCATGGGATTCAGCATGGCCTTTGATTGGTAATCTGTATGGGATGAGTTTGTCTGGGGGATACCCTCTAAATGTCCATTTTGAGGGGTATAATAACAATAATACGTTGGAATGAGGGATGCACTAGTTTCAGACACATCCGCATGTGTATATATATATAACACATCTTGTTGGGATATTAGCCACATATGTATATACTGTTTCATACATTCATTAATTGTTGTGATATCTGGCTCAGCCTGTCCCAAGACCAAGTGGGGCGCAAACATCCCGAGGTGGAGAAACTGGAGGGCATTTTCAAAGCCATTGATGATGGGGGCGATGGCATGATTACAGAGGAACGGCTGACGTGTCTGGGCGACTTCGGACCGACTTCGGACCGAACATGCGGATGGACCGAAACAGAAACCACTACAGATTATTGGGTTGGTTTAAGAGATTTGCCCAAAATATAGTGTTTCCTGCAAGGTCTTCCCTGAATTCAATGTTGGAAAAAGAACATCCACATAATTAATTACATATAGTGGATGTGTGGGATATCACTCCTACCTGGTCCTGTTAAAGATGTATTAATTCCACGGTAGTGAGTAATGTTGCATAATGTGGGAGCACATGGAAGTGGACATAGGTAATAGACTGACATTTGGCAAGCACTGTGAAGCATTTTAGTGGTGATCAGTTTGCACAAAGGATATTGTGATATATAGTGCGATCTGCAAATCTGTGCATCTTTGGACCCTACATCCGTTCCATCAGGCTGCAGGTGTTTGAATGATTTCAGCAAGGTGCACCATAGGCTAAATAGGACTGCACAAAATGCGCCTTCAGTCCCTGATTGTCCTGATTTGTTTTTGAATATGGGGCAGAAACCGGGAAGGTTTTTTTTCTATTTTGTCACGTGCCTGTGAGTTTCTTACGAATCCATTTGCTGAGTCCTTTTCCTGACATGCCTCCACGGGCCGCTTTAGCCGAGGTATATTATGGACAATCCCAAGGTTAAAGCCTATTTTCAAACCTTGGATGTTGACGTTCACGAAGGTGGGATGTTGGACATTGTTGGACGTTGCGATGGTGACATGTCGTTGCGCGATCACTTGACAGTGTTTCGCTATGTTGGCTCTTTTGCGGCATTGCTTCTCCAGTATTGCTCGTGTAGTGGTGATGATGTTTCACCGGTTATCATTGTTGTTGTTTTGTGATGGTGATGATGATGATGATGATGATGATGATTTTGATGATGATGATGATTTTGATGATGATGATGACGACGATGACGACGACGATAACGATGATGATGATGATGATGATGATGATGATGCGATGACGATGATGATGATTATCATTATGATGAAAACATGGTCATGCTGATGCTGTATATGATTGTTTCAAGATGTAGATGGCAATGAAGATCTTGACGTTTTCATGGTCAGATGCTTTGGTGGTGAATCAATGACAATTCGCTTGTACTTGTGATGAACCTGGTGCTGGTGATGAAAAGTTGGTGGTGAACTGTTAATGAATGATGAATGATGATGGTAATGGTGGCGGTGAATCGCTAGTGATGATACTTTGATGATGTTTTGATGAATTGTTTGTCTTTTGAAGCTTCGATGATTTGGTGATGTTTTGATGATGGTTTGGTGGTTTGATGGTTTGATAGCTTGAAGAAGATTACATGATGATGATCTGAAAATGATGCTTATTCTCATTGCCGTGGTGACGGTAGTGGGTGCTGGTGCTGGTCTTGCGGGTGGTGTCGTTGCTGGTGATGGGGGTGGTGATGGCGGTGGTGGTGGCTGTGGTTGGGGTTTGGTAGATCAATACACATACAAGTCATGATGATGGAGATTGACTGCGTGGTTTCACGAAGTGTTTCTTGTTTGTGTGCGTGTTCTAAGATTGACGTACTCATGATGCATTGCCACGAGTAGAAACCATATGAAAATCAAATTGTCGGTGAAACAGCAAAAGGGGGGCTCTATACACATGACGGGCCACTGGCTCTGTGGATGCACAGCAGAACGAATGATGTTTTAGAATTGCGTGCGTCTTGACTTTCAGAGATTTGGACGTGCCAATGTTTTTTTCTTACATTGTGTTTTTCTTGTTTCCAGAAACCACTATTTGTTTATGTTCAAAATTCTAGCATGGGAAACATGATGTGGCAGAAATGTTCTTTTGCCAGGAGCGGCACTCTTCCACATTCTCGATGATGGAGACGGAGAATGTACGCTAGAGGACTTCTGTGTGACCGTGCACGGCTTCAAAAGGTTGCTTCATGCTGCTCAAATGTTTGATTCCATGCTGCAAGTGTCAGATGCATCCACAACGCATCTTACATGTTTCTATTAGTGCCCTGGTCATTCCTGAATGCCCCACGTATAGCCAAGCAATGTTGTTTCAAGATGGCAGTGGGAATGTCCAACACTTTGCGTTGAACGTTTTTTTTTCAGGATTTGTTTTTTGGTCCAGGTGATGGGCAAATGCGGTTTTCCTTCCTTTATGTTTGATTTTGTTGTCTTTGCTTTTGTGGTGGTGGTGGCGGTGGTGTCGCCATTGGTTGAGACGGTTGTTGTTGCTGTTGCTGTTGTCGTTGTGGTTGTCGTCGTCGTGGTGGTGATGGTGGTCGTGGTTGTCGTCGTCGTCGTCGTTGTTGTTGTTGCTTTGAGTCCAGCCTTTTTGCCGGTTCAATGAACCAGTTTGGTCAGTCATATACCCTCTGGTAAACTAACATAGCTATGGAAAATCACCATGTTTAATGGGTAAATCAACTATTTCGATGGGCCATTTTCAAGTTCGCAAACTGTGAATGTTAACCAGGGGGTACTCCATCATCTCGATTTTGCCTCTAACATCCTCTAACTTCACCTTTTTTTTGCTTTGTGAAATCCGTGTATGTTGGTCCAATCCCTTGCAGCTGTGCTTCCCTGCAGGAGTTCATCGGTGGCATCTTGCGATGCAAAGGCCCTGCCCGCGCTATCGATCAGGTGGCGATGATGGCAGCACAACGGTTGCAGTGATGGGAGCACTGAGGTAGCACGCTGAGTGCAGGTATATCACAATGCATCCCAGTTGTAATGGGTTATAACCCACTAGCCACTTAGATCCACTCAGTAAATTCTGGCGACATATACCTGTAAATTGTTGTTTGGGTAATTATATATATACATATATATATATATCCCAAAAACGTCCCAACATTTAATCTTGGTGAATAACTATTGTCCAGATAAAACATGGAGGGTTTACCAATGACAATCGGTGTTCAACTGCCCAATATGCTGATCAATCATGGGGATATGATATACCCATATAATCCGAAGGGTGGTTGGTAGTCGATGGGTGGTCGATGGTTGATGAAAGGACAAACATGCGGATATTCGCAACCGGCTATATGCCGATGATGGTGATATAACTATGAAAAGGACACATTGAACGGCCCAAAAAAAGGGGGAAGCAGCACATTATAAGAGACACCAACACATTGGAGTGGGTTGATATATGTTGATATGATATGGGATTTAATTAGCAATGAAAACGGGATATTCTTAGCAACAAAATTCGGGGTCCAAACTCGCAAAATGGAGATATTAACTGCACATGGTTGGTTGATTGTTACGTGTTGGAGGATTTGATGGGAATTGTTAAACTATAGTCATGTCAACGTGATGTAGCCAGAATGAAATAATCACCCAAAACTGATGACTGATTGGTAGACATTGAATGAGCTTGGTATACTGATATTTGCATTTGATGGATGCACCCTATGGGTGGAGCAGATGCCAGAATTAAAAAAGGGAGACAGCAGTTGCTTCAGGCACGGCAAGGATTGTTTTCAGGCTATGACGGTTCATGATCAATAGAAACACGACTGCCAAAACGTGGTGCAGCAGTTTTCTTTGGATATCAGATCTCGAATCGAGCATGACCTTTTCATAGCATTCATTTCCCCTTAAAGTATGTGTAGTCACTTGATGGGATGTCGAGGGGGAGCCACACTGGTTTTTCATCTTGGGATAAGGAAAGCTACTTGGCTGGTTGGGTGGTGTTTGCCCATGCAGAATGTTGTGAAAATGATCCATGAGGAAATGATATTTCGGTCAGAGAATTCTTCTGTTCCAGGGGTGCAACAAGTCACTCGGGGATGGTTCAAGTGGATTTTGAATTGTCCCTGACTTGTCCTATGTCAATTTAATGGGTACATGTACAATGGTGTACACTTTGCTTCGCGATTGCAAAACAATGCAACAAAACATTTGGGATCTCTACATGTCAGCCTTTGTCTACTTTTGGAGGTGTACGACTCGTGTTTTCGAAGAGGAACCCGCTTTCCGGGGGGAATGTTTTGCCGAGGATTTGAGGCTCTTGGACAAGAAATTGTCCAAATTGATCCACGCTCTCCATGTTCGGAGACCGAGTCACCCTGGATTCAGGGGGCCACTGGTTTCGCCATGGGTTTGACCCATTATATATACTATCTAATTAGGGCATGATAGGGGATTCTACAACAATAAAAGGGCGAACGCCCGGGTGCCGCCGACCCCCTGTTAAAGGGCAAGTTTTGGATTTTGTTTTACTGCATGCAGCCGTCTGGTTCAATGCAATCCGACCATCGAGGCTGAGTGAGCAGCTTCAATGCCGCCATCAGTGACGAATAAATACATACATGACCGGGCAGCTTGCAAGGCTGGAGAAGGTGGGGCAAGGATTGGCCCTAGTAGAACCAAAACTACCAAAACGGCAGTTTCGAAACCTTTAATAGAGACATGACCGGGCAGCTTGGGGTAGAACCTAGCAGCTTGGAAGGCTTGAGAAAGTGGGCTTGGGAGGCTTCAGACGGTGGGGCAACGAAGAACCTAGCAGCTTGGAGGCTTGAGAGGTGGGTAAAGGACACACTAGTACAACCTATCAGCTGGGAAGGCTTCAGAAGGCGGGAAAAGGACACACTGTGGGTTGCAGTTGGCCCTAATAGAACCAAAAGTGCCAAACCGCAGTTTCGAAACCCTGAATGGAGACATGACTGGCCAGCTTGGAGTAGAACCTAGCAGCTTGGAAGGCTTGAGAACCTTGGAAGGCTTAGGAAGGTGGGGCAAGGGTTGGCCCTAGTAGAACTTAGAAAGGGCCTAGTGAAAACCTAGCAGCTCTAGTAGAACTAAAACTGCGAAACAGCAGTTTCGAAACCTTTAATTAGAGCCTAGCAGCTTGGAAGGCTAAAGAAATTGGGGCAAGGGTTGGGCCTAGTAGACCCAAACCCCGAATAGATACATGACCGGGCGGGTTGGAAGGCTCGAGACGGTGGTGGAAAAAAATCCTCGTAGAACCCAACAGCTTGGAAGGCTGAGGAAGCTGGGGCCCTAGTAGAACAAAGAACGGAGGGCCTAGTTAAAACCCAGCAGCTCGGAAGGCTTAAGAAGGTGGGGCAAGGATTGGCCCTAGCAGAACCAAAACTGCCAAAAGGCAGTTTCGAAACCCTTAATAGAGACATGACCGGGCAGGTTGGAGTAGAACCTAGCAGCTTGGAAGGCCAAAGAAATTGTGGCAAGGGTTGGGCCTAGCAGAACCCCGAATAGATACATGACCGGGCGGCTTTAAAGGCTGGAGAAGGTGGTGCAAAAAGGCCCTACAGGATGGTGCCCCCCAGTTATAAGTTGGTTTATAAACCCCATTAACTATAGTTATATCTACCATAAACCATAGTTATGGGAGTTATAAACCAACTTAGCTAACTATGGGGCACCACCTTGTAGTAGAACTTAGAAAGGGCCTAGTGAAAACCTAGCAGCTCTAGTAGAACTAAAACTGCGAAACAGCAGTTTCGAAACCTTTAATTAGAGCCTAGCAGCTTGGAAGGCTAAAGAAATTGGGGCAAGGGTTGGGCCTAGTAGACCCAAACCCCGAATAGATACATGACCGGGCGGGTTGGAAGGCTCGAGACGGTGTGGTGGAAAAAAATCCTCGTAGAACCCAACAGCTTGGAAGGCTGAGGAAGCTGGGGCCCTAGTAGAACAAAGAACGGAGGGCCTAGTTAAAACCCAGCAGCTCGGAAGGCTTAAGAAGGTGGGGCAAGGATTGGCCCTAGCAGAACCAAAACTGCCAAAAGGCAGTTTCGAAACCCTTAATAGAGACATGACCGAGCAAATTGGAGTAGAACCTAGCAGCTTGGAAGGCTAAAGAAATTGTGGCAAGGGTTGGGACTAGCAGACCCAAACCCCGAATAGATCGATACATGAGCGGGCAGCTTGGAAGGCTGGAGAAGGTGGCGCAAAAAGGCCCTAGTAGAACCTGGCAGCTTGGAAGGCTTAGGAAGGTGGGGTAAGGGTTGGCCCTGGTAGAACCTAGAAAGGTGGGCCTAGTTAAAAACCTAGCAGCTTGGAAGGCTTAAGAAAGTGGGGCAAGGATTGGCCCTAGTATTTGGCAGTTTCGAAACCCTGAATAGAGACATGACCGGGCAGCTTGGGGTAGAACCTAGCAGCCTGGAAGGCTTAAGAACCCTAGTAGAACCAAAACTGCTAAAAGGCAGCTTCGAAACCTTAAATAGAGACATGACCGGGCAGCTTGGAGTAGAACCTAGGAGCCTGGAAGGCTTAAGAAATTGTGGCAAGGATTGGGCCTAGTAGACCCAATGCCCTGGAGAGATACATGAGCGTGCAGCTTGGAAGGTCGGAGAAGGTGGTGCAAAAAGGCCCTAGTAGAACCTAGCAGCTTGGAAGGCTTAGGAAGGTGGGGCAAGGGTTGGCCCTATAGTAGAACCTAGGGCCTAGTTAAACCCCAGCAGCTTGGAAGGCTTAAGAAACTGGGGCAAGGAGTACGGGAGTTTCGAAACCCGTAATAGAGACATGACCGGGCAGCTGGGAGTAGAACCTAGCAGCCTGGAAGGCTAAAGAAATTGAGGCAAGGGTTGGGCCTAGTAGACCCAAAGCCCTGGATAGAGGAAGGTTCCAGAAGGTGGTGCAAAAAGGCCTTAGTAGAACCTAGCAGCTTGGAAGGCTTGGGAAGGTGGGGCAAGGGTTGGCCCTGGTAGGACCTAGAAAGGAGGGCCTAGTTAAAACGCAGCAGCTCGGAAGGCTTAAGAAGGTGGGGCAAGGATTGGCCCTAGCAGAACCAAAACTGCCAAAAGGCAGTTTCGAAACCCTTAATAGAGACATGACCGGGCAGGTTGGAGTAGAACCTAGCAGCTTGGAAGGCCAAAGAAATTGTGGCAAGGGTTGGGCCTAGCAGACCCAAGCCCCGAATAGATACATGACCGGGCGGCTTTACAGGCTGGAGAAGGTGGTGCAAAAAGGCCCTAGTAGAACCTAGCAGCTTGGAAGGCTTAAAGGTGGGGCAAGGGTTGGCCGTAGAACCTAGAAAGGAGGGCCTAGTTAAGACCTAGCAAATTGGAAGGCTTGGGAAGGTGGGGCAAGGGTTGGCCACATAGTAGAACCTAGAAAGGAAGGCCTAGTTAAAACCTAGCAGCTTGGAAGGCTTAAGAAGGTGGGGCAAGGATTGGCCCTAGTAGAACCAAAACTGCCAAAGGGCAGTTTCGAAACCCTTAATAAAGACATGACCGGGCAGGTTGGGGTAGAACCTAGCAGCTTGGAAGGCTTAAGAAATTGGGGCAAGGGTTGGGCCTAGCAGACCCAAACCCCGAATAGATACATGATCGGGCAGCTTTAGCTTGGACGGGCCGAGGGAAGCAAACTAAATGGAAAGGCCTGCACGCAGCAATGCTGCACACCTGCGGTGATCGCAGGAGTCGCCCCGCCTAGGCCAAAGCTAGGCAGGGGTCGGCGGATATACTACACATATCTACAGATTTTTCTTTTGCCGCTGAAGTTGCCAAGATGTTTTTATTTCACCAACATTGTTCAGGATTTCACCGTCAAAACTCGAATAATATAACCAAACAGATCAAAAACTCTGGGGCCCATGTTTGACAAAAACAGAAACATGAACCAGTTGTGCATTTTTTGTGGGTTCCTGCCTACCTACTTCTTCAGCACAAGCTCCTTTGTCAGGACAACAGCATAATAGCCACCCTTGCACCTGGGATGGACAGTGTGTGTCGGTAGCTCGCGGGCTGGGTATGCAGGATTTAGATGGATTTAGTGGGAGGACCTCTTAGCATTTATGGTAACCCCAATTCCAATGGATCATAGTTATAGTTAACTATGATTCAAATTGGTAGCATAACACATTATGATCATATATTAGCATAACTAGATCATAATGAATGACCGTTATGATAAATAACATAGCCCAATTACCATTTATCATTATTAGCCGCTAAAGTGGCCATATATTGGGGTACACCCCATTTTCAGACGTACCCATTTAGACCATCCTAGACCCTTAATCTACCGCTGAAATTTGGTATCTACCCCATATTTCTAGAGGGCGGCACCCAGTGGGGGATTGAATTGTCATTAAAAATGATGATAAACACTGTGAATACCGTTGTTTTATGAATTTGGAGGGTCCAAAACCTTAGTAAAACATGTGTTTTTCACCATGATCTTGATCTTGGCATGAAATTTACAAACGCCTTGACAGGCAAAAAAAAATACAAAAAAATAGATGCACCAAACATCAACAGGCACCAAAAAAACAAAAAAAAACTTTGCTTCGTGTGATCCCCACCATGACATTTTATACATTTTCTTACTGGCAAATCTTCTGGCATTCTATCTGACATATCTTCTGGCATTCTATCTGGCATTCTATCTGGCATATCTTCTGGCATATGCTATGGCCTATCTTCTGGCATTCTATCTGGCAAATCTTCTGGCATTCTATCTGGCATATCTTCTGGCATTCTATCTGACATATCTTCTGGCATTCTATCTGGCATTCTATCTGGCATATCTTCTGGCATATATTCTGACATATCTTCTGGCATTCTATCTGGCATTCTATCTGGCATATCTTCTGGCATTCTATCTGACATACCTTCTGGCATTCTATCTGGCATTCTATCTGGCATATCTTCTGGCATATGTTCTGGCACATCTTCTGGCATTCTATCTGGCATTCTATCTGGCATATCTTCTCGCATATTATCTGGCAAATCTTCTGGCATATCTTCTGGCATTCTATCTGACATATCTTCTGGCATTCTATCTGGCATATCTTCTGGCATATGCTATGGCCTATCTTCTGGCATTCTATCTGGTATATCTTCTGGCATTCTATCTGGCATATCTTATGGCTTTTTATCTGGCATATCTTCTGGCATTCTATCTGACATTCTATCTGGCATATCTTCTGGCATTCTATCTGGCCGTTGAGGTCCAGCGGTGCACACTGAGCTGGGAAGGCGCCAAGCTCTTTGCCAACTTCCCAGCTCAGTGTGCACCGCTGGACCCCAACCTGGGACCTTCCCAGCTCAGTGCGCACTGCTGGACCTCAACCTGGGACCTTCCCAGCTCAGTGTGCACTGCTGGACCTCAACCTGGGACCTGCCCAGCTCAAGAAAGTCGGCGAAGAGAGTTGGCAAAGAGCTTGGCGAAGAGTTGGCAAGGCGGAAATACAGATAGAAATTAATCCAGACATGGTCGAGGAGAAACTGGAGGAGGAGGCGAGGAGGAGGACGAGGAGGAAGAGGACAGCTAGTCGAGGAGGAGGAGGAGGAGGCGGAGGAAGAGCGCTCTGATAAAATCTAACAACCCTCACCTGGCAGGTGGGGAACAAAAAGTCCAGCAACTACTCAAAAGTGGGCCCATAGTTGCTGGAAATTTTATTTTATTTGTTTGTTTTTTTGGTGCCTGTGCAGGTTTGGTGCATCTAGTGGTTTGTTTTTTTTGTTTTTTTTTTGGGTGCCAGTGCAGGTTTGGTGACTCTGACTTCACAAAACATTGACAGGCACCCAAAAAACCAAACCAATAGATGCACCAAACATCGACAGGCACCAAAAAAACAAAAAATCCAACAACTACTCAGAAGTGGACCCATAGTTCCTGGAAATTTTAGTGTGTTTGTTTTTTTTGGTGCCAGTGCAGGTTTGGTGCATCTAGTGGTTTGGTTGTTTTGTTTTTGTTGGTGTTTGTGCAGGTTTGGCAACTCTGACTTCACAAAACATTGACAGGCACCAAAAAACACAACACAAAACACTAGATGCACCAAACATTGACAGGCACCAAGAAAAACAAAAATCCAGCAACTACTCAGAAGTGGACCCATAGTTCTTGGAAATTCTAGTTATTTTTTTTGGTGCCTGTGCAGGTTTGGTGCATCTAGTGGTTTGTTTTTTTTCCCGAGAGCGTCTGAGCGCAGGGTTCTTCCAATAGTGGAGGTCTGTATCTCATCTTCACACCTTCTCATCTTCACATCTTCTCTCACACCTTCTCATATTCACATCTTCTCTCTCTCTCACTCTCTCTCCTTTCTCTCTCTCCTTTCTCTCTCCTTTTTCTCTCTCTCGCCTTCTTTATCTTTCTCTCTTTAGGCCGAGGGTGGTACCGGCGGTGAGTCACGAAACGTCAACCTTTTCTCACGAAATGAGGGTCGATCGGCAAAAACTGAGGTAAAATTGCGATTTGACTTGCCCTGGAGCAACCCTTTCGCACGAAATGAGGGTCGGTCGGCAAAAACTGAGGAAAAATTGCGATTTGACTTGCCCTGGAGCAACCCTTTCGCACGAAATGAGGGTCGATCGGCAAAAACTGAGGAAAAATTGCGATTTTACCTGTGCCGGAGCAACCTTTTCGCACGAAATGAGGGTCGATCGTCAGAAACTGAGGTAAAATTGCGATTTTACCTGTGCCGGAGCAACCCTTTCGCACGAAATGATGGTCGATCGGCAAAAACTGATGTAAAATTGCGATTTTACCTGTGCCGGAGCAACCCTTTCGCACGAAATGAGGGTCGATCGGCAAAAACTGAGGAAAAATTGCGATTTTACCTGCGCCGGAGCAACCCTTTCGCACGAAATGATGGTCGATCGGCAAAACCTGAGGTGAAATTGCGATTTTTCGTGTGCCGGAGCAACCCTTTCGCACGAAATGAGGGTCGATCGGCAAAAACGGAGGTAAAATTGCGATTTTTCGTGTGCGGGAGTTATTTTCTCGCACGCAAAGAGGTTTATGTGTACGAGCGTTTCTGTGTAGAGATGTTTGTGTGTAAAAGTGTTTGTGTGCACAAGTGCATCTGTGTAAAAGTGTTGTGTGTAAAACCTTCTGTGTGTAAAAGTCTTTGTGTGTAAAGGCTTCTGTGTGTAAAAGCGTCTGCGTGTAAAAGCGTCTGTGTGTAAAAGTGTTTGTGTAAAAGTGTTTGTGTGTACAAGTGCCTGTGTGTAAAAGCGTCTATGTGTAAAAGCTTCTGTGTGTACAAGCGTTTGTATGTAAAAGCAGCTCCTGTGTGTAAAGGCTTCTGTGTGTAAAAGTGTCTGTGTAGAAGCGTCTGTGTGTAAAAGCTTCTGTATGTAAAAGCTTCTGTGTGTAAAAGCTTCTGTATGTAAAAGCTTCTGTGTGTAAAAGTTTCTGTGGGTAAAAGCTTCTGTGTGTAAAAGCTTCTGTGGGTAAAAGCTTTGTGTGTAAAAGCTTTGTGTGTAAAAGCGTCTGTGTGTAAAAGTGTTTGCGATGCAAACTATTGTCTTGCACTTCTCACTATTTTGTCTTGATACTCCTCTTCTCGACTGCCTATAACACAGCTTTCATATATCGTTTCTAATATTGCGTCTCCATACTAACAAGAGAAGACCCTGCTCCTCTACGCTCTCGGGCCATCCGTCGTCTAGTTTGTTTTTTTGGTGTTTGTGCAGGTTTTGGTGACTCTAGATTGTGTATGTTTGGATCTCGGCCATATTTTAAACTGATGTTTCAAAGAAGCAAACATACCATTATCTTTGAATAGCTATGCCACCACACAGGTTGCCTGATCTTAATAGTCAACAGCATGACACATGTTTTTGTCTATTTCTCTCTCTCTCTCTACAACTATTGAAGTGAGACTGCTGACAAGACTCTGCAAGATAATAATGATAAACAAAATAAGTACCTACTTCTTGATTTGTAACATTCCCACCATCCTTCTTATCCAGAGTGTTAGATGTGTTTGTGTATATCCACCTACATAATGTATGCCCTTCCCACCATACTTCTTATGTAGCGCAAATGCTTCTATATACAATATATGTTGAGATGATATCAATCTAACAAGTTCATGAAGAAACAGCTATATCATATCAATTGCTTCTAGCAATAGAATTTCTCCATCACCTCTATCACACTAGTCACCTATTGCTACTGTATATTCTGTTCCAGGACGCGCAGCTACATATTCTTATGGCAAGCTGTGCAGCAGAAGTTTTCTGTTATGTGCTGATTGTTTGTAGTTCTTTGCAAGCCTCACAGGAAAAATAAATAAAGTGAACAAATAAACAAAACATATATATATATTGTATATTATTATTACTATAATAATATTGTTATATTATTTTTACATTCTATTTATATATATAATATTATTATTAAATTAATTATTATATTATTATTACTATTATATATATTTCATATATATATATTTCATATATATATATATTATCATTTATATATATATATATTATATATCATATATATATTATATCATATATATATATATATCATTATATATCACATATATATATGTGATATATTTATATATGTGATATATATATATATGTGATATAGATATATATATATATACATACTGTACATGTATACACCACATTTTAAGTCACTTGTTTGATCACAAGTTATGCCAGGCAAATTCTTCCCATTTCTTGGTGCCAAGGAAAGTGGCGAGTTTAAGCCCATCACACCCATCTCGAGCGACAAGAACCGCTTTGTCCGCGGGATTTCCGATCAGACCGACCAAAGCCACGATGCCACTTTTCTGCAGCAAAAACAAAACAAACACAGAGATCCGGTAGTCACTACTTGAGGGAAGAAAACCTGAAAATCCTGAAGTAGGTAAAAAAAAATGTGGAATCATAAAAGAACAACTATGGCTGTATACCTGTACCCTCTGGTAAACTAACATAACTATGGAAAATCACCATTTTTAATGGGTAAATCCACTATAAATGGCCATTTTCAATAGCTATGTTAAATTACCAGAGGGTAATTGTCCTGTATTTGTCCCTAAATCAAAAAAAACGAGTCATTGGATGAAGCCGGCAGAATCCATCGGAATCCACAAATGGCTGAACTTTTCAGGTGGGTGAATCATTTTATATAATTTATACACTGAAAACAATAATGGAAAATTAGTGGATATCACTGGAATTCACTGGATATCTAGTTATAGGATGGTTATCTAGTCATCTACCAACCCTACAAATAGGATGGTTATCCAGCTAAATAATTCTTTGTAGTTAGCAAGTGAGTCACCATCCTATTTGTAGGACTTTGTAGGCACGTGCGATTGCATTTTCAGCCTGCACCTTTTTCTCCAAGAGCTGCCAACACTGTACGTACCAATTTGAATTTGCCCATAATTGATGTTCATCATTCAATATAAGAATTTACGTTTTCTTTGGGTTTGTTTCTGTTCAATGAGCTAGTTGAATCATTATAGCTAAGTTGCAACACTCTGTAAATGAAATGATCATACACAGCAGGCCCCCCAAAACATCCCAATGTTGGGTAAAGTTTATTTCGAAACCAGTGCGGCACCAGTGCGGAATTGCAGAGATTGCACCCTGGAGTGCGCTTCCACCTGCCCACTTTTTTGGTCAAAAGCTCAATGTTCACCTTATTTGGATGATAATTTATAATGTAAGTTTTAATATATTTTATATTAATTCAGATATTTGATATGAATATATATATATATAGATAATTATATCTGATATTTCATGTCACGGTGAACCGATTATAATTTTGAATAACACATAAATATCTCAGTTCTTCGGCGCAGGGGGGCCCGTCTGTCAGCAAGACCCAAAGTCGACGCAGATTGTCCGATGCAGCGCAGACCTTCCTCTACCGTACAGCCATGTTTCTTGGTTTGGGGATAGAATGGGATGATACCGGTAAATGAGATGATTTTTTTACATTCAATATTACCCATAGGATCCATGGTGCTGATGGTATATATATATATATATGCTAACATGACTGGGGTATATTGATGGGATCCATGTTACCATATATAGCAGCACCATGGATCCTATGGGTTATACTATGTTTTGCCAAACAATTTACGCAACATGTGGATTCACAACCAACCAATTTCTCTGGTCCATTGATGTCCATTGTGTTTCGTGGCAAAGTTTGGGGAGGCTCAAGTCATTTTTTGTGGTACCAATGGGGTACCTGTAACGGGATCCTTAGAGCCATGGCGGGGATGCGTGAAGATTATATATTTTATCCATGCATTCATTCAGGACTAAGATCATGTTTAGTATTAGTACATCTATATTTTGATGTACAGGGTGCCATGATTATCCATGATCCATAGCCAAATCAAAGACTGACCACCTCTGTGACATTCAGTGGTTGGTTCCACCCAGTGGGATCCGGAGCAGTGGAGAATTTCCTCCGGTCCGGTGGGATGTGCAGAGTCGTATTTTTCAGTGCCCGATGCCCGGAAGTTGGTGTATCACAATATATACTGTATCACATGCATCCCTTGAGAAATTACTATTATATCTATGATTATTGCATGTAATTTCCCACTTCCCGCTATTTTTGATTATTGTGCATCAGACTCGTTGTCCAACTTGGAGTTTCTATCGGTGAAACCATGTGAACGGTCCGATTTTGTGTTTGCTGGATCGTCAGTTGTTCATGAAATACCCCACGTGCCACGTGTGTAAGATAATAACAACTTTGAAGCATCCTATAATGTGGTGCCTTCAATTCAAGTGATCATGTCGTTTATATATAGACCCAGTTTGCTATGGATAGTTGCGGATATCATAAACCCTACTCAGCCTTCATACCCATAGGATCCATGTATGGTATATATGCTAACATTGGGGGTATATCGATGGTATATGTTACCATATATAGCATACATGGATCCTATGGGATAGTTATCAACCAACTTCGCAAGCTGGGTGCCTGCGGAAACCAAGGCTTCCGAAGCTGAAACATGCCGCCTCGGTTCAGGGAGAGGATAGTACCACTATGTTAATGTAGACGTGACCCGGCACATCTGGGAGCGTGAAGAAAAGGGATGTCCTCAAAAGCCAATATATTAATGCTTTGGGGGAACGAATCAAAGTCCTTTTTTCCATTGATTTGAGGGGATTAACATTTACAAACAACATCAAACAACAACTATTTCTGTGTGAACTTTAAGGCAATGTGCACCACGTTATGATTTTGTAGGATGCAAAAAAGAGCGAACCGACTGGTGTTTATATAGGCGGCGTGAGCCAAAACAATGGTGTTTCTCGATGCTTATGAACCATTGAGATGCCCATCACCAGGACATGTGTCCCTGGTCTTATGACCCAAGTGCCAACGATATGTTGAGAAATATACAAAGGTTGTGGCAACTCTTTGTGGCTGGTATGCCACACATATGTATGATTATGAATATATATATATATAGACTGTCTATAATATAACGACATGTATGTATATATGTATGTACTGTCTATACTGTCTATCATATAACTATATATATATGTCTTTACATAATATATATATATATATTATATATATGGTATAATTTTGTATACATGAATTATAAATGTACATGTGTTCTTTAAAATGTTCCGAAATCACTGTGGCTTTCAATGATCCCAACATCGACGATGTTGGTCAAAAACTGGTCGCTTTTCTGGACTTTTTGGTACATGCACGGATGTTTTTTTGGATGATTGTTGGATGAAACAGGACATGAGGGGTTCAGAGGGATTCTGAGGGATATTTTTTGGGATTTGTTTTGGGATTCTGATTGGGATTTGTTTTGGGCGTCAACTGTCGACGGCTGCAGGCGACGGAACATTTACGGAGGCTCGAAAGCCCGCCGGCCGTCCATGGCGAGTCGATCACTGGGCACGATTTGCCGTCATGACTTGGTCGACTTGCGAACTGTTCAAGTCTACAGTACCCTCTGGTATTTTAACGTAGCTATTGAAAATGGTGATTTATAGTGGATTTTCCCATTAAAAATAGTGATTTTCCATAGTTCTGTTAGTTTACCAGAGGGTAGATGTTGCTTTCCCATAGGATCCATGGTGCTGGTATATATGCTAACATTGGGGGTATATTGATGGGATCCATGTTCCCATATATAACAGCACCATGGATCCTATGGGTTAGAAATGATTGATCAAATGTCAGATTGATCATGATTGATCACAATTGGTTTTGCACAGTTTTTGACCCCTCTGAGTCATGACTTTCCAATGGCATGGGCGGTGCCGGAATGTGCCGGAGCAGGCGACAAACTGTTCAGAAGATCCAGAGATGACAATATATAATATATTAATATATTTAGACATTGAGCAACCATCACTAGTTGAAACATTATATATTTGGAGTGTGTTCTTCTCATTTTCAGATGCACCTTTCATAAATTCCACGAAGTGTTTTGTGATGGTTTGGGTTTCTTTGCAAATAGAGTACCCAAAAATATATTGCTTAGTCATAAATTGCCCCATTCAAATGGCATATTGAGGGTGTACTGTGGTTGTTCATACCTAGTTGTTACTCCACGTTGAGAATAGATGGCACAGATTCTTTTTCGTTGCGCCATCTATGTGGCAGGCCTTTCATGCAGGGAATTTTTCTGGCTCAACTCCAATGTGCAGACAGGCTGCGCCACTCATGGCCCCGCTGGATTGCATCCAATACCCTCTGGTAATTTAACGTAGCTATTGAAAATGGCCATTAATAGTTGATTTTCCCATTAAAAATGGTGATTTTGCATAGCTATGTTAGTTTACCAGAGGGTATCACCCAATTCTTTTCCTCAAAATGAATCTGCCTTTGGGGGAATTGGAGGAACAGAAAGATGGCCCAAGTCCCACTCATTCGCCAAAATCTAAGGCTGAGAATGCCCACATGATGGCACAAGTCCCACTCACACCTCCCGACATCCCTCAACCGACCTAACCAAAAGATGCCACATAGATGGCACATCTAAGAAACTCTGTTTTGTTGGTTCATGTTGGTTCTATATATTTCTGATGGTGAATGTCCAAAAACCACGGGCTGTTTGGCTTGGTGATGTTCTATAGATGGAGTTCTCAGATACGTCCTTCATGGTTCACTTGGTTCACCTTGTCCTGTTGTGAGTTGTAAATGACCTGATGTTGGCCACTTTTTAAATTACCAAATATGTGCCATGTGTATCATATTCAAATACATTCTGTACAATATATGGGCGCATCATCGGCCATAGGCTACTGATTTAGTGCCTTGACATTTATGTGATATTCATGTGTATATATATATACATATATACATGAGATAAGAACCCCGATGTCCAGGTAAAATGTTTGTTTGTTCTTCGCGATAAATGTTGGTAAAGGTGCCCTTTATGTTTGGGCTAAAGCAATCTGCGACACTCATTAGCCGTATCTTGTGGTACCCTGCCCCCATTGAGTTGAGTTCCCTAAGCGGCGTAGTGTCCAGCAGTATGGCTCAACCTCTTTGCGTCAGATGCGCTTTCATTTTGTTTGCCTTCCCTTCTTGGTGCAATTTGCTGTGGTGATATCGATAGATATCTATGCCTAGATACAAAACATGTTCATTGGGAAGAGACTAGCAGATACATATCCAAGATATCCCAACAGGATGAGGCCCCATAGTTAGCTAAGTTGGTTTATATCTATAATAACCATCATGTTCTTTGCAGATTTTTTTATGTTTTTTTTGGGGGGGAACCTCAGGAGATCTGAAGTATTTGAAGATGCCTTAAACCAGGGAATGGTTTGATTGGAAAAATGGCTTTGTTTAAGGTTATCGTTTACTTTCCCAATGGGAAATACATTGCTTGGGGAATACCATCATTTTTTGAGGGGTCCTTCAGCAAATCCAAGTTGTGAAGAAGAGACTAGGAAGATGTCAGTTGGTTTTCATCTAGGCTCATCTGGAAAAAAATGTATTCTTACCAAGCAGCCAAGCATTGATGAGACTGCCCGGCTATATGCCCACAGGGCCAGTGCGGCCCAAAGGCGTGTTCAATAGCGAAGAATGTTTCACTGATATACACATTTTCCGGCTGTGGTCTATGAATGTGATTTTCCATTCTGGAGCATTATAAATTTCACAATTTTGGCCCACTGGACTCAAGGCAGATTGATTCAAGTCTGATCTGGGTCAATTATTTATATATCATATATAACAACCTCCCTCCAGACGACCTCTCCAGTAAAATATAGTTAACAAGGGTATCCCCAAAGTGATCTTGTTTAAGCTTTGTGACCTATCGATTTTCATCCACAGATGCTTGTTTCCCATAGGGTATCCCCAAATCCGGTTTATGACCACTGATTTCCCCAATTCATATGGTAATTTTAGGACATTTTAGGGTAAACGGTAAACAGTGGGTAAGAAAAGGTTAAAAAGTGGTATCCACATGTGGTATTTCCCCAATTTTATAATTACCACTACCCTCTGGTAAACTAACACAACTATGGAAAATCACCATTTTTAATAGGTAAACCATCTATAAATGTCATTTTCCATGGCTATGTTAGTCATAACCAGATGGTACCACTAATTTTAAGGTGTACCAATGGGTTTATACCACTCATTTTTTAGGATGGATCCATTCAAGACCGCACGAACAAAGGCCATCAGCATAGTTCACGGAGGGCGCCTCCAGAGGGAGGTTTGGCCTTTTGAAGATGTGCCCATGAAGATATATTTTCACATTGTCATGAAAAACAAATGAACAACATATTCTGTTCAACCATCAACAATATCAGCTTTAACCATGGAACATGTGGTTTTTTTTTCACATGATTTAAACGGTGTCATGTTGAAAAGATGGTTGAAGTATGTTTAAGTTTAATTCATTGATTTCCCCTTCCCGCGGATGGGAAGACCATATTTTCCGTAGATCCTTTATGTAGGTCATTGATGCAGAACTTGCCGGAACTAATGCCGGAATCATGGGATAACATGGGATAACCAGCACCGGTTGGTAGATTCCCTGAGCGCTGTGAAAAAAATGAAGGACCCCTATACACTAACATAGCTATTGAAAATTGCCATTTATAGTGGATTTTCCCATGAAAAATTGTGATTTTCCATAGTTATGTTAGTTTACCAGAGGGTACTGGTGCGTTTTACGTAGGGAATGGATGGGTTGCTGGGGATTGCTGGGATGATTATTGATAGTGATGAAATGGATCATTCCCGAAGTTTCCCTGCGTAAAACGCACCAGGAAGTTATATATGAACTCATAATATTAGTGTCAAGGAACGAAATGATTGGTTTCCCCATAGTTGTATATGACAATATATTGTGTTTTTAATGTTATGTACAGGCTGTACAGGTATATATTATATTTACATATTATGTACATTATATCATCTATTTTGCTTCGTTTGGAATCACTGTGTTGGTTCTTATACCCCATTGTTGGTTCATATACCTGATGATTCCTGATGCAATCTTTGCTTTACTATTTACAGTACATCCGATGGTACCCACATCGCTTCCCTGTAGATTCCAAAGATCCCTACCAGTATGTCCAAATAGCCATTTGGTGGCCTGAGCCCTGAAAGTAGATGAGTGTTGAAGACTCTTAGTCTTGTCATTTTGTCCCCAAATTAGCCAATTAGCTCCGTTTCAACAACGTTTACCAACGCCAACCTAATTGTAAAGATGAAAAGCTGTGGGTTGCCTGTAGACGACATCAGATCAAATTATCATACCCTATGGATCCAAATTATCATACCCTGAGAAAGTACGGCTAACCCCCTAGTCATCATACCCCAGTTATACTTCAAGAAGGTACGGCTGGATCCATAGGGATACATTATCCCTCCCCAATCCCTCTGTGTGGTTGAAATCTCCATGGCTGAAATCTCAGTAAGGCACACAAGTGGTGACCGAATATCTAAAGGATATCATTCATATAGTCAGATACCCATAGGATCCATGTATGTTATATATGGTGCTCCATGGATCCTATCAATATACCCCAGTCATGTTAGCATTAATATACCAGCACCATGGATCCTATATGGGATATAAATCCTATGAATAAATTAATGATTAATGATCTTTGAAATCCAATACGTCCCCTATCCGATATCAAAGATTTCCAATACGTGTCACAAACGCCAGATCTTTGCGGGACATCATTCGGCTTTGTTACCCTCTGGTAAACTAACGTAGCTATAGAAAATCACCATTATTAATGGGTAAATCCACTATAAATGGCCATTTTCTATAGCTACGTTAAATTACCAGAGGGTAGCAATTGGCTAGTTGACTCACATGTGGCCCCGAGTTGGCTCCAAAGAGACGATGTGAATTGACAAAGCTTTTCCAGAAAAAGACGCACTGGGGTTTTTGACGCGCTGAGGCACTGCCTGATTCCCAAATCATGTTAGAGCAGTTTTAAGCAAGATCGGAGAATCCCCAGAAAAATCATGGTTTGGTAATGTTTGGTACTTGGGATCTCCATGAACTATGACATATTATGACTGGTTGGTGGTTTCAAACATGGCTGGATTATTTTATCATGGTTTATTTGAGGGGAATCATCCCCAAATGGATCCATGGTGCTGGTATATTAATGCTAACATGACTGGGGTATATTGATGGGATCCATGGCACACCATATATAACAGCACCATGGATCCGTCATGGGTTATGGGATGTCATCCAAAAAAACCATTGACGAACTCCATCATTCTGAAAAAGATTGTTTTTTAAGCACCAACCAGATGATCATCAGCTTTGCATCAACGGTCTGCATCAACCGCTGATCCATTGGGATGATTCCGTCTTCCATGGCGGAGTGAGCTTGTCCTGACTAGAGCCACGACATAAGATCCATGTTGATTGGTTAATGGGCATGTAAACCAACAGTATTTTTGTTGATGGTTAGAGCAAGTCTCAAATTCTTTGGTTGATGTTTTTTTTTTTCTAAGGTGTTAACCAACAGTATTTCTTGGAATGACAATGAATGATAACGGATTTGGACAAACACCAAATACCGTTTTCATAGGTGTTAAGCCGCACCCTTGGGGATGTCATTGTTTTTTTTTTCGATGTTTGTTTTTTTTTTTTCGGGATGACTATGACATACTATGACATACTATGACCCATTGCGCGAATACATTAAACCAACCAGTATATATAATAAGCATTAATAAGCTGGTTGGTGTTTTGGAACATTTTTTCCCAACTGACGAACTCCATCTTTAATATTTTTCAGAGGGGTAGGTTGAAACCACCAACCAGTAAGTAGAATGGGATGGGATAGTGGTATTTCTCATGGCTGACTTGGCTTAATGGGCCCAAAATAGCGAAGGCAGCAAAGAAGTTGTTTGGTGGTTTCAAAACCGCAATTCCTCGAGAAATGATGCGGAAAAGGATCAACTGATCTAACATGAGATTTTGGGCGATCGATTTTTTAGATGACTCCCAATGGAGGAGGATTTGGGTAAACCTAGATGCTGTTGGTTGGTTGGTTGGGTTTTCAATTGGGTTTTCTAAATTCCAACTTACCCAATTATAACCCACCTAGTTTTGAAATCTGTTGGTTGGGTTTTCAATTCTGTCATAACTTACCCAATTTTCCGAATTCAGACAAGAACTGTCAATGGAACCAACTAACCGCAGCGCCATCAGCAATACAAATTGTCAACCAGGGTTCATCACATTCCATGTTTCATGCTGTACCGCAATTGGCTGGCCTTGGTTCCACTAAAGTCCTGGGGAAAGCAACCTCAATGAACATTCTGGATGTAAAAACCTGCAGTAGCGTCGACACCGCCAGATGCCACATCTGCAAAAGCCTCCACGGTTTGAATGTGCCCTGTTGATTTTCAGGTGTAGCAGTACGGTAAGATCCAAGCATCCATGTGTCAATAAAAAACATTTACTCTACTGTGCATAAACTGCATACACACACACACACCAAAAAACACACACACCATCAGGAATTGCACTAATTGAAAGAAACGGAGTATCCTGCTTCATATGGACTGCCCTTCCTGAATAGGCACCGAACCGATGACAACCCATTGATCCACAGATGGAAAGAACTTGTTCATCCACTTTACAATTACAAGATCCACTTTTGTCATCCCAGATCCACTTGTGAATTCATTGATCCATTATGTCATCTATGTGTTTCCATGTTGAGACATCATTGTTTCGATGGTTTTCCCGTGGTGGCAACAAACCCAGGTGTGAGCTCTACTTCGCGACGGTTGCGGTGGTTTGCACCTTCTCCGTCTTTCAGCCAGGGTGACCTAGCGAGGTGATCGAGGTGTCAGTAGGGCCTTCCAACTGAGATCCTGAGATATCCAATAGCTGGGTTACAACCATGCGTGATGGGTTAGTCAGATTTACTGTAGTTTCCCTCAACTGATCAGTTTCAAAAGTATGGATTGTTGGGTGATGTCACCCAGTTTTTGTTTCGAGATGTTTCGGATTGTGGTGATCGATTATGGCAGTCCCTATCGATCAACCATTAGGAGGGACAGCATCAACCATCCCACTTTGATGTGCTCCCACTTAAAAGTATTCAGTATTCAGTATTCATAACTGTTTTTTTTGGTTCCAGAAGCATGGCTGCAACATGGCTATACCGGCTATACCTATAGGATATCTTATGATAACCCCGTTGATTTGTAGAAGGTTGCTGCACCTGGATGATGTTGGATGATCAACTGAACGCCAATTCAGCGGAGGCTACCCAAGGGTGTCACACATTGTTCCACTTAGTCACTGCTCATAGTATGTCATAGTCCGGTATATACCAGGTTTGTATTCCCTCTTTCTTGTTGTGAATGGCTGGCACAACTTGCTAAGTGATTGACCATTCCGAGCATCTAGGACATCCAACATCATCAGATAGGTATGGATCAAAATTATTTTCCCTCAGAATTGAATGGTTTTTGCTGTGGTTTTATACTGTATCAATATACTTCAGATTCATATTCCATGACGGATCCATGGTGCTGTTAATTATATGGTAACATGGATCCCATCAATATACCCCAGTCATGTTAGCATTATTATACCAGCACCATGGATCATATCTGGTTGGTGGTTTCAAACATGGCTTTTATTTTCCATAATATATGGGAATAATCATCCCAACTGACTAATATCATGGATCCGTCATGGGTATTGTAAATAGCGGCTATCCCTGTCCGCCAGGAAAGGCGATTGGCCTACTCGGTGACCTCTCGACGGGATGGGATGACCAGAGGGTCCCTTTTTTTCGCCTTTTTTTGGGAAAATTGGAGAGATGAATACCCTCTGGTTATGTCAACATAGCTATTGAAAATTGCCCACTTTTTTGTGCGCTTTCTCATTAAAAATAATGGTGATTCTCCATAGTTATGTTAGTTTACCAGAGGGTAAGTTTGACCAAATTGCAGGAATTGCTTAGATGTTCTATCCTGCAGCTTCTCGAAGCGGCTTGTTGTGGCTTGATCATAAATATAGCTGCAAATATGGATTCGTAATCAAGAACATGGCTGGCTCCAAGATGTGACTGTTTCTGAATTCGTCTGTCTTATGGTTCGGCAATCTCCACTGAAGCCTTTGAAACCCGATGTTGGTTCAATTCTTAATGTGGGATAATGTGGGTATGTGATTGAAAACGACTCCAAAAGGGACATGATTTTGTTTCACTGAAAGAACATCGAAGATCGACAAGGTCCCAGCGTCCCATGAAGCCTTGTTCAGGGCTTTCTTAACATTTCTTAACCACCAATTATGAATAAGATAGAAATAATAAAGGCTTATTGGCCATCAGATCTTGGGCCTTTCACTTGCGGTGATCCCCGAGAATAGCAAGCAAGATATTGCCTTCGTGGCACCCTGCAAATGTGTTGCAAACCGACGGGTCGCCTAACGGACTTGTGAGACTTGTGAAGGAATGGCCTGCTCCCTCTTATCTGGCTCAAATCCGTGGTTTTGGTCCGTGAGTACGACCAGCAGAGAGTCAGCTGAGTTTGTGGGACTGAAAAACATGTTTCTACATGTTTCTACTACTGAACCAAGACTCTTGAAACAGCAATGCAGTTTGTGGAATCCCGTTTGGGGGTTTGTTGACCCAATTTTCCCTACAAACTTTGCAGCATCTCAGCCCACAAGAATGGCTTTGCGCTAGAACCTAGCTGCTTGAACTGAAGAGGCCATTTTTGATATGCGGAACTGGGTCAAGAGCCATGGAAATCCCATTTTTTTAGCAAATCGTCGGTAGTTCTCGATTTTCATGTTTATCTCCCAGATATGATATAAAATGGATTAAACTTGCTTTTCATAGGTTTGATGCATCCCTATTTCACAGAGTTTGAGATTCCTAGAGGTTTCAGGTTTTGTTGGTTTTTGGTTCAGGTCCAAAGCAGGCACTCGATTTTTGGCCGATGTCAAGTGCAGCTGGCAATGACAATGACTCCGCCATGGACAAGGTGGGATGCTGGCTTTGTGCAGGGTCAGATACAGCCCTACATGGTAGATATGGTAAGCTCCCCATGAGATACTGTAGGTAATTTTGCTACACAACTATTATTGTAGTTTGGGTTTTTGGTATAGATATATATCATGATATCTGCATTTCGGATGAACATGAATCAGCTTATAAGTGGGAGTTTCTCTTTTGTAAGTGTCACAGCCTGAAATTTTTAAGTGCCGTCCCCCATATGATGATCAGCAACCATTGAGACCAAGACATTTCCCATATGATCCATGGTTTTTGTTTGCCCCAAGGATTGGTCTTTTTTTTTTGGGAAAAGCTTAATGCCATCAATATATATAAATTATCAGTACTACAAAATCATACGGTACTTAAATGATCTTAAGTGTACCAAATGATATGGGTATGTGTTTACAGAGTCCATTGCAGTTGCTCACAGCAGGACCTCATTTCGGAACCAGAGGCGAAGCGACCATGTGCGAGGCTGGGTACGTATGGTTTGTGTCTGGGTTTATCACCTTGATGTTTCCATGCACTATATTAGATACTATATGTATAAAATTGTATAAATGAGTCAGCGAAGCAAACCTTTGTTTCAATTGTTTAAGTCAGAATATATCCCATGACGGATCCATGGTGCTGTTATATATGGTGCTCCATGGATCCCATCAACAAAAACCCCAGTCATGTTAGCATTAATATACCAGCACCAGCCGGATCCGTCATGGGTATTGGTTGTTTTTGGCTTGTCCCCTGTGAAGCCATCCCCCTGGGGGGTTCGGTTGGATGACATCCCCCGTTGAGTTGCTGTTGGTTGATCCGAATCGAACGTTCGATCGACCAAATCCTTGCTGAACACACGGGGTCAATGAAGTCCCGGAAAATCATGAAAAAAACTCATGAAACATATCATGAAAATCATGAGGGTCCTTGATGGAATTCCTCATTCCAGCACTTCTTCCAGGCGTTTTGTTTTGTTTTTTGTGCTCCAGGCCTCAAGTGGAGACAGGCGGGGGTGATTTTTCGACGGGGAGGCTACGCTCTTATTTTCCATTATTATGATGATTTAACCAAGAAACATGTTGAAAACATGTTGAAAACATATGATGTTATATGATTTAAGCAAGAAACTGAATTTTGATAATTATGAGCTGGTTGTTGGTTTGAAATGTGGTTACCAATTGATTAATTTCTCCCCATATATATATATGCATACATGTGTTATATGTTGACTGCTCGTATTATTCCCAAGAGTCATTACATAGTATATTATTTGATATTTGTTGATCGTATTCTATGATGATCCATTGCATGATACATATGTATCTATCTCATTTAGATCATCCCAAATATCCACAGGCGCGGTCTATCCCAGGTCCACTGATCATCATATTCCCCGTGAAATATGTAGAACGGGTGGCATGCAGTATCTTATTTTTCATTGACACTCTCATATGGATGTGGGTCAAAATGGAAGACCTAGGGAACCACTGATGTTAGTCTAGTTTAGTATTAACCATCCATAATTTTGGGGTACCTAATTTTGACCCATACCCATATCTTCTGGGAAACATATGGCTTACATGAACATGTTCAGAGGCACTCTCAGAAATGGCTCGGGACGGGTCGGTCTACATCTGTTGCTATCGGGTATGCGTCGGGAGGAAGAAGATGGCGTGCGGTCGTCATCTGATGACAGCCCAAGACAGACCTTCGTGAATTTTCGGACCTGCGAAGGACCATGAGCTCCACGGTGCCTTTTGAACACATGAAAACATCCGTTGCTGGCCAGTTCTACCACGTTTATTGCTTCAAAGTGGAGGCCAATCAAGCATGGGTCTGTGAGCTCGGGAACGTTGGCGGTTTCGAAGAGATCACCTGTGAATCCTGGTGCCGCAACTTGGAACTTATTAAATTATCTGAAATTGCAGGTCAAATTCATCACTTTTCCATTGAACATCGGCTTCATCTGCGGAAAGTGTGAATTATATCTGCTTGATCCTGCTATCGATGAGGAACAAAATTGGAGAGCTCAGAGACTCGTTGAGATTGAAATACTGCTGGTCATTTCGTTTGAATCTCCAGGATCTTCGGCCATGACCGATTTTTTTTTGTTGAATCCCACTGAATCCCGAACCGACTCCCATGAAAAATCACCAGAAAATTTCTCTGCGTTCCCGGGAGCTCACCAGGGGCGATCGACCAAGCTGGCTCGGCGGGAGACCCGGAAGACCCGGCGAAGTTTTTTTTTTTTCCCGAGAGCGTCTGAGCGCAGGGTTCTTCCAATAGTGGGGGTCTGTATCTCATCTTCTCATCTTCACATTTGCTCATCTTCACATCTGCTCATCTAGTTTAACATGTTGAAACCGAGTCAATATCCTGTATTCTCTGATTTACTGTACTGGTGCTTTGGAACATGAATGGATGATTTTCCCATATATTGGGAATGTCATCATCCCAACTGACTTTCATATTTTTCAGAGGGGTAGGTATACCACCAACCAGTTTAAGAGTTGTTGGTTTGGAAACCATTTAGAAACCGATGATTGATGAGTATAATTATGATCATTTATCATGTATTATAAACGATATATGGTGTTTTTTTCCAGTTCGCTACGTTTTCCATAACCAGATGGGTGTCTTGATGTTGAGCCAGTCATTGAGGGATGTTCATCAATCCATGTGGATAGAGATTAACCCAATTTAACCCATGATGTTGGGATTCCCATTGTGGATGGATGACTCTAAACCATATACTATCATATATTTTCTTTGGGCTAACGGGGCGACCGGGGTGGGGTTACCGGACCCTATTTTTATATGTTTCTGGGGGTGGGGTTGGGTGGGGCAACGTTCATATGAATTGCATTCACAGAGACGCAGTTGATGTTACGCTCCTAACTTTATCATGTAATTTGGGCCGGGGTGGGGTTGGGTGGGGCGTGTTAACCTTCATGTCAATGTTAAATGCATTCTCAGAGATGCAGTTGATGTTACGCTCATGTAACTTCTAAGAAGCACTTGATGCTACGCTCCAACCTACGTAAATTACTTGGTTTCTAAGACGCACTTGATGCTAAGCTATGAACTTGATTACGTAACTTCTAAGATGCACTTGATGCTATGCTATCAACTTGATCATGTAGCTGGTACCTGCAACCTTGCAGACACTGCTGCGAAAGAAAGTGAATCCGTTGCTTCTGACATACGTCAGGCAATGGCAATGGCACCAAGCCATGTCAGTTAGATATTTGTTCCACAAAAATCACAAAACGGGCAAATGCCATCGTAGAAAAAGACGAAGTGAAAAAACATCATCCGAAACTCACGACATCCATTTTGACCTGCACTGGCCAATCAAAATACGGTTACCCCGTACGGATGTTTGACCATGGCACATATATGAGGGCCTACTACCATCACTTTGACATGGTTTTGATATGTTTTGATGTTGGTAGTGTAAGACTAGCCATGAAGTGGTTGCACTCCCAAGTATTTGTGACATCTGATGCATCTTGCTGCCAATTTTGGCATCTTTTCTTCACTGTTAGACATGGTTAGACAGGACAGAACATCCATTTAGGACTACATGTCTTATACCACACTTGAACATGGAACATGGAGTCCAAGAATGCAAGTTCTAAGACTTTAAGAAACATCAAGAAACACATTTCAATGAATTGCTTGATGCAATCAGTGGGGCTACTTGATTGGGCGCAGGCGTAGAATTACTACCCAACAAATGTGCTAGGCACATTTTGGAACTCACATGGTGGCACAGCCTTCCGTGTATGAACAAACAAAAAACACATTTGATCACGTCAGTATACTGACTTTACTACTTCATTTTGCCACAAGTGGCCACAACACTAAACTTCTGGGGTTTGGTTTCATGCGGGGATGCAAAAACACTAGTACTGTAACATCTATGAAATGCCGTTTACAAAAAAAAAACTAACATTGGAACATATTGGAAGATGCACTTTCCAACTATTTGCGTCTTCAGCAGGGTTGTTTTTTTTTCGGTTCTGTCGCCCCTAACAGTCGCAGCCGCGACTCAGACAGCCGACGAACTTGAAGCCGTTGTTGCTGGGAGTCCCAGCTGGCGAGCTGGGATGGAAGATGATGATAACTGGGTTACATGTTATAACCAGAATCCATCCCAGTAAGTGTCTGTGATATAATCCATAGTAGATTATGTTATGATCAATCCATAGTAAGTGTCTATTATGATATAATATAATTTATACAGCATACATATATATATATATATTTAATGTTACTTTTGTGATCATCTATGGATGTATATACTTATACATAATCCATATTACCCTCTGGTTATGACTAACATAGCCATGGTATAGATGGCCCATAGAAATAGATGGTTTAGCTGGGTTTACCTATTAAACATGGTGGATCTTTCCATGGCTATGTTAAATAACCAGATGGTAAGTGTCTATTATGACAATATATATATACAATATAATGTAATTTTGTTATCATCTATGGATGTATATACTCATACAGAATGTGTAGATTGTAAAATAATATACATAGTGTAGATTAAATGCACAAGTTATCATATCTACCCACAAGAAATAGTGGCTACATTGTAAGACCTCACGTCGCTTTTCCGAAGCCTGGAATGAGGTCGGGATCCCGGAAATGATCGAAACATCAGGTTAGCAAATCATGGTAATAATTATAGTAATAGTTACTATTTATTATAGCTATAGTAAATTGTAGTCATTATGGATTATTTCAATTATTTTCATTATGGTAATTTACCCAGATATAATATGATATAATTAATAGTTATCATAGCTACCCACAACAAATCGTGCACATTGTATATATATATATTATGTGGCAGTTGATCGCTTTGGCGCGATGCTGCGGCTATGCGGGATTGCAATTAGAGATGATGACACGCAATTGCTCGGTTCCCTGCGGGAAAGCATCCGTGATGCTGCGACTCTCACCTGGCAGGATTGCAGCTGAAACAGTAGCCTCAAGTTTCAAAACGCACTTGGCTGCGCGAAGAGAAGAATTGAATGGCAGAAGCTACGGAACAGTGCTAAGAGAGGGAAGCAGCTCAGAGCAGTAGCGGGTCAGAGAAGAAGTGGGATTTCCCAGGGAAGAAATAGCGGCTCTGCGCGAACCTGTACTCGAGATATTTACCCAAACATACATGAATCATGCGTTTACATGGTGTTTTGATATCGAAATATATCGTTTTGTTATTGTTTTTCCATAGTTTCCTGGCAGTTGGGGGGGCGTAGTTCCATGGGGGAATGACTGTTGACTGCAACGTTGGGGGACCTTCGCCGGCATTGAGTAACTACTGTATCCCAACAAGCACAACCCAGTTATATACACATGATTGAGATCATTAGCTATTTATTACAATAGGTATAACTGGGAATCAAGAAATATCACAAAAAGCTTCTTCAAAGTGACTTTTGTTTGAGGTAAGTGACCCCTTTTGGAGTGAAATGACCTTGAATTGCTGGTTCAAGAAGATCACTTTGAAGATCCAGGCACAATAGTTCACCAACATAGAACAAGGTGAACAAGGTCATTTGGGGATGGCGTGTATAATAAAGCCATCCTTTTTACAGTGACTTCGCAGCGAGTTCGTTGTGAAACAACTATTAAGATCTATTAAGGAGTTACCATGTATATAGTACTAGTTGCATTTTTTTCGGCTACGTAATAGTTACAACATTTTACAACTACTATAGCTACCATTGACCCAATTTGGACTATCCCGATATCTGGTATTAATACGGTATTAAGTATTTGAGCGTTGAGTGAACCCTTGAATAGTTTTGGACCCTTGGATGCAAAGAAGAATCCACAATGCTGGCCTGCAGGGATCAAACTTGGCATTGGACAATTTACCAATTTATCTGGGTAAATTATAACGACCTCACTGCGACCTCACTGGGAATCATGGTTAGTAAGGGGAATCATCCCCAAATGGCCTTAATTCAGGTTAGTGAAATATTATAATTTACCCAGGTACTTGATTTGTTCCAGCTATAAACTTGCATCTATAGTGGATTTCCCAGCCATGTTTATATTTTTTCCCCTCCATCTAGTTGAATTACCTCCATTATGAAACACGATGAATCGTCGAAATAAATGGGGCATTGAAAAAAAATAACCGGGGGCTAATCCCATATCATATCATATCATATCATATCATATAGGTTTCCTGAAATAGGGGTACCCCCAGTTACATTATGGGATTTTCCATAATCATATAGGTTTCCTGAAATAGGGGTAGTCCCATATCATATAGGTTTCCATGTATCATATTTTATTTGGAATTTTCCATGAAATAAACCATCCAGCGATAAAGGGGTAGCCCCATGACTATGGACACCCCCTTAGGCCAAGGCGCTTCGGGAGACAGCTGACTTCGATGCAAAAGAGGTCCGGTGATGAGAAAAAATGGAGTGGAAAGCTCGCTTCAAAAGCATTAATGTGGTTAAAACATATTAAAACAATAATCAACCTTTCCCAAATTCACCATTTTAATAAATGGGTGGGATTTCAACCATCAAAAATGGTGTGCTTTATTAGTGTTTTAACCACATTATGTCATGATAAAATGTAATGTCACACATCATTACGTATCCACAATTGTATGTATGGTTTCACAAGGTTTTGTTGGATAGGCCCCAAACTGGCTCAAAGTCCAGAGATATGTGTAGATTCAACACGGATGGAACCGTTCGAAAAGGTCCACACAAGCTGGTTTTTGGTGGAGGTAGTACACCAATGAACACAGGATCACAAGCAACCCAAATTGTTGAGTAATACCAGGTGAATGTTTGCAAACGGTTGTAATAATGGCGGCATATTTGATCTACAGAAATTGTAGATCAAACCCAACAATCTCAACCATGACATAATGGCCAGATAGAAACTATAAGCGACAGAACTGAAGGAAATCATGAACTCAAAAAGGGATGAAAACTTACCATACGTGCTGACTCCCTTCCCTTCGCTTTGTGTTTGGTTTCCTGCAATACATGGTGTCGTGTTGTTTTGCGTCGCCAAAACCTGCGAGTACAGACAGGTCTCTCAAACATTCATAGATACATACTATATATATGCATATATCATATATAGACACTGTATTTACATATATATATATATATATCCAATTACATATACACATCCATATATAGTATCACCCACAAAGGCAGTTGACCATTCGTGTGTTTGAACTGGCAATTACACTGTTTATTGTGTGTGGTTTTACATTTGCTTTTTGCAAAAAACTTGGGCTAAAAATGTTGATACCATATCTATGTGTAGTTCAACTGCAGTAAAGCATCAGCAATATGTTGTGGGAAATGTGGCAGTATCCCAAATATAGTGCATGGGACACAAAGTAATGGGATAATATCCAAGGTAAGAAAGAATGTCCCAAAAAGTAATGTGACAATATGCAATAATATCTCAATATGACAATTCCCCACAATTTAACATTGTAGAATAGACATCACCAAACTTGATATCGCTTAGGATCAACCAACCCCCCCAAAAAAAAGAAAAACTGAAGAAACAAATGATCAAGAGCGAGCAGAAAGTACTGTAAAAACAAACAACAACCAAAACTTAAAAACCAGCACAACAAAAACCTGAAGCCGACATTTCAGAACACGTTGTTCACAGCCAAACGCATCAGCAACGAAGCCAACAATAAGGCACTTGCTGGGTGATTTCGATCTGAAAGGCTCCAACAATCCAAGCGTGGTTACGTGGTGATGCGGTCACATACACAGAACTTACAAATAGATATTAGCGTATAAATATAGATGGTTCGTGGTTTAGGAACATTTGGATAATTTTGGATATATCTGAAAATGGGGCTAGCCCAACATGCCCATTCAAATTCTGCTTGGTGGTTTGGAACATGAATTTTAATTTCCCCACATATTGGGAATTTCATCATCCCAACTGACGAACTCATATTTTTCAGAAGGGGTAGGTATACCACCAACCAGTTATAGATGGTTGTCACACATAAATCCTTACGCTCCCTACCATAGGCTGCACCTTCAGTAGCATCTCGCTAGGCTGCACTGGCCGACTTCGAAGGCGAGATGGCATACTGCACAGATGGTTATTGGTTGGTTGCCAAGATGGCAATGGGAAATCCTATGAAATCCTCATATTTGCAGGCCTGAATGGGAAAATCATCGAAATAGAACAACTTTTTAACAATGGCCGGTGTTGGTTACCAGCGGCAATTCGATACTGACGAATGGCTACTGTATGTACTCAGTAGTGTCAAATGGTTTCTAGTGGTGGGCCAACCAATGAAATATCAAAGAATATGTGTAAGAACAAGTTGCTACTAATGACAACCTCTTTTGTTTTTTTCGATAAGTGGGGCCACCAAGAAATGGTTACTGGTTACTTGTGGGGACCTTTCCCAAACAAATTTGAGGGATTGGGATCCAACATTTGTTCCGAAAATCCAATCAAACTTTTTGTTTTTTCACGGTGTTTTAGTCCTGATTGAAGTGGAAACACCATGGATTTAAGGTTTCCCAGTGACCAGCCCTTTCAGCAAGCCTGCCCAGTGATACCTTTAGGGCTGTGACCCAGTTGGAGCAAGCCTCAAGAAACTCAAAAAAATCATTGATGTTGGTGGTTTGGAACATGGCTTTTAGTTTCCATTTCATATATGGGATGTCATCCTTCCCGTTGACGAACTCCATCATTTTTCAAGATGGGCACATTGCACCACCAACCAGTCATTGATGTTGAATCTTTGCTAAAAACCTGCCTTTTTTTCGTTGCGTGACATGGTGTGACCCAATTCTTGAAAAATCCATGAATCCTGCAGCGGGCAGGTTTCAAGTTCACAGGATCCTTGAGGCAGACTGGGAAGGAATCTGATTTGTTGAGGTATTATACCTGGGATACCAACCCCTAAGACTAAGATATGATTTGTTTGATTCTGATGGGATTTGAAACTTAAGTCCAGGAATGCTGGAGATATCTCAAATATAATATGTTTTTGTAAGTTATGATTACCTGCTGCCTGACACAAGCCGAATGTTTTTCTACGAATTATGGCCCTTGAGAAGAGGGTCTGGGGTTGTGTTTTCAACACCTGGGCACTAAGCATACATTTGAAATAAAAGAGATAGAACTCAAGAAAACTTGAATATATTAATGGATATTTCCTGTTAAGGGACGTTTCCTGTACTTGATCCTCTGTGATTTTGACTTGGTGGGCTGAACAATTTTATGTTTATCTCTAGATTCTACATGATTGTTTTAGTTTCCATTGGCCAGTTGAATTTGTTAGAGATTATGGATCACAATTAGACACCCAAAAAAGACAGAGATCCATCAAAGAAAAATGGCATATCAACTAACAACATCTAACCAGTGTGTGGATTTGGGAATGGGCCAACATAAACCATCATAAACCACATTCAAAAAAAGGAACAAGATGAAGATACCACCTGGTTATGTAACATAGCCATGGAAAATCACCTTTTTTAATAGGTAAACCATCTATTTCTATGGGCCATTTCCCATGGCTATGTTAAATAACCAGAGGGTACACATGATTTATGAAATTGTAAATGGTTCTTGTTGAGATTTCCACTCGATAGGAAGTAAACAAACATCCTCTTGAGTCAAAACAAAATGCACACTTGATAGAATGTTAGTGTTTATTGATACCTACTGGCATCAATATGTGTATTGTTATCCATTTTAGTATGTATTCATTGCATTATTGTGTATATGTCTAGTCTGACTAATACTAATCTGATTATTGCCCTTCTGAACATCGTTATTACGTGTTTGTTTGTTTATATGTCACCTCATATAAATGACATGTATACAACAATATCATAAAATATCATAAATAGTATATCACTATGTGTATCTATACATACGGATGGGCCAGCGAAATCCTGCATCACCAAAAGGATGATTGAAACCCTACCTATAAATAGTGGGAAAAACACTTATCAAGTGGATTAACCTGCATCACCAAAAGGATGGTTGAAACATGTTGAAACTCTATAAATAATGACGAAACAAACACTTATCAACTGGTGATTCGGATTTCTTCCATCCAACGTCGATGGCACGGAGGCCAGGGCGTGTTTCGTCCCAGATGCCGGTGCCAGAGGCAACGCCAGGATGGCCAGGGTTTCTTCGGGGAACGTAAGAAAATCCATATGGAATTCCACACGGGGTGTGAAAAAATGGGGAATTATGAATGGATTGGTTTTTCCGGGAGTAAATATTTACAGGGAAGCCCCATGATCTATGGTTTCCGGTGAAGATTTTCCCTGAAACCAAACCATTGTGGAATACTCCCCCAAATGGCCACCATTGAGGGAAAATCATGAGTCACCATAAGATTTTGGTGCATTTTCAGGCAAAATTCGAGGGAAAATCATGGGGGCCCGATTCCTGGGACAGATTCCCATACGCCATAGGGCTTTCGAGAGTATTATGGGAGGCTGGAATGGAGGTCCAATCATGGTGGGTCCATAAAACAGTGGTGAAATATATGTACACAAAAAGAGGTGTTATCAAACATTGTGGATTTAGCAATGAAATATGAGATGGTTAACCATATCCAACCAATGAACAATGGATTTGGGTTTGTCTTGAACATCGGGTATTTCAATCCAACATAAAATATCATAATTCATATGGAGACATAGTGAGGTGTATCTCAAATCTTGGCAATTTAATGAAACAAAATCGATCAATCACCAATTTTTGAGGTATATGATGTGTTTTCAGACAAATCCATCTACAGTATGCGAATTATGCCACATTCTACGGGATATACAACCAATATATGCCAATATGATGTGTGGGCTTCTCCAAAAACAGGAGATGGAACTCCATGTGTTTTTTTTGGGAGAGAAAATGACGAAAAAACATGGATTGGCATGGGGTTTTCTGGCCAATGGCTCCAGTTTTCAGCAGAAACCACCGTTCCAATACTGGGCCCGGTGTAAGAATAGGATCTGGTTGGTGGTTTGAACATTTTTTATTTGTCCATAATATGTGGGAATAATATGGAATGTCATCATCCCAACTGACGAAGTTTTTTTTCAGAGGGGTAGGTCAACCACCAACCAGCTAAGTAACTAAGTATGATAATCAATGGGATTAAACCATTATATAATGAAACCATACAATCACCATATATAGGGTAGGTTGAAACCACCAACCAGATATGATGTAAACAAAAAAACTTTCAGGAACCTGTGATGCCTGTGATGTCCATCATGGGGATTTCCAATCAAGTGTCGCAGGGTTTCTGTCCAGAACTTGGCTTTGCAAAAACTGCGATTTACTGCGAAACAAAACAAGACATGAAACTGAAACATCAGCTGATTTCGAATGATGTCTCCGGATATTAGAGTAAGATCATCGACATGTTCCAGCGTGTTTCGGACGTTGCGTTTCAATTTCATATCTGTTTTGCCAACGTCCGGATGCTATTTTGAACACGTCCGCATCCAGGGCTGTCGTGGGCCGCTCCCCGACTACGCCCTACATCGCAAGGGTCTACCGAGGTGGGAACCAGTTCGAAGAGACCATGAAATATGGGTGTTACCCTCTGGTAAACATAGAAAAAGCTATTGAAAATGGTGGTTTTCCCATCAAAAATGGTGAGTTTCCCATTAAAAATGGTGATTTTCCAGTCCGTTATGTTAGTTTAAAACTGAGGGTATACCACGGTAATGACTAACAGTTTGCTATTGAAAATTGTCATTTATGGTGAGTTTTCCCATTAATAGCATGGGGATTTTCCAGTTCGCTATGTAAACGTTTACCAGAGGGTAACAGTTTTTTTTTTGACCAAACATGTGGATATAGATATAAGATGATAGAAGTTCGCTATTTTAACATATGTTAATCACTAAACATGCTAGATAGATGTGGATATATGGTATCATTGAGAATCAAATGTTGACCCTTTGCTGATGAATGCAGTAATACTATGCAACCCCTACAAGTTATCGTTTCAGTAAGGTTGCAATAAGATTTTCAGCCACTGGCCCCATCGTTGGTGCGTTGAAATCCATCCCTTGGGGAAATCATTTTCACGAGCCATTTTCTTGGTTTGTAATGTGTGTTTTCAGGCATTCACAGTTTTTTGATGTTTGTTGTACCGTTTGTTTCATGTGTTCTTTGCAAAAAATGGTATCTTACTTACACGTCACATGTCTCTTCAAGACCTGCCTCTTCAACTCACTGGACGAGGGTGCTGGAAGCCCAAAGCAACTAAATAAAGCTAACAAAAATCTAGACAATAACAATCAATGAATCAAGCATGTTAAAGAAAAGCTCTTGGAGGGAGTGCCCCTTCGGCGGCCCAAAAGTGGGATTTGTTTAGCCTTTGTTAGCTTTTGTTTAGCAATTTTCAAGCATGCTTTAGTTGTTTCAATAGTTGTTTCTAGTTGTTTTTAGTTTCTTTTATAGCTTTGTTCGGCATGTTTCAGCTTTTTGTCGTTGTTTCTAGTTTCTTTTAGTTTGTCTGATTTTTCTTTGGTTTTCAAGTTTTTGTAGCTTCAATATGTTCTCTGAATTCTAATGTTCCTTCGGCATTCCCTGTTTTTTTCTGTAGAATTTAAATTGATTAATGTCCACCTCTGATTTATAAATAGGCCCCCCCCCTCCTCTTTTCCCCTAAATAGACTTAAAGCCACCATCAAACTTGTTTGTATGTAAAGGTTTTCAATTACCACAATTTAAAACGAATACATAAAATGCAATTTCAAAAAAAAAAGGAATCCAACAATTGTTTTAGTATTGATCTAGTACTCATGTCATGGATTTAGTATTGATCTAGTACTCATGTCATGGATTTAGTATTGATCTAGTATTCATGTCATGGATTTAGTATTGATTTAGTATTGGTTTAGTATTCATTTCATGGATTTAGTATTGATTTAGTATTCATTTCTTGATCAGCAGGAGGGGGAAGCTCAGTAGCTTTATTCAGGGTCAAACTCTAGGTAGTGCTAACCTCATGGGGGGTACCCTTGATGAGTTGATTTGGGATTGATTTTGGATAATTTTGAATAAAGGTTTTGAATAGAAAAGAGCAACCATTATTTTTGAAAATTTGAAGTTCTCAAGGTAAGATCTAATGAGCTGGCAATATGAATTAGTACATGAAAGCCACCTCAAATAAAGCATGGACAATTTTTTTCAGCCCCATCTGGGCAAATCTGGGTTTAGGGCCAAAAAAGTTTAGCAATATTCAGGCTAGTTTTATTATTTAGTTTTGGAGTTTTGTTAGCACTATTCAGGGTAGTTTGATAAATCGTAGGTCAACTTTACCACTGGAGTGCCAGTGGTGAGATCTCCAAAAAGAACCGAATATCATTGGATTGTTAGGGTTAAAGGATTTTTCCTAGCATTTTAGGGTTAAAACAGAATAGGATTGGATCTTTCTAGCATTTTGTAGCTTTTGTTTGGATTCCTTCAGCTTCCTGTCGGATTCCCCTGGGATTCCTGGGAGCATTTTCCAGCTCCAAATTGTTTGAAGCGACACCTCTTGAAGAGGCATGCCATATGATCCTATGATGGTATATTGAAAAAATCGCACATCCTCTCCAAAGCAAAAGGATTATGGAATTGCGTTTCTTGGATGGACATGTCACAGATTGTCACAGTTGGAAAGTGGTTTTCCAAGCCCTCAAGCTGCCATAACTTCGTCATTCAGCGGCCTGGTGGTTTTCCAACCCGCAGAAACCATCCCCACTTGGACTCCTGGCAGGTCCGAATTCCTTCGAAGCAGGACGGGGGTTCCATTGTTGAAGACCTGAAGGGGTCAAAACCCTTGCTGAAGTTGTAAACCCAACGATCAAAACATATCAAAACCCTTGATGTTTGATGAATAAACCAATGTTACCAAGCCGGTGATTTTTTGGGATGATACCACGTTACCACATGATGGATTCATGTGAACTATTTGTGTGGGGGAACAGCAACAAGAACTGAACTTGATGATACCTCCGCGTATCACTTCGAAGAACCAGTGATGATGGTCTAAAAATCTTACATATTCTTACCAAGTTGAGTACGAAATCAAGGTCAGGGTATCTGATATGCACTAGCGCACAGGTTGAACTGCGATACTCTCGATGGAAAGCAACCCATGAATTTTCTATTGTTATGGAGAATTATTTCATCATGTTCATCGATCAAGCAACACACCTTCCAAATCATGGATATCATGGTGCCCCCGAACGATAGCTAAGTTGGTGAACATAGCTCCAATAACTATGGTTTATTGTACTTATAACATCTTATAACTATAGTTAATGGGGTCTATAAACCAACTAACATCACTGGGGGGCCCCGCATTGTGGATATCATGGTGTTGGCTGAAGCACTCCATTTGCGGTGTTTGTTGCTACCAAATCCTCCAATGATTTGACCAGGCATATCTGGGTTTTGTATGGATCCAGTAAAACGCCGGGGCCGGCACCGATACAACACCAACTTACTATGCCTCAGTTGGTATATGGTCAATAGGAAAGGTTAGTTCACCCATGTCTCAGGGTTTATCCTACTATTTGCAAATATGGTAAATGCATATGGTATATATATATATATATATATGTGTATAAAACCATGGTAAATACCCATATCAAACAATCTGTTTGAATTAATGACCACGGTAAATAACCATGGGAAACAGCATGTGTGGAATTTACAAATGGGATGTTTACCCCAGTTTCAAAATTGGAAGACTCTGTTTCACTTTGCAGGCGACTCTCAATTACCAACAAGCATGGTTGTAAGGGCTCAGGCCTTTCAATTTTAATTTCCTCAATAGTAACCATGATTCCACGATTCAAAGGACTCTACTTATTCATATCTTCCATGAAGAGTCCCAATTTGTTCATGGTAAAACGGCAAAACCCACCGTTTCTATACCCTCTGGTAAACGTTTACATAACTGGAAAATCACCATGCTATCAATGCGTAAATCCACTATTTCAATGACCATGTTCAATAGCAAACTGTTAGTCATTACCATGGTATACCCTCATTTTAAAACTTTTACATAACGAACTGGAAAATCACCATGTTTAATGGAAAAATCCACTATTTCTATGGGAAAATCACCATTTTTACTGGGAAAATCACCATTTTCCATAGCTTTTTGTTAGTTTACCAGAGGGTACTGATCTCCCGGGAACTGTTTTTCGCTTCGCAGGACGAAGACCATCCCGGTTCTGCAGGGCGAAGACTTGGAGAAGATGCGCCAGGTCGCCGCGAGAAATGGACGTGGTCGCAAGGGCAAGGAGGTAGCCTGCATAGGTAAATCATGGTAAATCTAACATGAAAACTATGGAAAACTCGAAATGATAGGTTTAGTAGATTGGTAAACTAAAATAACTATGGAAAATCAGAAGTAAAATGGTAAATCAACCATACATGTGCCATGGTTTCTATCGCTATGTTTGTTTACCAGAGGAGTAATGATGGGACTGGGAGAACCATGAAGATGACGGAATATCCTGAGTTATAACTACGTATATATAACCAATTTAATACTCCTAAATATGTTGATTTTGTCATAAGGGGGTTATATCATTGATGGGTATAATTCTGAGATACTATGACATAATCCCACGAGAATATGATGTATAATAATGCGTGATAATAATGTACCCTCTGGAAATTTAACATAGCTGTTGAAAATGGTGATTGCGTTCGTTGATTTACCCATTAATAGCATGGTGATTTTCCAGTTCGCTATGTTAAATTACCAGAGGGTAATAGGAGTAAGCCAGTAATCTGAATGAATTTAATGATGACCTCACGTCGTGACGTCACTGAAATGATCTTTAAGGGGAATCATCCCCATAACAGGCCGCATGAATTACAGCTATGTTCAGGTGAGTGAATTGCGAAAAAAATGCTGCCAGATGGGGGGGCATAACCAGCAATCATGGGAAAATCATGGTGAGAAGGGGATGTGTATATATATATATATTATATTATACATATATGTATATATATATACACTTTATACTTAATCAAGTTAAACAATCCTAAATGTACATGTGACCATCAAAATTTGTGGGTTTAACCGATTGAACCACGAATCATGATATCCAACGGATGAATAGTGGATTTGGTTTTGGTTTGAAAATGATAAATAAGTGTGTGTATATATATATACATGTAAGTATGAATATACAACCAACATTAACCAACAACAATCATGGTAATATTTCACAGAATACAATCGGATATTTACTGGATACATGCTGAACAATGTGATATTTAAGGGATTGTTTGAAAAATGAGATCCTTGGAAAATGATCATAATGAATTCCTGGTAGACCCCCTAGCTACCGGGGGGGATTGTTGTAGTCTCCACTGGCAGATGGAATTGGACTAAAAGGAGGTACTTGGTAGTTCTGTTACGGTCCAAGCTCGTTTGAGAAAGCTGCGATGGCCTCTTAAATGTGACCATAACGGATCTTTCTTCACTCAATCTGGTTGGTGGTTTGGAACATGGCTTTTATTTTCCATCATGTATGGGATAATGTTGGTGGTTTGGAACATTTTTCATAATAATATGTCTGGTTGGTGGTTTGGAACATGGCTTTTATTTTCCATAATTAATATGGGATGTCATCCCAACCCCATTGACGAACTCCATCATTTTTCAAGATGGGCACATTGCACCACCAAGCAGCAATGTTTGGAGATTCTTGGGTTAGCTGATGTTGGACCCATGACTTGACTTAAATACAAAAAAGCAGTGTTCCAGAAACCATGGAAAAGTCATCCCTTGAAACTTGAAACTGATGTTGGTTATTAGGATTTGTCATGGATTGTGATTTTTGTCCCGCTATTTGTCAATTGTAATAACAATAGATTATGGTCATATGATCCCAAATATATTAAAGAATCCCAAATATCGTTGGAATATTGGTTATATTGACTCAAAAATGTTATGTCCCGCATCTTCATGATTAAAACATGAAGAAAATCCATCAAAATCTGTCTTTTTTATGACCAGTTATGGTCATCAATTCGAGCTTTTTGGTCAGGTCTGCTTGCAGGGCCGAGAGGTCTTGGACCTGGCTTCCAGGATGCTCAGGCCGCAGAAGAAAGGTGAAAAAGGAGAAATCAGCCGTAAAGAATGGCCTTGAATGGTGATTTCATGGTTTAACAATGAGTCAACTAACCATGGTGAATAATGGGATGATATGGGATTACCCTCTGGTAGTTTGTTAACAGTTTGCTATTGAAAATGACCATAGAAATTTTGTTGATTTACCTATTCAAAAAGATGGATGTTCCATGGTTATGTAAACGTTTACCAGAGGGTAAACATCACCATTGAGAAACTCCCAGGTTGTGGACCCCAAGCGATCATCCGAGTTAGGAACAGTTTGGCATATGTTTGTTATATCTTGGAATGAATTTGTCTCAATTGAGCCGTTTTTTTGAGTCTTACATTTTTTCCAACATATAACAAACATATAACAACATACTTGAGGGATATCCTTTTTTTTCTAGAAACACCCATAGTTGACTCAAATGAGCCACAAAGGTCAATGATAGTTCAATCGACATGAAAGAGGATGTTCTAAATTTACACCGGACCATAGATGTGGCCAAGGAGCGTGCATTCAATCAAGCAAATAATGCAGCGCTATGGATTGTTCATGTTCGTTGTTATGTTTTCCACAGCTGCATTTGTTGGTGGTAACAGTCAGCCCAAGAAGAATTGGACACGTGAGACCCCGTGCGAGATAGGTTGTTCAGCATGATCAAAATGGGGATAATCTCCACGAAATTGGGGATTGGCTTGAGTTATTGTTCAGAATTATGTGTCTCCAGATGTCGCGCTCATTGTTGATTGATTTACGAATCAAACTGATGAATCCAAACAGAGTCAAACATGTTTTTGGTCGAAAAATCTGGACATATTATCATGATCTTCCAATTCACCCCCAGTTGATCTTTATTGTCCCATTCATATGTGCCCCGAGCAAAGCCATGGCAACCCAACGGGGGGTGCCACAGATTTCCCTCAGACCTGGCATCACGGGGGACGAGATCGATCGGGTTCGGGAGCCCGAAAAGCGGAGCCTGGAAGCCACGGAAGTTTTTTTCTCTAAGAGAGACAGTGATGTTTCAAGGGATTTTCATGATCTGTTCCCTTGTTTTTATATGTGTTTATACATGTTATACGTATGAAAATTATGGACAAAATCCACCGTTTGTCGATTATTCCATATATTATCCCATTTCATATTATGTCCTAACCATAAATGTCGATGATCCGTGGATAATCCATCCAAAAAAAAACAGGTCTATAAAAAAGATCTCTATGATAAGTTATTCCACCATTTATAGATGATTATTCCATATTATCCCATATTATCAGAGACGGTTCCAATTTATATATGATTCCATTGATGGGAATTTTATCAGGGATTTTGGTTTGGGCACATTACCCATAGGATCCATGTATGGTATATATGCTAACATTTGGGGTATATTGATGGTAAATGTTACCATATATAGCATACATGGATCCTATGGGTTATAGAATCACCATTTAGAATTCCACCATATCCCAGGACATAAGACCTATGTCGGGGATTTCGGATGGAATTTCCCCCGTCCCGAATTTCCCAGGTGGTGTACGTTGCATGTCGGGACCGAGGCCGGGGCAGTTTTCAGCCGCAGCGCGGCCGGGCTTTTCGGGTCATGTCCTCATGGGGATGGAAAAAAATGCAAAATTCAAGAGGATATTACCCTCTGGTAAATTAACATAGACCCTGGCAGATAGGGGTTGGAAGATTAGTTTCCATTAAAACTAGGCTATTTTCAGGGTCTATGTTAATTTACCAGAGGGTATTATGATATGTAAGAACTTCTATATGATAATAGCAAGAACTTATATCCAAGAACTTATTATAGGAGATGATAGGAGGAGATTATAGAAGGAGATTATGATAGGAGATTATGATAGGAGACTATGATAGAAGATTATGATCGGATATCATTGTTATAGGAGATTATGATAGGATATTATGTTAGGAGATTATGATAGGAGATTATGATAGGATATTATGATAGAAGATTATGATAGGATATTATAGGATGTTCATCAATGTATTAAGTAGACAAATGTATAGGATATGATAGGTTATGCATAGTTTGCTGAATTGTTCAGTGAAACACCTGATTCAGGTGCTCTTTGCCGGCATGTTTTAAGGTTTTCAAGGGGTGACATGTTACAATCTAAAACCGGTGATGTAAGCCGCTTCGTGGGAAAACCACGATCGTTGCTTCGGGGCTTCTGCAGATGACCTGACTTCGTTCCAGTCAGAGCCTGGAGATGTTGCCCCAGTCAAAACGTATCTACCCTGTGGTAAACTGACATAACTATGGAAAATCACCATTTTCAATTGGTAATTCAACTATAAATGACCATTTTCAATAGCTATGTAACAAATTACCAGAGGGTATTTAGATTAGTATTAATGTTGAGTCCTGATTAGTACCTAGGGTCGCTATTGTGGCAATTTTTTTCCAAATTATTCTGAAACTCATGTATTGTTTGGAGGGTTCGCTTTTGTGGCAAAACAAAATTGGGAGAGCCCTTTTTTTTACAAAAAAAACTGTAATTGCTGAGAGGCATTTTTCTCAAAAACGCTGTAGCTCAGTCAATTTTTTGCTCATCTCCCTATCTGAGCCTGTAAATGCATCTCTATCTGAGTAGGTTTGTTTGCTGGGTTCACTATTGCAGCAAGCTGTGCCAGAGCAGCCCCTGAAGAAGGGAAGCAAGCATTTTCCAAAATTGCCAAATTCAAACTGCAAGCCTTTCCCAAAAGAACCAATCCCTTATTAAACCCTTATTAAAGAACAGCTTTCCCACAATTTTCCAAGGCCCTGGACCAGTAGAGGCCCCATTTCACTTTAGTAGGTTTGTTTGCTGGGTTCACTATTGCAGCAAGCTGTGCCAGAGCAGCCCCTGAAGAAGGGAAGCAAGCCATTTTCCAAAATTGCCAAATTCAAACTGCAAGCCTTTCCCAAAAGAACCAATCCCTTATTAAACCCTTATTAAAGAACAGCTTTCCCACAATTTTCCAAGGCCCTGGACCAGTAGAGGCCCCATTTCACTTTAGTAGGTTTGTTTGCTGGGTTCACTATTGCAGCAAGCTGTGCCAGAGCAGCCCCTGGAAGCCCAGAAGGAAGCAAGCCTTTTCCAAAATTGCCAAATTCAAACTCCAAGCCTTTCCCAAAAGAACCAATCCCTTATTAAACCCTTATTAAAGAACAGCTTTTCCACAATTTTCCAAGGCCCTGGACCAGGAGAGGCTCCATTTCACTTTAGTAGGTTTGTTTGCTGGGTTCACTATTGCAGCAAGCTGTGCCAGAGCAGCCCCTGGAAGCACAGAAGGGAAGCAAGCCTTTTCCAAAGGCAATTGCCAAATTCAAACCCCAAGCCTTTCCCAAAAGAACAAATCCCGTATTAAACCCTTATTAAAGAACAGCTTTTCCACAATTTTCCAAGGCCCTGGACCAGGAGAGGCTCCATTTCACTTTAGTAGGTTTGTTTGCTGGGTTCACTATTGCAGCAAGCTGTGCCAGAGCAGCCCCTGCAGAAGGGAAGCAAGCCATTTCCAAAATTGCCAAATTCAAACTGCAAGCCTTTCCCAAAAGATCCAATCCCTTATTAAACCCTTATTAAAGAACAGCTTTCCCACAATTTTCCAAGGCCCTGGACCAGTAGAGGCCCCATTTCACTTTAGTAGGTTTGTTTGCTGGGTTCACTATTGCAGCAAGCTGTGCCAGAGCAGCCCCTCCAGAAGGGAAGCAAGCCATTTCCAAAATTGCCAAATTCAAACTGCAAGCCTTTCCCAAAAGAACCAATCCCTTATTAAACCCTTATTAAAGAACAGCTTTTCCACAATTTTCCAAGGCCCTGGACCAGGAGAGGCTCCATTTCACTTTAGTAGGTTTGTTTGCTGGGTTCACTATTGCAGCAAGCTGTGCCAGAGCAGCCCCTGGAAGCCCAGAAGGGAAGCAAGCCATTTCCAAAATTGCCAAATTCAAACTGCAAGCCTTTCCCAAAAGAACCAATCCCTTATTAAACCCTTATTAAAGAACAGCTTTTCCACAATTTTCCAAGGCCCTGGACCAGGAGAGGCTCCATTTCACTTTAGTAGGTTTGTTTGCTGGGTTCACTATTGCAGCAAGCTGTGCCAGAGCAGCCCCTGGAAGCCCAGAAGGGAAGCAAGCCATTTCCAAAATTGCCAAATTCAAACCCCAAGCCTTTCCCAAAAGAACCAATCCCTTATTAAACCCTTATTAAAGAACAGCTTTTCCACAATTTTCCAAGGCCCTGGGCCAGGAGAGGCTCCATTTCACTTTAGTAGGTTTGTTTGCTGGGTTCACTATTGCAGCAAGCTGTGCCAGAGCAGCCCCTGCAGAAGGGAAGCAAGCCATTTCCAAAATTGCCAAATTCAAACTGCAAGCCTTTCCCAAAAGAACCAATCCCTTATTAAACCCTTATTAAAGAACAGCTTTTCTACTACAAGTACTACAAGTACTACAAGTACTACATGTACTACAAGTACTACATGCACTACATGTACTACAAGTACTACAAGTACTACAAGTACTACATGTACTACAAGTACTACAAGTACTACAAGTACTACAAGTACTACAAGTACTACAAGTACTACAAGTACTACAAGTACTACATGTACTACAAGTACTACAAGTACTACAAATACCACAACTTCACGGCAAAAAAAACAATAGTAATTAGATTTCAATTGTAGCCAATTGAAATCCTTACTTAATTGAGGATATGTTTTTCTTTTGGGAAGAAAAATTTTGACTTTCTACTTTAAAGAGAGTCCAGAAATAGTTTTGGGGGGGGGGCCACACACTAATCAGGACGCAACATTATTGGTGACTCGCTCCAAAAAGTTACACAGTTACACCTTCCTGCTGGTTCCCCACCGCAGTCGATTCAAAGCCCTGAGGCCTTTACCCCAGCCCTTTGAACTACATGGGTTTCCTGGCTCCGATGAATCAAAGCGAGCTGGTGTTTTGCACCTCTTGAGGGCAGAAAAAAACATAATTCCGCATCCCATCGTTTTTTCTAAGGATGTCGTCCCCAAAAACCATATGGTTTAGTATTGGCATGTAATTGGATCTATTTATTTTGGGGCCTTAGATCTGGGGCGCCCCAGGGGAATGGGATTTTTCGCATGTCGCTGGGGCCCAGGTTTTCCAAACGCGCCCAGGTTTTCCAAAGTCCATTTGCGTCTCAGTGAACGAGGCACTGGCAGCCAAGATTGCACCTCTAAGCTGAATGAATGGGAGGTTTGAACTATTTTGGAATGGTTGGAATCTGAGAATGGGAAATTGCATGTCTTCGGTCTGGTAGGTGGGAGGCTATAGAGTATACCCTACGTCAAAAGCAAAATGCAGGGCCAGGACAACTCAGATGATCCATGGCCTGGGCCGGGGCCCTTTGCACTGGAGGCTTTCCAATCAATTCGAACGGTATTCTCCATGTTTTCGAGGCGAGTTTCCCAGTTTTTTTCAGGATTTTCATGGATTTTCCAGTTTGAATTGTAGTTTTCCATAGTTTCCCCAGATTTTCCCAGGATTTTCCATATTTTCCCCATATTTTCCCCAGATTTTCCCCCAGATTTTCCACGTTTTCGGGATGGCGCCAGCAGGTGATCTGCCATGGTATCCCTGACAGCCGGCCCTTGGAGGATGGAGACATCGCATCACCGGCCTTGCTTCGTTGTTCTTTGGGCATGGCGAAATCGCCAAAAAATATATACCCTTTGGTTATGACTAATTAGGATATACTAGGATATATATGATCTATGGTATATGACATAGATCTGCCTCCAATGATATATATATATATATCCATCATATATGACTAGGATATTATCGACAAAAAATATATACCCTCTGGTATAATAGTGGATAAACAGTGTATCTAGTATATGACTGGGATAGTAGTGGAGGCAGATCTTTGATGATCTGGATAATATCTAGATGATAGGATATAGAATGGATGATGGGATATATAATGGATGATGATTATTAACCGTATTTAGCCGTCAATATTGGGATTTAATACTGGATACTGATCTGGTTTGTTGGTTTGGAACATGTTTTTTCCATAATTTTCATATGGGATAATCCTTCCCATTGACTAATATTTGTCAAGATGGTTAAAACCACCAACCAGAAACACATGAGCCATGAAAAAAAGCTGGTTGATTGGTGTTGATTGGTGAAGATAGGCACTTGTACTACCTAATTTATTGGGGATTGTGATAAGACATAGTAAGGAAAACATTAGCCATGAAAAAAGAAGGCTGATTGATTAATGTTGATTGGTGAAGATAGGTACTTATACATACTTATACTACCTAATTTATTTGGGATCGTGATAAGACATAGTAAGGAAACCTCTCAAGATTCAAGCAACTAGTATGATTGAGATGGGATAGGGGTATATGTTTAGTGGCCCACATGGAACATGATGTGCAGGCTTGGAATATATACAGTAGATACTTAGTGGGTCATTATGAATGAACCATCAGAATCATGTCGTGTACTCTTTGGTAATTCAACACTTTGCTATGGAAGCCATGGCCCATTTATGGATGATTTGCCATGGTAAAGAATGGTGTTGTTACATAGCTCTTCGATTACCAGAAGGTAAATGGATTTCAGCGGTTGATTTTGAAGAAACATCAGGATCATCTCTTGCTCCACTGGTAATCAAGGATGACAAGGTGAAACACTGGATGAAAGTATTCACCCTCTACCCTCTAAAGGGCCGGTAGGGGAGTCCGGTAGGGGTGGTACTTTTCATGACGTTGACTGGCCAAAATATGGATGGTTCTGAAAAGTATCAAACTTGCTGGTGCACAAGAATCAAGTGTTTTCCTAGCAAACATATTTGAACATGACATTGGAAGATTATCATTCGTCGGCCGTTTTTGGAAACCACCATGGTGTTGATCATGTTTGTACTTCATTTTCCACGGCATGGTCCATTCCGACCATGCACACCATGCCGTGTTTTTGGCCAATGGCCAGGTAAATCTGGATGTCTCCGTATGTGCGAAGCCGAGCCGGGAGATGTGTCCACTGAAAATGAGTTTTATTGTAGGCTATGTCCACATATTCCTAGGGTCAATCAACAACCCATCATAGGGTATGTCATATCTCCACTGAAAATGGTTTGATGTGCCTTGTTCATTGGTGATGTGCTTTTCATGCCATCACCACTGAAATGAAGTTTACTCCTTTGCTGATCAAAGTTATGATCCCCTTTGATACATATCGTTTGGCCACAACCACTAGGCCACTAGGAAGAAATCAAGATTCTCATGCTCGATATGGCTTGTTTCAAGCGAAATGCCGAAATCGGATGGAATTGCTCCAATTCTCAAACTTGACACCTTGCAGTTGCAAACTCTGAAAGGCAAACTGTGGGTATCCCACGATCCCACGGTCCTGCCCAGGTCTGGAGGGTTTCCACGCGGACCTCAATGAGACATACTTCGTGGGCACCTGCGATGAGGAGTTGGGGACTCCCAGCGGCGAAGCCATGGTTGATCCATCATGTAGAGGGTTTCCCATGGGGTTTTGGGTTTAATCACTGGAGGGTACCCTCTGGTGATGTGAAAATAGCGAACTGGAAAATGGCCCATTTACAGATGATTGTCCCATTAAAATTAAAACCTCCATTTATTTCACGGATTTTCCAGTTCGCTATGTTAGTCATGACCAGAGGGTAGATGATATAGAAACCCTACGAACGATCAACATAGGGACGGAAAAATCTACCAACATCACATCGATTCCTGGGGAAGCCATGGATTCTCAGTGGATTCTTCACGTCAAACAGTTTGCCTCAGTGTGTATTTTTATACTACCCTCTGGTAATTTGTTACATAGCTATTGAATATGGCCATTGAAATAGTGGATTTTCCCAGCTATAAAATGGTGATTTTCCATAGTTATGTTAGTTTACCAGAGGGTAGATCAAAACATTGTCACTTGGTAGAATATGGCTCCAAGTTGAACCAGGGCAAAACTTCACTGGAAAGGTGGTTGTTTTTTTTAGTTTTGATGGGGCACACCCCGTCCATCTTTCGGATTGAAGATGTTTTCAAGCCCAGTTCTTGATGTGAATGGTTCATCATGGTTCATCTTATTTTTATAGCTTAATGATCAGTGTTTGATCCAGCCCCATTATATGCGTATGTTTATGTTGTTTCATAATCTATTATAACCCATAGGATCCATGTATGGTATATATATATACTAACATTTGGGGTATATTGATAGTAAATGTTCCCGTATATAGCATACATGGATCCTATGGGTAATAGTTTTTCAAAGGACAACACTTGGCTAAATCTCCTAAAGGATGTAACGCTCCGACCTTCCGTCGTTCTTCCCTAGGTCACACAAGCTGGTCAGAAGCAGCTACAATGCCCTAAAGGCGGGAAACCACGTGATGAATTGCCATGGGCTGTAGATCTTTTGTCATCAAACATGGTAATTGAAAAGCCTTAGAAATGGAGCTTTAGTGAGAAAATCATCGAACTCAAGGGTTTTTGTGCAAGCCAGCCACATTTGATTACCGGAGGGTAGATCTTCAATTGCAACTTGGATGACTACTCTCCTCCAAAAGTCAGGCTGATTGTCAGGGTCTATATACGTTGGATCGTTGGTTTGAGAAATGTTGGGTAAAAAAATGGGTCCCAACCTTTCAGAAATTTCCAGCCTTGCTGGCGGATCAAACCAGTTCTTCCTAAGAAATTGGTTTATTGGATGATCCAACCAGTTCATCAAGTGGCTGGGCTTTTTGTACAGGGCCAAAAACGAGCTGCTCAAATAAACCACAAAATAGGACTTTGTTTAAGTCAATGAGTTGGGCTATAGCAGTGACACTGAATTCAATGATCATGTGGTTTATAGCAGATCTACTGGATCAACCAATAAGTCAATGAGTGACAAGATACTGAATTCAATGATCGTTCCAGTGCAGTAAGGCCCACTTGTTTCACCACGTTCCCGGAAGCCAGCCACCAAGTCACCAAGCAGCCGATTTTTCGACTCCCATCCATTGGGTGACGGCTGGGAAGATCATTCCACTTGATAGCTGATGAGTAATTCATAGTCATACCCCACTTATATGTGGGATAAGCATGGATAAGCCACTTCGAGGACTTGCTAAGTAAGCTTATTATGAGCCACTTTCGATCTGTGGGATGATCTCCCAAATGGAAGATCTTGTCTTAACTTCTGGACCTTCTGTAGTGTTTCGCACCAACAAAGACCCTGCAGTGATCTTCATTGTATATACTGTAGACATACGTAGACCAAGTGGGTTTGTCTGAATGTAGGGTATCCGTAAATCCTTCGGCCTTTGACAAAAATTATCATGTTCCCATATGTTCCCTATGAATTCATAGTTGTTTGGGAGGTATTATATATATATAATTATATATATATATATTATTATACTTACCCTATCAGAAAGACCCAACTGGATGTCTATGATTTTCCATTGGCCTTGGGTCAGAAACATTTTTGGGCACAGCCCTGATGATCACCAAAGGATTGAAAAACGACTGGTGTACTGTAACTGGTGTAGAGATACTGCTGGAGTAATTTTAATGGGATATTGGGATATTACTATAGTTACCCTCTGGTAAACATACAAAAAGCTATTGAAAATTGCCATTAACAGTGGGTAAAAATGGTGATTTTCCATAGTTATGTTAGTTTACCAGAGGGTATGTCATAGTATAGTTATGTCATAGAGATTCCCATTGTTTTCAGAGTTATGTAAGTTATCACGTGACACGCAGTGGACAAATTTCGCCATCTGCCGGCATCGATCCAGTGACAGGCAGCGACCGCACTCATTCGCCCGGGTCGGGATCCAAGCCTTTCCTTGCCGCGTGGTGATCTGACCGGACAGGATTTGACCCCCAAGGAAATAATATATGGTGAATCAATGGTGAATCAATGGTGAATAGTGGTTTATGTGATGGGATGTCAATGGTTAATACTCTGGTTAAGTCAATGTTTAATATACCCTCTGGTTATTTGTTACAGCCATGGTATAGATGGCCCATAGAAATAGATGGTTTACCATGGTTTACTATTAATAGCATGGTGATTTTCCATGGCAAACTGTGAAATAACCAGATGGTAAGTAGCTAGGGGATGCTACGGGTAAGTTCGTCAATATCGTTCAATATCAGGATGTTATGCCGAATTGTCAGAATTGAGACTTTGTTTTTTTTGGACTCGTTCTTGTAAATTTGTTGTCTTAAACCAAAAGCCATCCTCTTGACGGGCACCAAATGTTGACCCGCTGGTTGTTGCCGTGGTTCACCAGCTCAGAAACATGTCGCCACATGGGCACCCAGCGATGCAGCGATGCAAGGTGAATAAATCGATATTTAACTGGACGAGTTTCAACAGAAGTTGATAGAAGTAAGACTCTTCAAAGCGGATCATGGTGATCATGGGAACAGCTTCAATCTTTAGTTTCCACACATATCACACCGAATCACACCGAATCACAGTGGTTTCAAGATCTGCTAGCAACTGCAGCAACTGTCACTTTTGACGAAAAAACATCACAATCGCCGGGCGACCCCCTTCCCCCGCAGGCACGGGTCGCTGGGGTCTGGTTTTTCGCGTTTTCTGAGTCGATCCAGACAGTTCTGGTCAATCTGGAGCAGACACAGCATTAAAAAAAACAACCATATATAACACTGGTACAAGCGGCACTTGCAAATTTCTCCAGCCAAAACTTCACCAGCTGTCCATTTGGCTTACCGTTTTCTACAACACTTTCGATTGGCAGAACTTTTCTTACCATCAACGTTTGGGGTACCCCACAGCGAAAAAATTGGATCATGTCACATCATATCACAATCCCGGTCGAAGAACTGTTCCAAATGGCTTGCTTCGGCATTTTGCAGTTTTCACTTGAAAACACTATGTCACCTGGTATCAACAAAAACAGCATCAGTGATCATGAATTCATGTGAATTCATGATTTAATCATCAACTGTTATGATCCTTCATCATCAGTTCATGTTTTTCCCAAATTAACCAGGTCGCCATTTTTTCCAGTGCTTAGTAGGGAAGTGGGGAACGGGTCGATTGTTAACAGTCATTATGATTTATAAAATGTTATAAATATGATATGTATAACTGGTTGGTGGTTTGGAACTTTTTTGATTTTTCCATATATTGGGAATTTCATCATCCCAACTGACGAAGTCATATTTTTCAGAGGGGTAGGGCTCAACCACCAACCAGATAATATTGTAGAACGGATCATTGCCCTAGTAGGTTTAGCCCCAGGTGCCATGTTCAAGGGCTTCAGCAGCTCGGACGTCTCCGGACAGAACCAGGCGGGTGTTTACGGGTGTTTGGCCTGGAGCGGTCGATCAAAGTGGGAGAACATGGTGATTTTCCATAGCTACCCTCTGGTAAACGTTTACATAACTATGGAAAGATCCACCATTTTATAGCTGGGTAAATCCACTATAAATCACCATTTTCAATAGCTATGTTAAATTATCAGAGGGTAGTTTACCAGAGGGTAATATCATCCATATAATAGATCACGTGCGCAGGAATGAGGGATAAATTGATGATTTACAACTAGTACTATGACATGTTTCTATCAAATGTATTCAAGTGTTGATTGTCATGCTTGTCATGAATAAATTAAAAAATAATCAATGAAATTGCAATGTGTTACTCCAGTTGTTCTTTTGGTCTCAGCCATCTAAAGTGTGTACTGTGAGCGTCAAGGTAGCCATTTTACTGATTGTGATTCAGCCGGAGAATTGCACATGGACCAGAGGCATAGGCACGTGAATGGAATTTCGATGTGTTATTGTCCTATGTAGCAACCCTTCAAAAGATAGACGAGTAAAATCCTTCTAAAATAATGGCAAAATTTGAGTAATGTTGGTAGAGCAATAATCAACCACCCATTTATGGGCATAATTTACACCAGCCATTTATGGTGATTTAGGGGGTGGTTTTGGATTGCTTTATAGCAACATATCATTAGAGTTTCACTGTAGTCTGGAGAAGCGCATGCGAAGTGCAACCATCAGACTGCCCAGCGGCCTGGGTCCCTGGGTCGGGGCCAGGTAAAGAGCTCGGTCCAGCGTGGCATCAAACAGAAGATTCAGGCGAGGGATCACATCCCGCGGTGCTGATCCATTTGAAAGATGCTTCAATGCTTCCAACAGAATCCTACGTATATGTATAGTACATTATAGTACTATAGTTATGTATATGTATACACAATGGATAATTATAGTATCCCAATCCCAAGCATATCTCATTAGAACCCCATGGGCAAAAACTACAGAAAGGTAGCGAACCACAACTAGATAACTAGCTCGCGCAGGAGCAATATCCGCGACTCGAAGGGGTGTTCAAGGACATTTGGCCCAAGGAGCGACCGCGTGAGGACATGGTTTACATGTGGATCTATGGGGTATCTTGGAGGCAGAATCTGAAATTCTTGGCTTGAGTGTTGGGTTGGTACCTGGGTTGATATTTGTTTGCTATGCTGTATTATCATACCCGTCCTTTTTCGTCATCTAAGATTCACCATGAAGCACGATGCCCTCGTGGAACTCTGGTCTAGTAGTTGTTATATAATCTATATATTTTGGGCTGTTGGGAAGGTATTTAGGGAATTTAGGGGTATGATGATGGGATTGCACTTCTGATGGATTCTCTATGCTTGCTATGGTGTCTGGCATGCTTAGTGCTTCAAAGAACTAATTCTGCACAATCAATCATGCGCAACTATTTCATCGCCGTTCTGCCTTAAAGATCTTTGAGGTGAGTCTGGGGCTTCCGTTTTGGGCAATGACGGTACCCCAGGATAGGCCATGGCGGCCACAGATCAATGTTTTTCTTGCCAGGATGCCAACATGGTGATTGAAGCTTGGTAGCAGATTCAGCTGGCCCCAGAAATGCTGTTGCTTTGTGTGGAATGCGGCTGAAACACCAAGCGTTTCAGTGCTCACATCACACATCACACATCTTCTCGTACCTTCTCTGACCGGATCTTATCCATCCATCCACCCATCCATCCATCCATCGTATATTTATTACCCAGTAGTTCTTCTGCCAGCGGTGCACATTTCCCCGTCGCGGCGCTTTGAGGCCAAATGCAAAGATCACATTTCCCTGGTCGTCATTGAGAAGGTACCGAAAATAACAACCCATAGGCCCATGTGGAAGTGGAGATATTCAAAGAAGCGGGGTTGTTGCCCACTTATTAACTGGGATGCACCCCCAACAAGATAGCCAAAGTTACCCTCTGGTAATTTAACACAGCTATTGAAAATGGCAATTTATAGTGAGTGTTCCCATTAAAATGGTGATTTTCGATAGTTATGTAAATGTTTACCAGAGGGTCGATGATAATGATCAACCTGTGTTTTTTGGGATTTGGGATTCCAATCATTGAACATGTCAGTTTGAGAGGACTTCATAAAGAAACCACTACGGTATACCTGTTTTGTGGCCAACTGGGTCTAACTCCTGTAGGAGACGGCTCACAGGGGGGAACATCCGGCACAGACCGAAGTTTGGCTTCGCGGGCGACCAGGGAATTTTGGCGCATTTTGGCCCATATCATATCCTTATTGGTAGTATAGTGCTATTTAATACGATTTATATGCACACCAACTGGGGCGCAAAAATGGTGATTGTTACTGGGCCCACAAAGATGACCATGCAGACAAGGTGGGTGCCCCAGCCAAAATGCTAAGCAGATGATTTTTTATTCTTGGTGACTGTTGGGCTTATTGTGGAGATATCTTGAGTAACCAGAGGTGTTAGAAACCAACTAACATAACTGGGTGGCATGTTTCTAGACCCCACCTGACTCGGTCACCTGACTCACCTGTATGTGTTTGCCCGATGTCCCGATGTCCGTCCTGCCAACCTCCTTGGAAAAGTTTGTCCGGCAAGGGCAGTGTAGGTTGCGAAAAAGCTGCGAAAAAGCTTGTTCAAACACTTGAGCCATTAAACAATATTAAACATATTGTTGGTGATAGTATAGTATTAAACTATAGTATATTGTTAATATATATATATATATTATATAAGTATATTGTATTGCTTATCATAGGAAGTTATAGCATATACTTATATACAATCGATTGGTGATGATGATAGACCGCAACAGGAAACCGGGTGCAGTTGGGGTTATTGATAGATATAACCACGGTGACTGCCCCATAATGTTGAAATTGTTATTATATCTAAAGGTATATCTACGGCCAAACACCTTGATTTGCCCGCGCTTGTCGGCGGCCATCTTCGTATGTGCTGAAGACGTGGTAAAAATGGGAGTTTTTTGCATCATGGCTAACTTCATGTTCTATATCGGCACGCACAGCATAGGGACCTGTGCGAGTCTCTTACACATCATCATCATCATCATCATCATCATCATCATCATCATCATCATCAAACCCTTATTGAAGATCTTCAATGGATGTAGAAGTTTAACGGGGTTGGGAGAATTAAACCCTTATTGAAGATCTTCAATGAATGTAGAAGTTTAACGGGGTTGGGAGAATTAAACCCTTATTGAAGATCTTCAATGAATGTAGAAGCTTAACGGGGGTAGGAGAATTAAACCCTCATTGAAGATCTTCAATGAATGTAGAAGTTTAGCGGGGGTGGGAGAATTAAACCCTTATTGAAGATCTTGAATGAATGTAGAAGTTTAACGGGTGTGGGACAATTAAACCCTTATTGAAGATCTTCAATGAATGTAGAAGTTTAACGGGGGTGGGAAATTTATATTCCCTAAAACCCTTGTTGTTCTTCATCCCAATTGAATGTAAAGTCTAACGTTTGATATCCCCAAGTGTACAGCATAGAAGGGGTGTGGGCGAATCGGGGTGTTTGCGCGTATATCTAGTGTCATATTATTGTTATTATATCCAATGTATAAATATATATATAACTATTGTTTTTTTGATCCCCAAGCATGTGGGGATTCAGGCTGATGCAGCGCTTAACGCATTCATGTATAATTATTTGAGATGATGAAGGTCAATCCCTGCCATGTTGATGTAAACTACAGGATGTTAATGTTTGGGTTCACAGTGTCAACCCCAGATTAAGAAACTTCGGTTGGTCAAAACTCAGGCGGTTACTCCCGCAAAGTACTGTTACAATGGCCATTTGAGGTACCTAAATTGGAGGTACCTACCATATATAATGCTTATGTAAGGGCTTCCAGGGGATATGCCTCCAAAATCTGGCCAGAAAGATGGTACGGTAGCAATTTAAGGTAGCTCCATTTTTGGGTCCTGAAATTCCCATGGAATCCAGGCGTTGTTCAGCTCTCAATCTGGCTGGTCATAGTTCCCAGATGCCCAAGAGTGGAAACCAGGATGCTATAGATGATGTGTCCCCAGAAAACCTCCAGGTTTCCTACTTTTCAGCATTCCAACTTGGTGCTTACTATGTGAGGGATTGGTTGGTTGGTGGTTCCAGCTTTTCAACTCTGTTGGGATTGATCACATCAAAGTTTTTTTGCTGCATGTGTTGTTTTCAGGCTGAAACAAACAACCAGAGATACAACCAGGGGTACTATCTATTCAAGAATCAAACATGGCAATGAACCATGAAGCGATTACAGATGATTTTCCGATGAAAACTTTGATTTATGTGGAAATCTCCCAGCTAGCCATGTTTGAATACCGGGAGAGAATTATTATTACTCATTCTTAACTATGATTCATCACTATCATATAATTGCATATGATTGCAACATGCACCCCCCTATGTTTGTTGGTTTATAATCCCCTTTAACTAGTTGGTTATATCATGTTATATCCTGATCAACCATAACACTTATTAGCTGGTTGGTGGTTTCAAACATTTTTTATTTTTCCATATACTTGGAATTTCATCATCCCAACTGACGAAGTCATATTTTTTCATATTTTTCAGAGGAGTAGGGCTCAACCACCAACCAGTGATCTTCATCAACCTGTCGCGACTGCCGCGTCGCGACAGGTGCCCCTCTTTTGGCAAGAAAGGGATGGCCCGTGGCTACCCACCATTCGCTTGCTCCACAAATACCCGAGCCTCGGCGGAAGCTTCCAGCCTATGAAAAAGCACATTGAAGGAGGGAAAAAGGTGTTAAAAGTATATCTATGTATATAAGCTACAATATCTGTCACTTACCCTCTGGTAATTTGTTATATATCCATTAGAAAAAAAAAAAGACACGTTGTTCAAGTCCGGTAAATAATCCAACTAAATGCGCCATTGTCAATAGCTACGTTCAATTACTGCATGCAGGGTGCTTTTGTGTGTATATGTATACATTGACATGTGTATATATATATATACACAGTACAATCAAGCATAATTCCATCTAAATGTAAATGTATGTAAAACTGATGAACATGTGTGGTTCCCAGGGCTAAAGAAGCTCTTCACCCAAACCAATAGCACCCCGAAAGATAAAAATATATACTCCTACTAAAATAGTGGTACCCCAAAATACATGAACTACGAAAGAATGTGAAAAGGTTTCAAATCACTAAACTCACAACATCTAAGTACACCATAAAATATCTTTCTTGTTCTCCTTTTTTACAGTGCCCCGGGTCATTACTGTTCTGCATCGGTCACAAAAAGCCATGGTCATGCGTTGATAAGTCCCATCTCCTGGGGCTATCTATGGTTACTAATCAGTTACGAGCCATGCAATGATACCAGTAAACTGACATAAACTATATAGAAAATCACCATGTTTACCATATTTGTTCATAGGTACATCATGGAACTAAATTTAACTAAATGGCCATGTTCAATAGTTATGTTAGTTTACAACCATTTATAATCCCATTTATAACCAGTTAGAACTAATAAATGACCATATTTAGTTATGTAAAATTACCAGAGGTGGGTCGATGTTACGTTTTTTGCAAAGGTGATCCAGATATCTTCAGGTCGATGATGCCCAAGATGCAGGTGGACAAGGGTGCAGCTTGGCTGCAGGAGCTTCCAGGAAAGGCAAAAGGCACAACGGGCAATTGTAGTGATGTACATTGTAAAGACAAAAACATTTAAAACACATATATATATATATATATATATATGAATATCTAGATATATATAGTTATGTATACACATACAATTGTATAGTATATGTGTTTTATATTTTATATATTATATATTACATATTATACATCATATATATTACATATAATATTATATATTACTATATTTATTATAAATTATATATTATATATTATATCATATTTATATTATATATTATATCATATATATTATATATTATATTATATTTATATATTATATATATTATTTTATATTTTATATTTTATATATTATATATTATATATATTATTTTATTTGTTTATATATTATTTATATATTATATATTATGTTATTTATTATATAATATATATTATATATTATATATTATATATTATTTTCAATTTTATGTATTATACATTATATATATTATATATATTATTATATATTATTATATTTATTATAAATTATATATATTATATATTATATCATATATTTTATATTATATATCATATATATTATATATTATATTATATTTATATATTATATATATATTATTTTATATTTTATATATTATATATTGTATATTATATATTATATATATTATTTTATTTTTTTTTAATATATTATCTATATATTATATATTATGTTATATATTATATATTATATATTATATATTATATATTATTTACAATTTTATATATTATACATTATATATTATTTATATTATTATATATTATATTATATATATATTATTATATTATATATTATATTATATATTATATTATATATATATTATATATTATATATTGTATAGGCTTTAAAATATATTATACCTTAATTTATAAATTATATATTATATATCATACATTGTATATTCTACATTAGTTTCTTTGTTTTGAGCTGGTGCGTGCGTGACATGCAAGTCTACGTCGCGTTTTCTCAGGTCGAGGAAGATGTCTCCTGAGGCGGAGCATGATCCCTTGCTTGCTGTGTTTTTTTCATTGTTTTTGTGTTTCGCGTTGTTTTTTTTGTTTTGCCTTTTGATGCTTTCTTGCTTTTGCCACATTGTTGTGAGGCTGTTGCTGTTCCTGAGGCTGGATATGGGCAGGTATGTTTTCGTCGCTGTATGTTGAAGCTTTCTTTTTTTTACATAGAATATTGCATTGTTGTGAAATCTTTTCGTCTTGGAAGGTTGGGGCCTATCCGGCGGGTGGGCGCACTTTCAGCTGCCTCCGTCCTCCAGGTTGGATTGCTGTTGTTCGTTTGACTTTTTCGTGTTTGTTTTCTGCGTGTTTGCTTGGTTCTTTTCGGCGGGGTTTGTCCTGCTGTGCTGCAGGTCCTTTGTTTCGTGGCGCGGCGTGCTTGGATTTCTGTGTGAAACCCAAGGGCGCCCGCCCGACCTATGTGTGGGAGCGCGTGGCGCTGAGCCCTCGGGCTTTGCTCTTAGGCTGTGATTTGTCGTGTTGGTGGTTGTTTGTTGATGTTTGTTGCGTTTCCTTTCGCTTGCTTTTTCTCTTGGTTTTGCTTAGGATTCGCCCTGGCTTTCTTGGTCGAGCAGTGTGGAGGTGGCCTTCTGGTTCGCAGCTGCGCAGGCCAAAGCAGGCGGGGGTTTTTTTGCCTTGCAGTTTTGTTCTGTCGTTTCCGTACTTTTTCCTTGCGGAGAAGGCCGTCGTGTTCTCGCTGTTCTTCGACCGGGGGTTCATCTTTGGAACCTTGCTGAGGCGCTCGCTTGTTGTTATAAGAAATTTCATCTTGCATTGAGTACGTGTAGTTTTCCCTTTGGTGCGTGTATCTGCTTTCGCTTGCGGGATTGGTGGGTCGATCAGCACGGCGGGGCCACTGTGCCGGCGAAGCTCTGGCACAAGGCAGAGAGGTACACCGACTGGGCGCAGGGGTCTCTTTCCGGCCCAGTCGGTGTTGAAGACCTCCTTGGCCACGTTGTTTCTTGCTTGCATTATTTTGTTTGCTCGTGGTCGGTTTGATACTTTCGGTAGCTGTAACACTTTTTTTGTCTTTTCTTCTTGCTTGTTGCTGCTCAGGACTTTGAGGTGACGGAGGAGGATGTGGCCTGGGCCAATAAGATGAGATCTCGCTACGTGCTGTCCCCAGTTGTTTGTTTGCTGTTTTTGTTGGGCGTTGTTTGTCTTTTGATTGTGTTCTTTGGCTTCCATTCGTTTCTGAGGTCCTTGATCCGCAAGCACACCGCAAGAGCTTACTGCAATAGACGGCAGCAGCTTTTGAAAAGGGTGCTATCGTTTGCTTGTTTGTTTGTGTGAGTGTGTGTGTGTGTCCGTGTGCTCTATAGCACTTTGAAGGCGGTGTCATCGTCGCCATGAAGCAGCGAGAATTTTGGCAGGCTTTTGGTGACAATTACATGTATAATCCATATGTGTTTGTCTGTATCTAGCATTTACTTTCTAGTTATTCATCTCTCCGTCTATCTATCTATCTATCTATCTATCTATCCATCTGTCTATAGCCATCTATCTATCTGTCTGTCTGTCTATCTATTTGTCTGTCCTGTCTGTCTATCTTTCTATCTATCTATATCTATCGATCTATCGATCTATCGATCGATCGATCTATCTATCTATCTATCGATCGATCTATCTATCTATCTATCTATATCTATCTATCTATCTATCTATCCATCTGTCTATAGCCATCTATCTATCTGTCTGTCTATCTATTTGTCTGTCCTGTCTGTCTATCTTTCTATCTATCTATATCTATCGATCTATCGATCGATCGATCTATCTATCTATCGATCGATCGATCGATCGATCTATCTATCTATCTATCTACCTATCTATCTATCTATCTATCTATCTATCTTATCTATCTTATCTATCTTATCTATCTTATCTATCTTATCTATATTATCTATCTTATTTTATCTATCTTATCTATCTTATCTATCTTATCTATCGTATCTGTTTTATCTTTCTTATCTATCTCTCTCTCTCTATCTATCTATCCATCTATCTATCTATCTATCTATCTATCTATCTTTCCATCTGTCTATAGCCATCTATCTATCTGTCTGTCTATCTATTTGTCTGTCCTGTCTGACTATCTATCTACCTATCTATCTGTCTATCTAAATGTCCATGTGCTTATTAGCTTTTATCTCTTTACATGTTTATCTCTATATATATATATATATACATAGTAAAGACGTTACTTCGCTTTTGGGAGGCAGCTTTCAAAAGAAAAGCCGCAAGGCCTGAAGTACGTCTGCAACTTAGGCTGTTTGTTGTGTTGTTTCTGTTTTAAGATGGTGGATTTGTGCAGGTGTAACTTTGCTTTATTGAAGTTTCTTGTCAGCCACCACATGTTTTTTTTCACTGTCAGGCGACAACCTGTGTAAAATTGCTCTTGTCGTCGAGCGAGATTCTCAGCTCTATCTGATAGCGCGACGTCCGATGCTGTGGTGCACATTCGAATCGTCTTAGTTGTTCTGTTTTGTTTTTTTGCTTCAGTGTTTGGCGGTTTTAGCTTTGGCCGCGTTCTTTCTTGCTAGCGTTGTGCCAGGTGCAGTTAGCGACCAAAGGAACCAGGATTAATACCCACAAACCTGCAATGGAGCAATCTTGCCAGTGCTATACAGATCAATGACCTTGACTTGTTCCGTGATGTGTCCTCCGCCGATGGCCCCGGAGACTGTGGGCACTTCCGTATTGGACTTAGCGGAACAAATGGTCATAATCCGTATTGGGCACTTCCGTATGCGGGTCCTAATCCGCCGAAAGCAGTGCTTGAACACCGTTAATGTAGATGACTGTTCTGTTGTGCAAAGCTTGCGATGTTGTGCGCGGATTGCGCATAATTGAGGTGATCCTGCGGGAATTTCTTGATAAAGTGCAAGCGCGTAAATTTTGACTGCGAAGAGCCAAAGCTGGCAAAAAGATTTGTTGCTCTTGCCGCAGGAGACGCATTGCATTCTTTTGGAATCAGGGATGCTTTTGCCGTGGCGTTAAAATTGTTCTAACCGAGACAAAATTGGGTAAATCAAGGCACCTTTGTTTTTTCCATATCGCTATGAAGCATCAACCTCCAAGCTGATCAGTCATTTCTTTGGCACGAATAGCTAAGGAATCGACTACAGCAGTGTGGTGATGTGCGACATTTTTCTTTTTGTAACGAGGTGTTTGTCACAGAGCTTCATGAGCATGCCTGTCAGGATTGGATGTGCAATGTGCAGTGTGATTTCTCAAGCTGGGTAGTTGGTCGGCAGAAGTTTTGGTTGTTTTTTCGATTTGCATCAGTGTTGACCTCAGCTTAGGGGTTCAGGGTGCTGGTGTTCTAAAAACAGCAGTAATTCGCACGTTGTTTTTGAGGATTCCGGGGTAGGTTTGGACCTTGTTGTCTGCATGTTTATGTTCTTTTACCAGTCTATACCGTGCTATGCAGGCTTTGCCTCTCCTTGTGCAGTGGAAGGACCGCGCAGTGTTTCTTTGCGTTGTGCCGTTGTGCTTTGGGCTGGGGTTTGAGTGTACAGCTTGGATACCCAAGTAATTATTTGTGCGTTGACTGTGCAGCATGCAGTGTTGCAAATTGCGTTTGCCAATGTTCTAAGTATGGAACTGGTAGGTCACGTGGCTCTGCAGATGCAGCAGGTTTCTGGGTTGTTGCAAGTTGCTTGCGTTTTTTTTAAACGGGGGCAGTGCATGATTATTTCTTGTTTTTTCCACATACTTTGTTTCAAAGACCATTTGCTATGTTAACGCTTGTAGCCAACATCTCGGTTATAGTTGCTTGCTTTCGTTCGGTTTCTGTAGAAGGCGTGCAATGCCTTATGATACCGAAGTCTGTTTGTCAGGTGGTGGCTCCGCTGGCGCCGCACGATGTGGTTCATTGTTGGGCAGAGCTGTGGGTCAAGAACTGGCGGGCGCAGGGTCTTTCAGAAGCACAGGCTAGATGGTCGTTTGCAGCTTGTAAGTCACAAACAAATGTTGTGCATACTTGTAGAAGTATTTGTACATACAAGCACCTTTGCTTTGGATTCTGGTGTGTGATAAATTGGAAGTTCAAATCCTTGTTTTCTGTTTCTCGATAGGTGTGGCAGCGACACAGCTACAATTACAAGTACAGGTACACTACATTACACTACAAAACAATAATTAAACTGCAGTAAATTACAGCTACATATACAAATACAACTAGAACTACACTACATTACACAACACTACACTACACTAATTACATTACATTACATTACATTACGTTACATTACGTTACATTACATTACACTACAACTGCAACTACCGCTACATTGCACTATACGACACTACAACGACAACTACATAACTTTACACTACAATACTACACTAGGTTACCTCACCACAACTGCTGGATGTAGTGTGGTGTAATGCAGTTGCAGTTGTAGTTGTAGGTTTAGTTGTAGTTGTAGTGTAGTGGAGTTGCAGTACACAACACTACAGTACACTACAATACACTACACTAATTACACCACACCACAACTACAACTGCAACTGCAACTACACTACACTAATTACACTACAGTACAACTACAACTCCAGTACAACTACAACTCCAGTACACTACAACTAGAACTAAACCTACAACTACAACTGCAACTGCACTACACCACACTACATCCAGCAGTTGTGGTGAGGTAACCACTGCAACCATTGCAACCAATCCAGAAAACACAACTCCAACCACCTTTCGGTCCATCAGTGGATTCGCTCTGCCATCCGTGAGTCACAACAACCAACCCTTCCTATAGGTTTCCTATTGTTGAAACTTCCGCCGCCGCCTTGTGCGGTACTTCTGGTACGAGTAGTCCTCCTTCTACAGCTTTGATGACAGGCATAACTGCATCCATAATGGCAACTTTCCATTCTCATTCGCGCCAACTGGAAGTTTCAAGATCGTGGTCTGGTTACTGTGTGATTTGTTACTCCTGCTTCTAGTGCTTTTAATGCTTGATTTTCATTTTGAGGTTCGAAGCTGTTGGCTTGGTCGGAGGTCGGTGCTTTGGCCGTTGTCTTTCTGCATTGCTTTTGCGGCAAACAGCATGAAGGCTTCGAGTGAAAATTATCAAGACAATCCTTGCTTGTAGCTGGGGCGGTACCAGGGTTAAAGTTTGGATCCCCTTTTGAACTTGTTAGCCTTGAAACTGTTGAACTTGTTAGATTTGAAACTGTGCAGGTATCCTTCGAAAATAATGGATCCAAAGGGCTTTGTAATGTTTCCCTTTGTGTTACTTCCAGCTTCCGGGGTTTGGTCCAATCCAACGGGTTCACGACATGTCATCACATGAAGCACATCGCAGCTTTTGGTTAATTCGTTTGTTTCGTCTCCCCTGTCTTTTTTTGGAGCCATGATGAGATATGATGAGGATGCTTGCGATGAATGCAGCCCTGGCGGTGCTCGCTGGCATGCCGGTCATCCTCCCGGAGACTTGTATCTGCTGCAGGCTAGATGGGGCACAACGATTTTTGAAGCTGTTGTTTACAAGGTTGGTTTTAGACCAATCCTTAAAGTTAGTTCAAGAAATGTTTGGGTGTTTTGGCTGTAGCGCCAACCCTGCTTTAAGTTGCCCTCGGCAGACGACACAGGCTTCCGCAGCCTTTTCGGTTTGTGGCGGACCTTGGCTTTTTCCAAGTTCCCGCCGCAGCTGTGCCTTGGCGTTTTTGGTAAAGCTTTGTCGTTTTGCTTTTCGGTAGGTTTTTTTTCCCGGTAGGGGTTTGTTTTTTAATCCCTCCGGGAATATCGTGATAATAAGACATACTTATGCGTAATTGTTGATGACGCATATGTTTCTATGTGCGAGGGATGGTTACACTTCTTGTTGTCTGTGCAAATACGTTTTTTTTTAATTTGCTTGCTGCTTCCAAGGCGAGGGTCTTAGCTTGGTATGGAGAAGCTTGGGTGGTACTGTGAGCAAGGTGGGTCCGCCTGCACCCTGCTGCCTTGCTTGGTGCATTTGGCGGGGGTGAGGCATTGGCGCGCGGTGGGTTGCAAAATTTGGAGCGGCATCAGCCCCAGCTAGCCCCGCGTAGGGCCGGTGTAGCGCGGCAGCGCCAGATTCTGCGCGGTGTGCTGCGGACAGCGGCAGGGGAGTTTTTGGTGGAACTCGGTTGCACGCGTGAGGTGCAACTCATTGTGTAACAGAGTTCCCTGCATGCCATCCCCCACAAGAGCTCCCCCCATAAGCGGGGCAATTTTCCAGCACTTGGCGTCCGACGCCCTTGAAAAACAGAGCTGGGGTGCGAAGGGTCTCGGGTTTAGGACGGGGAGGGGACAGGTGTTAACGGTTGACGTGCGTTTCTAACTTGTAAGTATTATATTGTTATTGTTATTGTTATTATTATTTATTCATTTATTTATTCATTTATTTATTCCTTTTATTATTAGTATGATTATTATTTATTATTATTATTGTTACTATTTTTATTATTATTATATATTATTTGTTTATCATATACATATTTATTATAGATTGTATATATTATTATGATGATGATTATTATTGTAATACATATATGTTAGAATGTGTAAGAAATATATTATTTACTCTATGTTTTATTCTATATGGTATATCATATATATATATTTACATATGTGTACTGTATGTCAGCAGGGGATGCATCGGTTTCCTGCCTCTGGATCGGCTACCACTGTTTTGAGACTTGACAATTAACTATATGACTTGGGTGCTCCGTGATCTTTGGACACACGTACAGGACCTATGTGACCTATACGAGTATTAGACGATTCAGAGTGCATTGATGTGAATCGTGTTTGTCATGTCATCTAGATGCATTGAAAAGACATAGAAGAGTTATGTATAGTCTATAGTCATATCATATTTGTTCAGATGTCTATATGTTCATTCAGTTTCCATGACCTTTTACCGGGATTCCTCACCGTTGGACTTCCAGGCCTCGGTGACCGCAACGCTGCGAACCGAGGCCATCAAATTCGTGTTGCGTGGCGCCTCCATCATGTGTCCCGGGCTCACCTCCCCTGGTGGTGCCATGGAGGAGCTGTGCTGTGCCATGACTGCCATGACTGTCATGACATGTCATGACATGTCAAGTGATCCGATATTTTTTGCGGCCAAAAAAAGGGGATCTTCAGTTGCGAATCGTATCTGGTTAATTCATGTTGATCATCCTGGTTTATAAAACCCCTACTCCTCGGTTACCCCATTTATAAATGGGTTATTGCCCCGCTTGAAAACAAGGCACTAAGTGGGGTGTTTGAAAGAGGGGGAGTAAGAGGCTATGACCCCATCAATTTTGGGGGGAAACTTGACAGATTCTGGACAGGATGTTTGCTGTTTTCTCTGAACCCCCAAAAGTTTTTGCTGAACTTGCTCGTGACCGTGAAAATGGGAGCCAAGGGACCACTTTTGTTTTGGGGAAAGCCAAAGAGTTGCTCCATTCTCGAAACCTTGGTCACTAAATGAGACTCTCATGGAACCTGCCCTGCTTGAAGATCCATATGTTCACCGTGCTTGTCCATTTTCAACAGGGAAGGCATCAATTTTTTTTGGTCGCCGCCAGGACGTCCCCGAGGGTGCTTGTGTGCAGGCTGGGCGGTGGAGTTGGCTCCAAGACCTGTGGAGATGCCAGGTTACACAGCCAGAACTGTGAGTAATAGACGAAACCCAGCATATTTAGATATCTGTAGATACATTCAGACATATTTAGTTTTATTTAGATATACTTACATATTTAGATATTTATATATATATATATATTTGGCGAAAGTCACTGTTTTATCCACCTGTTTTATCCAAGACATGCTGTCATGCATAATTTACGGAGCAACTCCCAAAAAGATAGAAAAGTGCTTCCAGGATGTTATGACTGATGGGTCCTCCATATCCTTCAGGTTTCCATCTGGTCGGCACCGGCCAATATTTTCGTTTGACTACCTGCCCAGGTGACGGCAGAAGGGACGGAGCGACTTGGCCACACGTCGAAGCTGCAGGATGCGAGAAGAAAAATATGGAAAAATATAGAAAAGTATTGGAAACATACTTTTCCACATTGAATTTTTGGGTATAGGCTTTTAGAATATGGATAGAAACTGCCAAATTGTAAGCCAGATGCTATGCCTGGATGGCATTTTTTCATGATGCTCTCCTGGTTTTCTTGGCACATGTTTTTGCTTCCAGCTTTCCTTCAACCAATTTCTAGACATTTGCTTTATGTTACAACTGTACAATGTCAAAAGCCCTGGTGATGGATTCATAACTATATATTCTTGTTTCGGATGGCCCTGAAATGACCGATCAGAAATTGACAAGTTTTTCTGCAGAGAATGTTTTGACAATCACGTCATATGTCATATTATATATACAATGTATTTAATGCTATGTCATATCCATATGTTACTGTCCTTTAAGAGAGAACCTATTTGACTTGTTGGCTTTGAGCGAGGCATGCTTGTGCAGTGGGTATTGCTACTATGTCAACAGAAGCCATCAGGAGCGTCAACAAAGGCGCCATGACAGCGGTTTCAAATGGGTACGGGGCACCCAAAAAATGATATGGTGAATTTACTGACAATAGCGCAGAATTGTGGCTTGCCAGGCCTGAAACTTAAAATCTTGATCCCTTCATGTGCAAATATGGTTGGTTTTCTACCGCAGGGATGGGTGAAAATCGATGAAAATCGTCCCTCATGACTGCCCGCTTGTTTTGTTCAAGCGTCATCCAAGCACAGCAAGAGATCTCGCTTTTGACTCAATACATGTATATCCCGCAATTGGATACGGTTGGCGTTTGATCACACCTGTTAAATTGCTATGTCTTTCTATGACTCATTTGTGTACATCTCTTCTTTTGATGGTGAGATCTACCCATATGCCATGACAGCACATGATTTGTGCACATCATAACATCTTCCATTTCTTGGGTGGTCAGGGGGGTTTTCCCTGATGTATGTATATAATCACCTTCTTTGCTGTGTTTGTTTGCTCTATTTAGTCTATACTGGTTGGCATTTAGGAGTTGATTTGCGTCAGAGGCTTTTTATGTGAGGGTGGCTCGAAACTATTAATGCCGCGGTTGGGAACTTGTACTCTCTATATATATATATATATGATTATATATATATGATTATATATATATATACAATTATATATGTATATAATGAATATAATGGGAAAAGGTCGCCGGACATGTGTTTTTTCGCGCCGCGATGTTGATTTTGAATAAAACACGGCGCCATTGCAGCAAAACCCAGTTAGAATTCCCCTTTGTGGCTAAACTTAGAACCACCAATGATACCCATGTGATTCATACACATGCAATATTTTGGTATGTGGGTACTGAGTCTATCTAAGTTTGCCCGGAGGCATTCTATTTGCAGGTCATTCTAAGTTGTTCCGAATTAATTTTGGGGTAAAATGCACCCCTTCCTAAGTTCTTGACCATGCCAACAATATTCATGTGCTGTATGCTGTTATGATTATTGCACTATATTCATATATTTGGATGAATGAACATCCATAAATCCCAGCTATGTTGCCATTCGATTCCCATGGGCTTTTGACCCTTTCCGTGTGCATCCTGTGAGGTATTTGCATTGACAAGATTCATTACTTGGACGATGGCCTTTGGAAACTCTGCGAGCTGAACTGAGTGGCGTGAAATGTTCCACAGCGTTTCGCGAGAAACCGCGACCAAATCATCCAAATGAATATGACTTGTATCGCGAACAAGTATGATATCGCAGCAACGAAACAAAAAAACAGTGTTCCAATCCTCCAAGCAGGATAGGTTGTTGACCAAGAAATCATTCAAATGAAGCATAAAGCACCCTGCAAAGAGAATAGATCAAATCTTGCTAAACTGGTGGCATATTGCAGTTCTCTTTGTTTTGAGGCTCAAAATATGTGATGCGTCAGACTCAGACGTGTCGTAAGGCCGACACTAGGAATATCCGTCGGATCCGGAGTCGGCAAAAAACTTACGGCGGCCTGGTTGCTGGGTGCCTCCGGGGTTCGTTGATTAACCGATGAACCATGTTTCAATGGGAATTCCAGGATCCTAAAATGGAGGTATATCCTTTTACGTAGGCCTTACATAGGCCTTATATATGGTAGGTACCTCCAATTTAGGTTCTTGAAATGGATATTGAATGTTGGGCTCCAGATTTGTTTAGTACTCGCTGTTGAGTGTTGAGTGTTAAATCGTCATGTGGATGGGGGTCTATCACTCTTAAGTTTCTTAAGTTATGGATATGTCCTTTCTGAAGTCCCAATATGCTGTATCATCAGACGGGATGGGATTAGATTTGCATAATCTATAGCCATCTCACTAACGGCCACTCCTGATGCTCAGTAAGTGTCAAGCCGACTCAGCAGCCTTAAGCCTTGTTTTGGATTAATTGTAGATTTGATGGTGCGGACCATTTTCAACGTTTGTGAGTCCGAGTAATTGATGTAGAAATAAACATGTATAAACATGTGTGACATGTGTATATAATTAAAGAATATTAAATATATGATCATATATATAATATGCCTATTTGATTATATATATATACACAGTAAATATATGTATACATATCCGGCCCATAACCAACAAGTAGAATCAATTCATCACAACGAGAGGACGTAGTGGCAAATGCTCGAGTGTACAAGGGTCATGTTGTTTTTGGAATGTTGATTTTGTTTAAAGGACTTGTCCCATCTTTCCAGCTAACTCCTAGTTAGGAACACATGTTCATTTTGCATTCTGATTTTTGGTGGGATAAAATTCGAGAGGGAGGAGGGATGTGGATACAGCGTGTGTCTTTTTGACCGGAGAATGACAACTGACTTTCCTGTTCCCATGGGCAGAAAGAAGCAATGCTAGTCATGGATGGTTTGCAGCTGCAAACAAGTGAAAAGTGAGTTGATCCAATTAAAACGATGCCAGCGATTAGAAAGTGATGATTTTGTGGATATCCACGAACATGACTTAGCGACCTTTGTATCCCTTGTCCGTTGGGAGTACCAGTACATCATGCAGCATCCATGCCAGCTGAAATTCCAACACCCGAGAAGCAGCAACGATCAGATGCCCCCTAGAAACGCCGGCTTAGTCCTTTCATATTGGGTGCCAATTTAGGTGAAGTCAACATTATGGGGTTGAATTGCATCCTCGAAAAAAAATAGGCTATCACACATCTCATTTTGCTTGTTTTGTCCCTGCAATATCCCCTATGATAGGATAGAACCACCAACCTGGATTTCTCATCGGGTGAGGAAAAAATGGTCGTGGTTTTGGCTCTTAACAGGTCAATAGGAAGATGACATAAAGATCAAACAAGCAACCCAGCGTGAAGTCAGAAGGGCAAACAGTTTTGACACCGATCTTTGTAGAATAGAATCTGGTCAGCTTCCCTTTGCCATGAAGCGCAAAGCCGTGGACGGTCAGGTGGCTGACATTTTCATAAAACTTGACGTGTCCTTGCCAAGTGGACGGTGCGAAACCGTCGCGGTCTCGGAAAATGGAACTATCGCTGACTTGAAAATAGCTGCGCAACAGTGGGGCAACGTTTCCTGAGGCTTATCACGCCTTTTCCGGGCACCCCCATTCCCGGCAAAAGACTTTCTTCGACATTCTCTACTTCAAGATGGAGACAGCCTTGCAGCTATTGCGCAGTAGCCAAAGGTAGCTGCGACATGGCTTGCATTTGCTTTGTGGTGTGTTGGAGCTGACAGGCCTGTCACCTGGGGCCGTCCGAACTCTGGCGGTGCTAGCTCGGGAGTCCAACATCGGCTCAGGAATGTCCAGCAGATTTGTGGCATAGCTTGGTCTTTTGCTGCTATTTTGGCAGATGGATCTGTGGTGACCTGGGGGTATCCAGACCGTGGCGGTGACAGCTCCAGAGTCCAACATCAGTTCAGTTTCCGTCAGGGCAAGAACAAAGGTTCCAGCCTCTGGATATGCATGTGTTCATTGGTTGTAATTTCATGTAAAATCACATAGATATAGAACGGCTATTTATTTTAATTTTTGTTGATAAGGTTTTGTTTTTCGCCAAACAGTGTGTTCACACTGAGGGGTTCTTACGGGAAGTGTATGCCGTTTTTTTTAATTATCATGCTTTTCTGATTTTGCTGTTTTGCTTTTCCTGTTTTTCCGTGTGTTTTTTTTGCTTTTCTTAGCTTCTCTCTTTTCTGCGTCTCTGCTTTTCCGCTTTTTGCATTTCCTGTTTTTTTTGCTTCTGCGCCATTCTACTTCTACTTTTTCCTGCTCCTTTGCTTCTTTGCTTCCTTAAACCCTAGATGAAACCCAAAGACGCCCTAATAAGAAACCCTAAAAATGGAACCCTAAAGATAAATGACTCCCTAAACAACGGTGCCGTTGCCCTTTCCGAGGCACCTTGTACCGCCAGCTGGGGGCAGCCATTGAGAAAGAGGTGCCTGGGCCCCGGTGGAGATTTCACCAACGACCGGTGAGCATAGGGATTCCCAGTTTAATAGCCATTTGATAAATGGATCATGACTATGATGATCTGCAATATCTCAAGAACAGTTTTAAAAAAACGCGGTGCTTCTGCTGAAATTCTTCACATAGCAAGTTCTTTTTGATATAGACCCTAGACATCCCTAGGCAATATGGAGAAGTGACCGCGTGAGTGGGAATTGAGTCACTATGATGAGGATATGTCTACTTTTTAGTAACCCCCACAAAATATGTTTTAAAAAAAGTAGACAATCAAATCCGACCAAAATAGTGGTAAATGGCTGTTCTATCTTCGTGAGATTTCGTGAGGGTTGCTATAGTTTGCTTTTTTTTCCGCATCAGAGGCAATTGTTTTGTTGGCGGAAGAGTGCTGATGTCGCTGATCGGTAGGCAGCTGAAAATGGCTGCTCAGTGGTGTTTGGAACCTCAGAGTTGCCGCCGTGATGGTGTTGAGCTGTGTGGGAAGTTTCTATGCTTCCCATGGATGCCTTGCACATCTAGTCTGTTTTCCATGAACCCAGCTTTGCAACCCAACAGCAAGTTCCAAGGTTCCTGCGTTCCAGCGTTGCAGTTCCGTTGCGCCACTCCTGGAACCCATGATTGAAACCCAAGAATATGATAAGCAAATACATAGATGGCATAATATCCGCTGAAATGATAATTAAGTAACCCTGAAGATGAGAAAAACGTTCTTCCTTCAAGCAGACGTGGTGTGAATGTAGCTACAGAAGCCGAAAGATGAAGGCTAAAGAAATAGTCCCTGCATGCTCGAACAAAGCCGTGAAGTGTTCCATTTGATAGTTCTAATGGTAATGATACAGTGTCCTTTCTTTTGCGGGTGAAGTGCCTATTTTGTTGTTTATCGGTTACATCCAGATCTTGCTCGGTTGCGTTCCTGGTCCTATGATGTTCTAGGTGTCAACGCCAGTAAGAGACCAGGTGCATGTTGATATTTCGGTGTCTTGATATTTTCGGGTGAGGGGGGTGGGGTGGGGTTGGGTGGGGTAATAACGGTCTGTTCGACTTCTACTCTATAGTAAGTGTTCTTGCACTTCCACACATACGTCATGCTACGCTGCTGGATGTTCTCTTGCACTTCCACAAATACGTCATGCTACGCTGCTGGATGTTCTCTTGCACTTCCACAAATTCGTCATGCTACGCTGCTGGATGTTCTCTTGCACTTCCACAAATACGTCATGCTACGCTGCTGGATGTTCTCTTGCACTTCCACACATACGTCATGCTACGCTGCTATGCTCTCTTAAACACCTCCAAAAAAAGGAACTTTTCGGCGAAACCCTCGGCGAACAAAGCTGCAGTTCCGTGCTTGTAAAACACTAGATTTTCCGCTTTTGAGGCCACCTCTCCAAGGGATTCGCACCAGAATTTTATTCCAGAAGTATAAAGGTGCAAATTGCTATCATCGTCCTGGGACCGTGTGATGTCATCACCGACACGGCCTCTTACAGACGTTGTTACCATGTTCTAGGGTACTTCAGCAGGATACACCGGGGTAAACCTTGGTCAATCTGTTTTTGTTTATCATTCCCACTAGAAGAAATGAATTGAGTAGTTATTGAGTACCCTAAAGCAAGACCGGAAAGACCACAAAATATGGTGTCCCTAACCGGGCTCAAAGGGAAACATAATGTAAACATGTGCACCCTTTGGAACATCGGGGGGTCCTCAAATTTGTTCTCCGTACGCGCCCATGTACTGTGTGTGAAACAGTTTATATCCCGCATTGGGTTTCCCACATAACTGTGGGCAATCCCTTTCCCCGATCGTAACAATTAAATACATCCCTAGCAAACTAGGGATATAGGGGTCTCCTAGTGGGGGTATTTGACGTATCGAGCTCGTTTTTCGGGCATTGGGACCCCGAAAAAGCATTAGGGTCCCTGATTCATGAGGTATTGGATGGCAGTTAATGTCCCCCACGTATTCCCTGCTAATGATATTTAGATGTATTTCGGGATTCTATCAAGTCTATCTAATCAAATACCATCCTAGGCAATCTCCAATTGATGTCCCTAGTGCAAATGAGTCCATTTCATTGGCAATAGGTGTTTTTTTAATCAATATATAATGCCTTCATCTCCCTAATCAATTTCCCAAATCATAAGTAATTACTCCCAATAATCCAGCATGAGTTGAACATACAGCCCATGTCCAGTTGTTGGGGATGCTTATGGACCCAACAAAAGGGTTTGTCCACAAATAGGCAACTCCCAAATCCAAGCCCTATTCCATCCATGGTTTTGAAAATCATGGTCCCATTTAAAACTCCGATTGTTGGGGTATCCCCATTTTCAGGCCCACTCAAAATGACATCTGCTGGGCCTATATCCCCATATATCCCCTATAAATCCCTGTAATTTCACACAAAGTCCTATAAATCTCCAGCTGATTTCATGGCTGTTCCGAGGACTGCCTTCTGCGGCCATGGCGTGGGGCGTTTGTTTCACGGCCCGCCGGATGTACCCTGGCCACGACTGTCCCACAAGGGCGGCCAGGGGTGTCAGGGTGCCACTGCAAGAAAGGGTGATAGACACAATAGACACAAGAAAAAGCAGCAAAATGTGGTTTACCAAAGGTGGGACTTGTTTGTAGTATATCATGACTTGGGCACAGAATCTGGCTAGACTCAAAAAAGTACTAAGAATGCTATGTTACCCCATAATGCTTGGTATTTTTACAATTTTTCGGGTGGTATTTGAAGGGTCTAGGTCGTGAAATGACGTGAAATGTGTGTGACCGGTCGTTTTTTCCGATCTTGAGATGCACAACTGGTCAGCGTGTCGGAAACCAATATTTCAGCTCTGTATTTGATCTCACCTGTAGTGAATCGCTCCTGGCTTGCTACGACAATTAACCCGTTGGGTTGCCATGTTTGGATCATTTGAAATGGGAAGTAAAACAAGAAATGACGATTTTTTTAAACTGCAACAATGAAGATATGACCCTGAAGTCTACAAGTTAGTAGTCTCGTGATGAAGACTGGAATCTCGTACTGGAATATCCTCATGTTTGTAAGTGGTGATTGAGCTTCTAAACCCCCAAACGACCTGCTGCCTACATCCCATTCCTTGGTGCGCTGAGATTCCACACTTCAAGAAGAACAAGGCTGTGGGTGTCATGAAGCCCGGCCACGTTGGGGCGCCCGGGGTTGGGCGGATTGTGTTGTGGTGTCACTGTAAGAGCTATATACTCCCTTGGCAACAGTTTCTCCGCATTTGATTCAAGGAAAACAAAATCAATAAGAACAGAGATAGAATTTGAATGAATTTGAAGGGTTATACCATACTTGTACAACTCATCATTGTTTAGTGCGAAAACCAACTAGATATTGGATATTGAACCGTTGCCAACTTAAGTACCCGCGAATACCCGCAGCGCCAGGTCTTCACCGTTGAACCGATGCTCAACTTGGGCACCAGCAAAAAGAGGCGGGATTCACATGGCATAACGATAGAGGAGATATATCATGATATATCGGCAGATAGGGGAGATATTAGGGGAAATATTAAGTATGATGTCTATGTATATGTATATATATATATGATTTTGTCCAAGATAGATCAACCAGTGACTGTAGATGTATCTCCCCTATCTGGCTATATCTGGGATCCATATGCATTAACTCACTATATTTGAGGATCTAGAAAGATACATATACACACTCACCAGGGTACCATGTGTTTATACATCCTGCCAGATCTTCAAATATACTGACCAACTTGGAGTCACTAAAATGTATTTGTCGAAGTGGAGGGGGAAACTCTGCTGTTTCCGGCAAGGCCCTTGTTTAAAGTTCAGAATCCCCACTGTTTAGTGCTTATGTGTGGTGTTCTGTAATCTATTTTTTTGCTTATTGCTTCAATCCCTGATGATTATGGCTTCAAATCCACCAATCATTGTTGCGGGCTAAATCCCTCAAACAAATCCTTTGGATATTCTATTGGGATAGAATTAATTATGGGGCGTCATAGGGTTATAATTGAGTGAACATTGTATCCATTCTATACTGTGCTTGAAATATGCAAACACACATATGTATATATATATATATATTATAATGTATATATATATATACACATATAATTTCTACCAACAAACACGTAAATGACTTATATATAATATTATACACTTTGTACACTATATCCAGCTGTCATTCTTCTATGTTTGGCGTCCAACCCAACGTGTCTTTTTTCCCGTCAGGCTTTGGCCTGACGGCTGGACCGCCGCCACGCGCGACGGACAGCGCTCCGCGCAGTTCGAGCACAGCTTTCTAGTCACCGAGGCGGGCATTTGTTAAGATGCTATTGTTATGTGTTTTTACTTATGATGTTTTATTGTTCATATGTTCTAGTAGTTATTGTTGTTTATTGTTGTTGACGATGATGATGAAGAAGAAGAAGACGAAGAAGATGAAGATGAAGAAGAAGAAGAAGATGAAGAAGAAGAAGATGAATATAAAAACAAATAACAAGAACAGCAACAAGAAGAAAAATATATATGCAGCAACAGTTCTTTCAGTAGTGTGTAGTGCTATTAGTGACAATAGCAACCAGTCATGGCACAGTCATGACAACAATAAAGAGATGAACTCGTTTTTTATTATGGACAATCATACGTGATAATCTTACATTTCTTGAAAATGTGTCTTCCCCAATGGGAAATCCACTACTTGGAATCAAACAAGTTCTCGTTTGATTGTTTTTGGGAGTTTCAATCTGCTAATGATCATGATTTGGTGCCAGAAAGGCACGGTGGAAACCCCTCCGGGATTCGCTTCAGGAGGGCTTTGAGGTGCTGACTTCACGAGAAAACGCCTCCAGGCGCTGGAAAAAAGGGGATTAAGTATCAAACACGGGAGGTTAAAATATGTTAAAATGGGGATAGATACTAAGCAGCAACATTTTTTGCAGACTTTTTTAAAGCCTTGCATTCAGGATGGGATTCAGCAGCCATTCAGAACTGTTCCATATATGGGTACGAGTCAAAATGCAAGGTATGGATCAAGGCCCCGGGCCCACACACGATGCATACCCCCGAATCTATACCTTGATCCATACTTACCCTATGATACTGCATGATCCATACCCTTGATCCATACCCCTGATCCATACCCCTTTCTCGTAGAAGAAAGACTGATGCTGGCCCTAATGCTGCTTTTTATCCCAATAATACTGCTTCTGGTCCTCTTGCTGCTACTCCCGTTGCTACTACCGTTGCACCTACCGTTGCTACTACTGCTGCCTCCGCGGCCTTGCCTCCGTCCTGCTGCTGCTGCTGCCGCCACTACTAATCCTTTTCCTCCCAGGAGCTGCTGCTACTGCTGGTCCTGCTCCTGCTGCTGGTGCTGGTTCACTTCCTCCGTGTGCTTCTGGCAGTTGTACAAATGCAACTAGATGACTAGCTACTAGCAATATTACAAGTGCACCTTGGAGGCTAGTAAGACCGGTTCTAGTTCCACTAGGTGCTTCTTGTATTTCTAGTGTCGCTATGATTACAACTCCTTCTGTTGCTGCTTTGCCTGGCACGTGTAGAGCTAGACTAGACTAGAAATACTCCATATATATATAACATGAGTTGGTTATTGTTTTTAAATGTTTTTAATAGAATGTATATTATATATATACATGCACATGTACATCTATTTCATTGTATGTCTATATCCCAAAAATTATTGGTTTCGTTCTCATGCAAATATTCCACAGTCTCTCACCTCAACTTCCCAAAGTAACTTCAATATTTTTCCAATGATCCCGGGGAACTGAAGAGTTGCAAACTCTTGGAATCAACACTAAAGGGGGAACTAAAGAGTTTCAAGTGCATTTAAAGACCTTGGGGTGTGTCTAAAAATGGGGTATGCCCCCAAACTTGCAAGTTTGATGCAGAAGAAAATTCACTGGTGGATGGAATGGGGTACCCTATTTTGAGGCAAACTCAGCTCAGCGAGAAAAAAAAACATCCAATTCTAAGTATGTTTTCGCAAAGTCGACTTTTGGAAAATGGTTGACTGTTGGTAAATGTAGGGGTGTTGATGACCAGGGTTCATTTATTGATAGTGTATTGGTTTGATTAGAAGATTTAGGAAGACGACTATGGCTGAAACACATCATCGCGAAAGTGCCTGCAGGTTGGGGTACTCGGTTTATCATCCTATTCAGCAAGTCAAGCGCAACTGCAGCTGCAAATATGAGAAGGGATCCAAGTCCCACGTTTCGGAGAAACAAAAACCATGAATCAAAGATTCAAGTTTTTGGCAATATTGAACATCTGGGAGTTGCATCGATTTGCTGGATCTCATATTTCGCCCCAGTCCCATTTGATATTGCCAGGACAGAAATGCCGGACTACGACGCAGCTTTCTTCCAACGAGGCGGTGGCCAGGTAGACCGATTGGTTTGATCAATGGGATGTTTTTAGCACTGATGCTTTGAGGATTCTTAGCAACGACCCAAATAGACATGCTAATTGTTTTGCTACGCAGCTGGTCAAATGTATATTCGTTTGGTGGTTGTGATATGTAATGTTGTGATATTTTATCTTACATATCATACGGTATTCTAAGGGCAAATGTGTGGGTCTCTTACCATTATACCATCTCGAGGATTTCACGAAACCCTTCATGTAGTTCGATCATGTTCCCATTAAAACCTCCGTTTCGTTGGGAAATGTCCCAGCACTGGCTGATTACTGGACGGTTTTTCAAGCTCCTCACCAGCTATCTTCCACACGTCTCAAGCCATCCAAAGATTGGGAAATGTCCTCATGTTTGATGGATAAAATCCCATGTGTGTTGGTAAATTCCCAAGTTGTGTTTCGTCAAAGTCATAAAATCAAAACTTGTAAAATGAGAACTGGTAATCTTCCGTTCTTCCCAACTGCTCAAGATGGTCAAGTCTGAATACGTCCGGTAAAATCCACCCTTTTTGTCCCTCAGATACTTTTCGTTCCACATTGAATCCGCCCTCATAGGTTGAGCTGCTTCGCTGCCGATGACAAAATGGGGCGCTGCCAGTTGTGATGGTGGCAAAATCATGAGCCAGTGTAGAAAAGTACAGGCCTTACTTTGCAGTAAGTTGCCATTGCAAATTCGGATCTGATAGGAATCTGATCAGTTTCAAACGAGGATTTACCCTCCAGCAACTTAAGCAAATGACATGGAAAACCACGAAAACTAGCGCTTTCCTAAAAGAAAATTATCTAGCAGATGGTAGATGGTTCATCTGTTAATTTGCCGGGTGGTAATTCCCAGCAAACGTGGGAAATTGTACTCAAGAAGCCACGGTGGGGATTTTTGACCAACAGAGAGATAGAAAGAAAATCAGAAAAGACGATGGAGAATCAACCAGCAAAGATGGGAAGTCTAACCAGACCTCAAAATTGCCAGGAAAAGCTAAAGTGATCCAACAAAACTAAGATGTTCAAACCAAAATTAAGATTTTTTAAAACATCTAAAAATTGTTCCGTGCCTCCTGTTTAACTTCAATGGATTTCTGTAGTTGTATATAGATTTGTTTGAGGGTGTTAAATTAAGGCCATAGTAAATGGGTTCTATGATAGAAGCAGAGATTTGGACCAAGAAATTTAAGGATGTGAGCAGCAAACACATTGGGGATTTGAGCATCAAATCTTAGCCTTGTTAAGCAACTGTTGGGGTGTCTACCTTCCGTTCCTAGCTATGGTTTCCAACAAATTTGTTCAAAGTTTCATCAAAAGGTACATCTGGATATATCTGAAAATGGGGATAGCCCAACATGCCCATTCAAATTGGTTCATGGTTTATCCATGTTTATCCCATACAGAGTTCAGTTGAAACCAACATCCCCCAGATGATAAATTGCCGCACCTTTTTTGGACACGCGCGGTTAGAGGTACGCCTTCATCGCCTTTGGAATGTGACGGCAGAAAAGTCATACCATCCATGTGCGGTAGATGATAGATGGGTTTATCTGAAATTGGTGTACCCCCAACAGATTATCAAATTATCATCAGTTCCAAGTTACCTGAAGCTACCTGGTTATCAGATTATCTGAAAATGGTGTAGTTACGTTACCCCCAAAGTTCCAAGTTGGATGATCAGATGATCATGCAAAAGTTCCCATGAATATAAAAACCACATTAGGTTTAGACAGAATGTGGACAAAATCCAGATTGACCCCGAACCCTAAGGACTCTAAGGACCCTTATGTTTGAAAGTTTGGAGCCAGGGGGGTTCATCATGAGAAGGTGGTGTGCTTGGATTCAAAGGGGGAACATCAAGCAGGAAAGCCGTAGGTTTAGAGCATCAGATCTAGGGATTTTCTGCAAAGTTTCCGTTTGAACACAATCTTTGAATATTGACCTGGAACCCAAATGAGCTTGACAAATGTCAAGATGTTGATTAGTTTCAACCATACCAAATACCAAGGGAATAGTAGTTTTTGATGTTTAATCTTGGGTAAATGTTGGTAAGCAATCTCCTTCCCGCTGGGATATTTGGGCCAAAAGGGAGGGTCCCTTTTGATCTTGAAGATATACGAGTACAACACTGCAAGAGATACCGGACATGGATGGTAGGGGGGAAATGGCAAAAAATGGTTGGTTGAAGCTCCGCAGATTACCAACCAATTTTACAATCATGACTTTTTCAATAATCGACTGTTCTCCGTGATTTTGTGGACCCATGCCGCAAAATGAGATGCAAGCACATTGCAATGGTGAGGATGTATTTATGACAAAGTGCCCAAGATACTTGTATTATAGCATAAAAGACTTGGCATCAACCAACCAGCCAGAACGCATCAGAAAAGCAGTTCCGCAAAGACACTTGGCGATGAGCTGCCAACGGTCAGTCTGGAAAGGAAGTAAATCTGATCCAGGAAGCCTCAAACATACCCCAAACAACGGCCAACCAGGCCCCACGATTTTTGGTTCGGAGGGGAGATCCCCTGATGTTCGTGTGTTTCAAACATAGTTAATTAGTTGTTGAAATAAGACACAATAAAACAAGGAATTAAGACCCATGGGACCTCTCAAATTTGAAGCAACTAATCGTGATCCAGACCTCCAAAAGTTACTAATTCGTCTGGTCACATGCTGCTCAGTTGCAGTATTCCATCCCAACTACTGGAGGGCTGGGCGGATGGTGCAGCATTATACTGACATGCACTGGCAATGGAAGGACTTCAAACCAAAAGCTATGGGCTGATTCTAGGCTTAATGAGAAAGCACACACACATGGCAATTGCACACTATGCAACAACAGCCTTGGGGATAGTTGCAAAACATAATTTACAACAGGTAGGGTCCAGTACTGAAATAAGAACGTCAACACCATCAGCAGAATCGAATTCATACCCTGTAAAATCACTTGGTCAAGAAGAGATGACCCCTAAGCTATCTTCCAAGTTATCTGTTCCTTCTGACAGTCCTGACATGGGGGCAATCCATGGTGAAATGGGGGGTTCCCATTTCAGAAAGCCTGATGTGGCCCCAGCAGACCGCAGACCTAAGCATCCAAAAATTGAAGGGAATGAATCTGCAGGTTTCATGGTAAAAACAAGCCAGTGTCGCTGTTTTTTCCTGCAAAATCAATCTATTATGAATAGAATTGTGTGTAGTTAATGATTAACAATCATTATACAATCATTATTAGATGTAGCGCAATCCCCGAAAAGATAGACAAGGGTTTCCAGGAGGTGATAGATGCTATTGACATATCTCCAGGTTTCCAAGTGTTCTATCTTTTTTGGTGTTGCTAGAAAGGAATACGTTCAATATGACCGCCAAAGCTTTAGCCATACATACTGGATCCACTTCCTTCTATCAAAAAGGATCAGACCCGACACCGCTGTGCCGCGAGTCGCCACAGACAAAGGCTGAGGACCTCCAACACTCTCAGAAGATTTATATACATAGGGCATAGGGGACCCCAAAAGTATGGAAAAGTTGAATTTGTTCATGTCTTTTTCAGGATGTCATACTCACCTCTTATTTATCTTAATCTCAGGATGTTTTACACAAGTCCATTTTCTAGCGGATCAGGGAATCGCCATTCAAGCATGGATGGTAACCATCTTCAGCTGGGCGATGTCTCGCTTGTAACTCCTAAATGTGCTCTCCCACCCCACCCCACCCCCAGGCCAGAGCCAGGAGAAGATCTGATAGCGTAGCATCATGTCTGTGTGCAAGTGCAAGAGAAGATCTCATAGCGTAGCAATGCCTAGCATATAGTCCCTGTGCCAAGAGCCACAGGATGTTATCACACACACACACCACCCCACCCCGCCCACCCCGCAACAGGTGATGTGAGCAAACGGTTTGAGCTACAAGTGAGTGCTTTTCCAAGTCGCAATTGGGACGTTTGAAGATGTGGCCCCCGTAGGGGGTTCTAAATGGATGACTGTTGGAGTGAGGTCGGGCTGTGCAATCGCCTTTTCGACAAGGCAGCCAGTGATACAGTGCTTCATAGGTATTTCCATCCTACCTGTAATCTTGCATAATGCCAATGATACTGTACCCTCTTGCAAACGGACATCGAAGAGCCAAAAATACTGTGATTGTGTTTTTCGGATGTCTTACTTGGATGATGCTTCAAATTGACAACTGTTTTTTGGGGTTTTTTCATTGAACCACAGACTGTGGAAAATTCACAGGGCATTTTATGCCTCCGCTGGCCCTTTTTCGTTTGGCTCCAGTCGACCGGTCAATGGAGTCGCATGGTCCTGGACTATGGTGGACCCTGGGGATTGGACTATGATCCTAAAAAACACCCCTTGGTCCAACGTATGTGTTTCTTTTGGGTGTGTTTTGGGTACACTATTTTCAGACACATCCTTTTTGCTTGAAACCGAACCATCGTTAAATTTGCAAAACGTTTGCTGCCCTGACGTTCGAACGTAAGACTTTGTTCGAAACCGTGTTTTTTCTCGTTTTGAAGAAGCTCGCACAATCTCTCGCCAGTCCGTTTTCCACCCAAACATCCCCAGCTTAGACATGGCCTGGTGCTGGATGCACTGGATACACCAACTGTCCACTGCCTAATCAGCCCAGTTCCCAAGATTTTGCAAAGTGAACTGTGGTTTACTAAGTTTACTATGGTTCATGTGAGTTTTTCCTATAGTTAACTGGACTTATAAAACAACATATCCAACTGGGGGCACTACATTGTAGGGACGACAACAACAAGCCCCGCGCCATGGATCCGTGCCGCTTTTGTGGCTCCTTTGTGCCCTGGACGGAGAACAAGAATGGAAACGTTGGACGGGTGCTTTATTGATCTTTTGCCATCTCAGGGGATATATATAATATATATATGCATAATATTTATATACACAGACGCACGTCAGACGCATACTAGCCATCTAATGGCTCGAAGGTATCTAAAATCATTGTGTTCTGGCTGGAAAATTCCAAGTTTCAGTGGATCATCCGCACTTGTTCAAGGCCTATTGACCTGTCTATATGCCAGAGGGTAGAGACGTGCTTAGTCTTGGGACATGTGAAGTACAATAGGTTCACGACGAAAATGAATCGGATGTAATATGATAATCAGTCAGGTGTGTTTCCGCATGCTCAACCCGGGCATTCGTGGATGAATGGTTGGTGAATGGGTCAGCCGTGGCTGACCGCCGTTTCAGCCATGAACGGAGTACAGAAGGATGATGAAATCATTCCATCAACTCACATGTTCTTTGTTTATTTCTTCCATTAAAAAAAACGCGAAATCATATGTTTTCTTTCCTCTCCAAGGCCATATCCCAGCTACTATCCCTCCAGCTGAGGATTTGGTGCACAATGATGCGAGGGGAGATACCGTTGGACGCCCTGGGTGACAGGTGGTGGCGATGGGCCGATCAGCAGATTTACCTGTGCTTGGGGATGTTGCTTGGGCTGCTTGGGATTGTAAATTGTCAGAACTGTGGTCAACTGATGTCAATTGGGGACTGCAACTTCCTCCTTTATGGCTGATAGCTGACAGTGGCTCATCATTGAGTGGGAATGGATGAAGATTTAAGGCCTTTGAGGCCCTGGTAACCACAGATTTTCATGTTCGAGAAGTCATGAAGCCCTCTATTCTTGTGAGCACACGGTGAGACACATGCACAGATATGAACACTGTTCATCACAGCCAAGATCCAAGAGATCCAAGTAACTTGCACCCTGATATCACAGTACGATCATTGAGGGTGAATCCTCCCTTGCAGCGCCTTGGAACAAGTTGATTTTGATGTTTGCAAGGGCACACCTGCCACGGGCTACCTACATGGCACACGTTCTGGTCAAAACCCATGTACAGGTCGTAGCAATTTCCCATCGGTGAAGCTTCTCTTCCGGACGTTTTCAAGTCAACATACACCGCATGCCAATTGGATTGACAAACTCAATTGAAGACTGCCACGTTCGAAGGTGGTATTTAATTCAAACATGTTTTGTTCTCAGAAAAAAACTGGACCCAAAAAATACCCGAAAGAAGTTTTAGGCATTTTAGGAATTCAATGGGTCACTGGCCGGCCCTTCATGTGCCCGGAAGCTGGTTATTATAAAATGCGTGTGGATGCTTGATCTTCGCTACGAACTCTCCTTTCCAATCCTTTTAACTTTCGATCCGTTTGAGATTTATTGATGTTTTGATCAACCACCAATTATCCCATGCTTTCCAATGTTTATGGGTGCTTTAAGTGCCTTTGAACTGCTGTGAGGGAAATATCTCAGCTGGGGAAAACCATTAACACTATGAGGTGTTCTGCCTTTCTTCGCCAAGTTCCAACCTGGTTAGAGTCACTTTTCTTGCTCAAATCTCTATTTCTGTTGCTGAACTCCCCCGCAATTGGGACTTCCCCCACTTAGACGATCTTGATCGCTATGCGCAGGTTTCCTGAAAAATGATGTCCACTACAAATGATAATCCATCCAGCTATTGGGGTGCCCCCATGTGTGGAAACCTCCAATGTGTGTTGCTTAAATTCCTGGATTCTGACCCACTTCCGAGGTCTGTGGCAACTGTGGCGAGCTTCTGGAAGATCGAACCATGGTCAGGGCCGCAGCCGTGGAGTTGGATGCCGTGGAGCGGTTGATGAAGTGCTCCTTCTGATGCCTCATTGCATAACCTACAATGAGTTTCAGGGAATCAAAGACCTTTTACAGGATACATATGGGCTATGGATAGGATACACTCCATCAGATTTTGTGGAATAACACCCATCCAATCAGATCAAAACTTTTTGTGGGATCCCTCGAGTGTGTTTTTTATCTGAGTAAATTGCATCGGGAAGATCTTCCAACTAATTTGTCTTTTACAATATTAGCACATATCCGCACCGCATAACCACTCCTTAGCCTGTTCAGGATCTTAGGTTCAACAATTGTGGTACTGTCTGGAGATGGGAACTGGTGGCTGGGTTGAGGGCTTTTTGAGGAGTGGGATTTATATATAGTTTATTTTTATCTTAAAAGCTTACCCATCTGATGGAGTAATTATCTGTGTTTCTTGGATGGACGGATGGATTTGCTTGCTTAGATTTTTGATTTAGAAGGTTGACGATGTTGTTGTTGATTTGCAGGAACAGCACGTTAAATGCATGCTGACGCAGTCGAATCAGAATACCGTGGGATGATTGTTATCAATTCATTTTGGTCTCCCCAGTTTATAATATAGTGGTCACATGTTTTTCGGACTGGTAATTTTCACTTTGCCTGACTTGGCCAAATTGAAACACTGGTTTGGTCTCTCCCAGCCAACTCCTTTTTTCCCAAAAGTTTATCCATGTTCTTCTCAGCGTTCTTATCTTCAGGTCAGGTTGTGTGTTTTCACAAAATGTCATGCAGTTTGGAGAGGATTGCATTTTGCAAGTTGTCGATGCTCTTGACTGCTTCCGATATCTGACTTAAAGTTTGTAATCAAATTCATGAGGAGACATATTGTTTACTGTTTGTATATCTGAAGAGCCCACAGTGTGTGTCTTAATGCCTTATTTGTTGAATAATTATTTGAACGTGTATTTTTGGTACTGTTGTTGATTAGATTTATTGAAAGTGATAAAATCTGATTATGTTCATCAAGCACAAGGTGGGTAAGGGATTGTACAAAATAATTTATTTACTTTTTTCTCAACTAGGTGTTTTTTCTTGGGTAGTGTTCGTGTTATCAAAATTACTGGTTAGTTGGTGGTTTGGAACATTTTTTATTTTTCCATATTTTGGGAATAATACTGACTAATATTTTTCAGAGGGGTTGAAACCGCCAACCAGATAACTAGTTCCTGATGTGGATTGAATGCCGATTCCTCATCTTGAAGTTTCCTAGATATTGATAGTGAAATAAAATGCGTCTACAATAAGATATAAAGTGCCGCTCCTTGCTATACTTGTGCCATCTTGTGCCCAAATATTGTTCAGAAATGGCTTAGATTCAAATTCCGTGTTGGCAAAATCCGTTTGTTTGTCAGTAACATCTAAAATGGTTCATTGCTGAAAAACCATAATAATTCCGGTTTTTGGTAGCTAAACTCCAATTTTTGATGTCTAAAAAACCATGCTTGGCTAAACTCCTTGGCGGCTAAACTCCAGTTGTTAATGGCTAAACTCCAATTTGTGACGTCTAAAATCCAATCTGCTTGGTGGTTTCAAACATTTATTATTTTCCAATATTTTCCATGTAATATATGGGATGTCATCCTTCCCATTGACTTTCACTCCATCATTTTTCAAGATGGGCACATCGCACCACCAACCAGATGCGCAGGTCACCGAGGCCACTTTTATCACCAACTCCAAAGGGGCCCTGGGGTCCCAGAGATTGCGCCGGGCTGGCGCTGGAAGCGCCACGCAACGAAGATGGGAAAAACTGGCTAAAGATGAGATATGATTAACCAAAGATTGAGAAAAATTGTTGTTTTTTGATGGGATATATGAATGGGGATATTCATAGGTTTCATTGGAATATAGTCAACCTTGATTTGCTGAGTTTTTTTTCCTTTACGAATGGGAAATCCACTACTTGGGGAATCGATTGATTAGGGATTGTTGCTTTATTTTGTTCTGGGTTCCTTAAGCAAATCCAAGACAATGTGGAGGAGATGCGAGGGAACACACCAATCGAGTTTGGATTTCTTTAGGGGTGGCTGGGAGCACATTGAGAAATAATGAAGATAGCATTGATTGGATACGGAACAGAAAGAACTCGTGAAATGTTGGGGTTCGAAGGTAGCATATACACCCGGAACAATGGCCTCATAACTCCTCCGAATATAACAAGTTGACTTTAGCTCCATAATGTTCTATAATAATAGTATCTGTTGATCCAATATTCAATCGCTTATCTCATTTCCAAAAGAATCATGTGGATATCCTATAATTCATCCCAAACCTGGCCTGAAACCATCAAGTTCTTGGGTCCTTATAATATCCAGCATGTGCCATGAGTTTGTTGTATGCCCCAACAGGATAGATATCAGGAACAATCTTCAAGTTCACAACACTGGCGCTGTTCTGTTCACATGCAGGAGGCTGGGATTTGTGGATGTTCATCGCAAAAAATGTGGAAATTACAGGCTTTGATTCATCCCTACAATGTGAGGCTCCCAAGGTTTATGATACTTATAACATCTTATAGTAACTGGGGCTTATAAACCAACTTATAACTGGGGGGCCTCACATTGTATAAATGAAATCCACCCCTTATTTACGTTTGCTCAATGTGCACCTCTAGAACCCCACATTTCAAAACGAAAATTGAACATGCTTGAGGATAACGTGTTGTTCTATGTTCACAACGTGTCATCATTGTTCATGTTTTATTTGTCCACTATTTTTTCAGAATGTTTTTCAAGAATATATAAGCTTCACAAGCCATAATGTTCCACGTTTTATCATCTCTTATTCATCATTGTTCATCATGTTTCATAAAGCAAATACAATCGTCCAAAAGTTTACCAAACTGTTCTGTGGCACCCCTTAGCTGGTAAGCCTTACGTGCGCTTCTTTGCACCAAGGCAAAAGCCCTGGCTGGAGCGACGGTGGAGCTTCTTGGTACAATTGGGCCGTTTTCCAAGCGTTGGATTACTCGAGGGTACACTTTGTTTGTCGAAGGATCGTAAAGGGGCAATCATGTGTCTATATATATATATTTATATATGTATAATTGTAATAAGAATAATGATAATAATGATAATAATAGTAACGATAAATATTACTAGTATCATTAGTTGTTGTTGGTAGTGGTGTTATAACAGGCAAGTGAAATATTACCCTCTGGTAAACATACAAAAAACTATTGAATATGGCCATTTACAGTTGATTTTCCCATTAAAAAATTGTGATTTTCCACAGTTATGTAAAACGTTTACCAGAGGGTATCATTATTTCTGGGTAAATTATAACGACCTCACTGTTCTCCCTCACTGGGAAAAATGGTTAGGATTCGGGAAATCATCCCCCAAATGGCCGCAAGATTCAGGTTAGTGAAATATTAGAATTTACCCAGATTATATGTATACTACTGGCCAATTGTTTAAAATGCCATGTATCTAAACCTGCTATGAAATGTGTTTAGTGGGTCAATCATGGTCATGTTTTTGAGGCTTCTGGGAAGTACAAACTGATTAAACATTATGTTTTGGTGGCAAAACAAAATCCTCCCAATGATGGGGCCCATAGCCCAGTTGCAGATGGTGAAACATGCATAAACATGGAGGTTGGTTCCGAACTGGAAGTCATTTTTGTGCAATCTTTCCAGTGCTGAAGAGGCCTTGCATCTGTTTTCATCGGAAGTCTCAACAAAGCAATACCCTCTGGTAAACGTTTACATAACTATGGAAAATCACCATTTTCAATGGGAAAGTCCACTATAAATGGCCATTTTCAAGTTCGCAAACTGTTAGTCATTACCAGAGGGTAAGAATCGGAGTGAAACTTTACTGGATCAAGTGGGTTCTGTGCCTTTTTCGGTCCGCACTGGTTGGTGAAGATGTGGACTCTGGTGGTTTAAAAAACCATGGTGAATCAATGGTGAATCAATGGTGAATAGTGGTTAATGTGATGGGATATTAATGGTTAATACTCTGGTTGGTGGTGTGGAACCATGAAATTTTATGATGTCCCATTCAGTTGGTAATTTCATCATCTCAAGTGACTTTCATTCCATGATTTTTGCAGAGGGCTAGGTGGCTCAACCACCAACCTATTGATTACATCCCAAGTGTCACCCATAGGGTTTAAGCTGCTCCTCATCGCGGAACCGCCCGGAACCGCGGCAGAGCAGCCGCTCCCTCGCCCAGTTTCACGACGGGGCTGTTTCAAGGTCCCAGTAGCCATGCTCGGGGGCCCAGGCAGCCGAAAAGGTCACCATCTGACTGGTTTTTGGTGATCAATGGTGGTTAAGAGTTCTTAATGGTTAATAATGATTATAATAAATATTAATAAGAGAAATATGGTTAATATGAGGTTAATATGGTTAATATGAGGTTAATATGGTTAATATGAGGTTAATATGGTTGATATGGTTTGAAATATGTTTTCTCAACATTGTTCAACCATAATTATGCGGGATGATGATCCCATAATGAAATGTGTATGTTGAATATGTCTCGAAGGGGTTTAAAACCACCAACTAAAAACCACCAACGAGCATCAACGAGCTACATAATGATTGGCTCATCCCAGTTACCCTCTGGTAAACGTTTACATAACTATGGAAAATCACCATTTTTTATGGGAAAAACAACTATAAATGGCCATTTTCAATAGCTTTTCGTATGTTTACCAGGCCGGGCACCACACTGATTCAGATTGCCGTGGAGATATTGGGACCATCATAAATGATCCAGGTCTTTTTTTCTTGGGTAGTGTTCGTATTATCAAAATAACTGGATGGTGTTTGGAACATGAATTCTATTTTTTCATATATTGGGAATAATTATCCCAACTGACGAACTCATATTTTTCAGAGGGGTAGGTATACCACCAACCAGATGATAACAAAGTAAAATTAAGGAATCAAAAATGATGTAATGGAGTTGTAATACAATATTAATGGTGTTAATACTAGTATATAATAACAAGAAAACGCAAGAATTAATAATAATTGTAGTAATCATGATAACAATAAAAATCGCAACAGTAATGGCAATCATAATAATGCTGATTGGTGCTTTCAAACATGTTTCATGTTCCATGATATATGGGATAATCCTTCCCATTGACTCAAGATGGTTAAAACCACCAACCAGTAATGATACTTTTTTAAATGTTTTTAAAACCAAACTCCACCAAGAGCTGGACGCAATAATGGTGACGCTCAAGCTGTCCACTCAGCCACGTCAGGAAGTTGCTCTGACTCGTGGTCTCTCAAAGCGTCTCGGATGTCTACCGTCGCGGTGTGTGATGGGAAGATGGATAGCCGGAAGTAGATAGAGTATGGATGAGTACAGAATTTTCCAAGATATTCTCATTGTAGTGAGGATGTTTGAACATTTCCATGGCATTTCCATATTCTACTTCAGGATGACTAACGCGGCGGCGTAAAAGTGTTTTCTTGGTGGATGAGGGGCCCATCCCTTGATGGAAAAAGATGATTCTCTATAGCTCGACTGTGCTGTTGAACGATGTTTTGCATCTGAACTTTCCACTGATCTTAGACCAAGAAATCACATAGATTCATTGTTTTATCATGTTTTATCCACAACCTATTCAGGAATATTCAGGAATATCCAGGAGAAGTATAGACCAAGATAGTCTGTTTAGGCTGCTACCCTGCACAGGAAGCCGGGAGGATCTGCTTGGGCCTCGCTGTGGGTGAATAGTGGACAATGTAAGTGCGATTCGACCTCCTCATATTGTCACAATAGGCTTTTCCCACCCACATGCTCCATGTATGGTATATTTACCTACATTTGGGTGATTTTTAGGGCAAATGTTGGTAAATATTCTAGCACCATGGAGCATATGGGCCAATGGACAATGCCTAGACCCGGTAGATTCAATGTTTGAACATCACATTTTTTATGCAAGTGGTAAAAAAAAACTACCATGAGGCTTGAACTCAAACCTCAAGAGGTAAACCTTGAAAGCTACGAGAGGCATGCCAGAACCATCGGTCAAGAGCAGTTTAGGAAGTCCATCCCCCCACGCCAATCCCTGAGGTGAATAAGTTCCACAGTTTCATCTTCGTCAACATTTAGATTCTCAGTGGTTCAGCAATACCATGCAAGCTCCATTGTACTGTATGATATTTATTATTATTTACCAACATTTTATGGTATATGATATATATTGATATATTATATATTTATCAACCGTTACTAAAATTTGGTAAGCAATCATACGAACATGTTGCTGAGACTGTGGCCGCGTAGGCATATTTTGTTTAAAGTTGCATAAAACCGCACGCGCATAGGTCTGCGCAGGCAACCTATCCCCACCCAAGCTTCCGCGTAGGCTAAACCTGTGCGCGCGCGTACGCGACATGTAAGCTTGGTGTAGGCACTTGTTAAATGATAACAACCTATATCTGAAAAAAAAAGCACAACTCAAATGTCCCCAACATTTAATTATTGATGTATGCACACATTTTCCAAGCTAACATGTATTTTTGATATACTTGTCTTCAACTATTTAATATAATATATATATACATACTTCAACGTTTGATTGGTATTATTGGGGAATGTCTATTTGAATCTATTTGATATAATTTAACATGTCTCTTTGATATATTTAATACTGGTTGGTGGTTTAGAACATGTTTTATTTTTCCATATATTGGGAATAATCATCCCAACTGACGAACTCATATTTTTTAGAGGGGTAGGTATACCACCAACCAGATATTGATTATTGATTGATGGCCATTTGCTGCTTAATCCACCATGTTCACACACAAATCTAGATATCATGTCAAGTTGGTTGTGTATCCTGATATCCCAAAATGTCCCAAGATATCCCAATTGGTTGTGTATCCTGATATCATTAGGAAACCGTTGGTAAACTAACCCCTCCTTGCAACCTAACCGAGGATCGGTCACCTGGCCGACCGCTTGCAGTTGCCAGCACAAATCCAGGCCGCCGTTTGGCAGGTGAAGATCCTGGGGGGCCCTGTAGGTATAAATTGATTTCTAAACCCATGCAGCTGTGTATACACATATAGAATATATATAACATATATATATATATAGTATACTATATTTAACATACTATATATAATATATACAATATAACAATATTATACTTGATATACTATATACTATATATACAGTCAGTGCCAGAATTATAGAACGGAGCGAAGAGGACAAAAGTACGGTAAAATACCGTACCTTTGTCCTCTTCCGGGTTCGAACCTGGAGCGGAGTCGGAAAATTTAATTATAGAACGGGGAAGAGGACAAAGGTACGGTAAAATACCGTACCTTTGTCCTCCTGGCTCCGTTCTATAATTCCTGGCACTGACATAAAATGAGGATAAAATGAGGAAATGATGAGGAAATGATAATAAAACGCGGATAAAATGAGGATTTAATGGGGATTTGATGAGGAAATGAGGATAAAATGCATATTTAATGAGGATTTAATGAGGATAGAACGACGAAAAAGGTTAGGAGTAAATTCAGATACATTTTTTTCATACCTTCCGAGGAAAACAGAATTATAGAACAACAGGGTACGGTAAATAACCGTACCTTCGTACTCCTCAACTTCCGTTCTATAATTCTGTTTTCCCCCATTTTTCCCACATTTACCAGGTGATTTTCTCAGATTTCATGGTGATTTTATAGGAATTCATAGTGGTTTTATGGGATTTCATGGTGGTTTTATGGGATTTCACGGTGATTTTCTTAGATTTCATGGTGATTTTGTAGGATTTCTGGGACCCCGGAAGAGGTTCTATAATTCTATAATTAATTTTTCCGTTCTATAATTAATTTTTCCGTTCGACGGAAAAATTAATTATAGAACGGGGCCCGGGAAACATTAATTATAGAACGAAAATGGGAAATGTGAGAAAAATGGGGGACAACAGAATTATAGAACAACAGCGCTCCGACAAGAATTATAGAACGACGAAAAAGGTTAGGAGTAAATTCAGATACATTTTTTCTCATACCTTCCGAGGAAAACAGAATTATAGAACAACAGGGTACGGTAAATAACCGTACCTTCGTACTCCTCAACTTCCGTTCTATAATTCTGTGTTCCCCCATTTTTCCCACATTTACCAGGTGATTTTCTCAGATTTCATGGTGATTTTATAGGAATTCATAGTGGTTTTATGGGATTTCATGGTGATTTTATGGGATTTCACGGTGATTTTCTTAGATTTCATGGTGATTTTGTAGGATTTCTGGGACCCCGGAAGAGGTTCTATAATTCTATAATTAATTTGTTTCTATAATTAATTTTTCGTTCGACGGAAAAATTAATTATAGAACGGGGCCCGGGAAACATTAATTATAGAACGAAAATGGGAAATGTGAGAAAAATGGGGGAAAACAGAATTATAGAACAGCAGCGCTCCGACAAGAATTATAGAACGACGCAAAAAATTAAGAGGAAGATCAGATATTATTTTTTTTTTCACACCTTCCGAGGAAAACAGAATTATGGAACAACAGGGTACGGTAAATAACCGTACCTTCGTCCTCTTCAACTTCCGTTCTATAATTCCGGCACTGACCATAATATATAAAGTATAATGTATAACGTATAACATATTATATGTAGTATAAAAATTTAGTATATATCGTATTATATATAGTATAGTATAATGATATATGATATTTTATATATATATACATATATATATATATCCACCGTAAATCGTTGCAACTAGATATAACAATCTATAGTTAGCCATGACATGAACTATATGAACCCAGCTTACTCAAGTATCTATGGGGACCCTTGCCAGGAAGCTGGACGTCGGATGTACCAGCTGGCTGTACAACTGAATTTCAACGTTTGGGATCCCCAGGGAGGCTGCGTTTGGGGCTGGGGAGCATGATGATAAACTAGATAAACTTGCTGCAACGGTGACTAAACCCCAGCGCTTGTAGCCTGCAATCAAAAAGGCATATGGAACTCTGCCAGACCTTGCTCGTTTCTTTGAGGACCATCCCACAGTGATAGTTGGTTTCTACCCCACGAAACCCGACCTTTTTAGCGATCGTCCAAAGGCTGGGCTGCAGCAGCGCTATGTCACGGCCGCATGTCTCTATGTGGTTTGCAGGCGCTGGGGAGACCAACTTTTAGAGATTAGGGGGAGAATTGGAGGTTGATAGGATGTTATCCTTTGGTAATTTGTTACATAGCTATTGAAAATAGCAATTTATAGTGGGTTTACCCATTGAAAATGGTGATTTTCCATAGTTATGTTAGTTTACCAGAGGGTAAATGATATTAAATGTAAATAAGAATATCTCTCAGTTAATCAGTTCCTTGATTTAGCAGAAAATGTATTGCTCATGGGGGTGTAGAATTGTCTATAATGCAAATTGTCCATAATTCAAGGGATGTCCAAGAATACCTCTTTCAAAGCTTTACGTTTTAGGATGTCTTGGCGAAGAAAATCCATGGTTTCCTTCTCTTCCGATGCACCAGCGAAGCTGATCCCTTCCTCGCGCGAGGAGAAATCGCTCCCCGCAAATGTTGATCGACTTCTCAGATGTCTTGCAGACTCCGGTGAAGGTGCAGCGGATGGAAGAAGGTTTGGGCAAATCTGAAATCATGTTTGGGAAATTTTGAACTTTTTTTGAATGCTTGAACATCAAATGAATACCGAATAGAAACTCAAGATTTCAATGTTATCAGGTCAGGGTTTGAACATGGAGCCAGCAATGGGGGCCGACAAGAAGAAGGAAGAAACCAACAATTTTGTTATGTGGCCAATGATCAAGTTGGTTCAAGCAATTATATAAAAGAACTGATATAGTGCTAACCAAGCAGTATGGCCATGGCAATGAGCTGGGAAACATGGATTTTCCGGTATTACCAGGAGGTCATGTTGCATATTCTTGCTGGCGATCTCAGGAGTACTAGATCAGTTGGTTTGAATTGATTGATTTTGTTGGGAAAGCAGCGTGTTGCTTGCCACGGTCTTGCCACATTCAAATGTCACGCTGGAGCAGTTTCAATGTTTGCATCTGTAAGTGGGTACGAGTCGAAATTCCAGTGCTGGGTCACGCAAATATTGGTAATTACATGTAATTACCATAACATTTTTTTTTTGGGGGGTGCGTTGCCCAGTTTTGACCTATCCACCAGTGGTTTCACATGGTTTGATCCACTGCTTGAATCAACCCACAACGGACCCTTGGCGCACAGACCATCGGCCGCGTGTACATGAAGTTGATGCGACGCTTAGTCCTGGCGCCCAGAGTTCAGCGATGCGATACACTGATGGTGCTTTAGCCAGTTGCTATTTTTCTTAGGGTTCCAAACTGCTGCCAAAAACTTCCAGATCGCATCAAATATGGTCGCCTTTTATGGAACCGAAAGATGCGGTTTTTGCAATGTATACAATGTCCATCCAACTCCAAACTCTCATTCCAAAATGACTATCCCAATTCAATTGGATATTCCATGAGTTTCATATTTTTGGGGCTGGTTGGATAAGTCATGGGTTCGGTTGAAAAGAGTGAGCACCCCTAAATCCCATGGTGGCTTTATCGTCACCCTATAAGAATGCAGTTTTTGGGTGGTGTATCCCATTTCCATACACAGCCAAATCATATCAAGTTGGTTATCTTTCCCAAAAAATATCATTTTTTGGTTAATCCACCTCATAGTATCCCCATGAATGTCTCCATTAATATCTCGTTTAGTATCCTCATCAATATATCACAATATATGATATATCCCATCAATATATCATAATATATCATATATCCCACTAACATTCCATCAATATATCCCCATTATAAATGATTGACCTCTGGAAAATTCACAGTTTGACCCAAAAAATCACCAATGTTGAGTGGAAACTAATCTTCCAACCCCTTTTTCCTGCATCTATGTCCTCCATTTATCCCATTATATCCCACCTGGTTGGTGGTTTGGAACATGAATTTTGTTACTCTCCATCATATTGGGATTTTCATCATCCCAACTGACGAACTCCATCATTTTTCAGAGGGGTAGGTTGAAACCACCAACCAGCCACTACTCCATTCTTAACATATATCCCAATATATCCCCAGAATGATTTTCCCAGCTATAAACCCCCCCATGAAGTTGGTGGATTTCCGCTCTAAAAAAACGCTCAGAAAGGTAGGGGGCGATGCAGCCCATCAACAGCTGGGCAACACGGCAGTGTGGCACCTCAGGAAAACCCATGGGAACACCCATGTTAACCCGCAATTTTCTATGGAAAATGATCTTGAAATGGTCAGTGTTCCATATCTTTGTTCATTTGATGGACATATTATCCACAACTGGATGATTTTTGGATCAATAGACATTTCTTAGATTTTTCCGACTGGGTACCATGGGCAGCGCGGCCGCTCCCAATCATCCATGCATGGCAAAAAAAGGATCCGATGAAAGGTTCATGGACTGAGAGCTGGACCTGCCAGGATTTGTGTACAGATCCAATATAAACTGGTTGGTGGTTTCAAACATGTTTTGGTTGGAATATAAAATCCCATGAGAATATGATATACGCATAATATTCTGGTTGGTGGTTTCAAACATGAATTTTATGACTTTCTATTCAGTTGGGAATTTCATCATCCCAACTGACGAACTCCATCATTTTTCAGAGGGGTAGGTATACCACCAACCAGTAAAGATCTTCCTTTGGAATATTCGAAAATCAGCTAGGTTTTCCGGTTTTCCATGGAGTTTTTGCATGATGACGGTTCGCAGCAGGTGGAAGTGCCTTTGGTGGACCCCTCCATCTTCATCGAACGTTCCTTGGCTGACTATTGACCTGGTTACACAAGGTCATGGAGATAGAATAGATAGACCAACACGAAGCCGATATGACCTTTTTGTTTCAGTGCTTACAAATAGCTGATCACAGGTGCAAGATGCATAATCCTTAGTCAATTTTAGTCTGTTTTTTTCATAATGTTCGATGTATCAGAAGAATTGGAAGCCTGGTCATTATGAACATCGAACATTAGAACATCATTAGAACATTATTATGATACATCTATGGTCATTATGAACATCATTTCGATCTGGTGGCGAGCAACTGAAAGAACAATAGATGTTCATAGCTATTGAAGTTGATCCAGCCATGTTGGCGAGGAGTTGACCCTATCATGTGCTGGTCTATGCTGGTCTGCATATCTTTAGCACTTTTATTATTTACAATATATATATATATATATGATTATATATATATATATATAATCAGAATAAAAACAATAACAATAATTAATAATGTAGTAATAATCATAACAATAAAAGTAACAATAGTAGTAATAGTAGTAATGAAAATAGCAATGATAATAATCGAAATAACAATAATAATAGTAATGGATAATAATGATAATGATAACAATAATATATACATGTGGGTTTTGAGTCGCAACCAAATAGCCAGAGTTCGAGAGGCGGCAAGGTAGACGCGCCACGAAATGCATTACTCAGGCATCATAGAATCAATCCGCACCTGGTGACCTGGTGTTTGCAACCTGCTGAATTGCAACTTGGTAGCGCCCTGTTCTGAACAAACTATAAACATATATTGACATTTACATGTCATTCTGCCACACTATGTCCATGTCATGTCCATTTGATGTACTTTCATATATATATATATACACAATGATACAATATGGATATATATATATACACATACACATATATATATATACATATTGTACATACATATTATATCCCAGTTATTTGTTTAATCTATCCTAGTTTATCTCCATATGACTTCGAAACCCAACGTTGGGCCCGCCCATGCCAAGGCTTCGCCCGGCGCTTGACCTTGGGTGGCATGCAACGGAAGGCGCGAAAGCCTGGCTGGCGTAAACATCAGGATTTTTCGTATCACATGGGTTCCCTCTGGTAATTTAACATAGCTATTGAAAATCACCATTTTTAATGGGAAAATCCACTATAAATGGTCATTTTCAATAGCTATGTTAGTTTACCAGAGGGTATCACATGGGTAAGAATCATTGATGGTCTAGTTTGATCATTTTAAACATCATTAAACCCTATACCATCTAATAATATCTAATATCTATTCAACATATGGAGATGGGTGAACATTTAAGCCCTATATTTCACCACAGACTACAGGAATGTGCTAGGTATTTAGTATTAACCATCCAAGTGTTGGGGTAATTACCTAATTCTGATCTACTGTCATAATAGGATAAACACAATCATTATTGTATTTATCACAGGGACTAAGGACATGGGTTGATTAGCGATATGTGGGTTTGTTTGCAAACAGACTGCCCCATTCCATTCAATGGTTAACCATTAGTTCTATTTAATTCTATTTATATTTCCCACTTGAGGTAGACATTTGGGGAGTATACCCCATTTTCAGACACACCCATATGCACTATAGGTAACATATCATAAACCTAGGGGTAATCGCTGGGATAATCATATTGAATAATGGTTTCATTAACGATACACCCGTGGCTTGACTAATGACTTCCATATGATAATCATTCCAGAATTTTGCATATGAAATGAACTGCCAAGATAAATGATGGGATTTTTGATTGTACCTTGATTCATTTGGAGATACCTTTTTGAAAGCCTATTTGAGAAACATATGTTTCCAAATCTGGGTCAAAATGTAAGGTTCAGAGGGTCATCATAGATAAGTGGCAATTTCTAGTAGTCAGCTAAGTAAATTTCCAGATAAAGTTGCCATCACAGATAAAGTGGCCGTGGAAATGGAAAATCTTTGGATGGAAGTGAATGGAAACATAGATGAATCTGAAGGGTTTTGCAGCACGCCCTGAATGATTGGTGCGGGTTGTTCTAGGTCAGCATTGGTCTAGATTTGTAATTAACCCAAACCATGTTAAACCAACCCAAAAGGTTCCCAGCTGTGACCAAGACCCACTCTAGTTCTGAAACTGGAGAGAGCCTCTCGTCACTGATTCAGGTTCAGAACACGGCAATGAGGTTGATCCAGTTTATGTGCCTTGGCAAGTTAAGTGACAAGAAGATAGCTGGGCCCCTGGGCCACCACCGAAAAAGCGCGCTTACCCACATTCGAAATCAAACAAACGGTTTTGATATATTTTAGATTATGTTAGTATGACTGAAACCTAAACTTTAAAATCCTACTTATAAGCACATATTCAAGAGAGATTGGCGGCCCTTTTGATCAGGGATGCGGATGGGATTTATTATTTATGAATACTTATTTATGATCTATCCAGGTCGAGGTCCGAAATGTGGCATTGCAGGCCATGTAGTGTAGATCATAAGATCTCCTGTTTTTAAGATGTAAGACTTCATTGTGACCTTATTAATCATGCAATGTGGGTTTCTTTGAAAATCCCATGTGTCCATATTTTTCCTTGGGTGATCATTTCAATGTTTCGCATTGAACAATGGCAATTTTAAGGATTACTGGACGCTCCAATCGTCCAATCGATGGATGCCGTGGATGCTCCTCCTGCGTCGCTTTTCGCCGCGGCACAGGCATCGTGATTGGATCTGCATTGGCCATAGCCTTAGGGGCGATGTCCTTTTCCCATTGGTTGGTTGATAAATAAAGGGGTTAGTTTACCCCTTTAACAACAGGAAAATGATGATATATGGTATACCACAGGGGCCCCTCTATTTTTACCAAAAGGACATTATTGCTCAGGGGCAGACCTCTCCAAGTGCCCTTGGCGCTGGGGGCTGTTGTTTCTCCACTGTTGCCATTTTTGAAATGTCACCATGAGTCTTCACTTGACAGGAGTTGAATCATGTGATAGAAATCCCCATTAAAAAGTCACCGGCAAATGGCCCTCTCATATAAATCCCATGAAATCTCATGAAATCCCATTGAATGATCATCAAATCACCATGAAATCCTGCTAAATCACCATTGAATCCATTGAATCCCATCAAATCAACATGAAAATCAGTTTATTTGATCAACATGTTTTAAAAATCTCCCATGAAAATCGGCATTTTTCTCATGAAATCCCATGCAATTCTCATGACATCGGCATTTTTCCCGACGCTCCGCGGCGCTTTCACCGAGGCCGCCGGCCCAACGGCCTCTGCGGCGCCGCCTTGCTGATTGCATCGCTGGGACGCCCTTTTGTTTGAAAACTCCCCGTTCTAAGAATCGGAGAAAAACAAACACCGATTTTTTTTAATATATATATATATACATAATACAATGTATTTTTAAAAATAAATATATACGTATGTATATATAAATATATAATTTAATTACGATGTATACGGGATTTATGTTCAATGGATATAATAATAGTATATATTATATTATTGGACACATTTGATTTCTGACCCACAGTCGTCACATCTGTTTGCAGATTCAGATGATATATGATCGAAGGTCCAATCTTGAAGCTGAGCAGAAAGGAAAAGGGACTGAAGATGCCCCAGAAAGTCTTACAATCATTCCAAACTCAGAAGTGCTTGAAACTGGAACTTTGGCCTGGGAAGGCCCCATGTGTGTGTGTGTGTGCATCCACATATTCGACTTTCTGGGCGATCCAAGTGTTCAAAGATCCCAGTATGGCAATGAAACCATTATTACCATTATTATATTTACCATTAGTCAATGACTATTATCAATATATTAGTGATTATTATTACCATTAAACCATTAGTGAATGATATTTAGAATTATTTACCATCATGTACTAGTTACTAGTGTATGATTATCACTATTACACGACAGAAGGATTCCTGTGTGTTTTTTCCGTTCAATTCCTGAGGTTCTACCACGGCTTTCGGTGCTCGCCCAAGGACCTCTCGCTTCTGTTGGGGGCCATGGCTTTCTGGGGCAATGACTTGGACTTGGAATTGAACCAAACTCCAAGGATTTTGATCAGATAACAAGCCAAATCTGGATAGATAATCAATTGGAATTTCAGGATCCTAAAATGGAGGTACGTTAGTACCATATTTCTGACCATATTTTTTGGGGATATTCCCTAAAATTTAGGCCTTAGAAATAGGCCTTATATATGGTAGGTACCTCCAATTTAGGTTCCTGACATGGCCATTGAGATAATGATCATGTTTGGATGATTTGTAGGATAAATTATGATAACTGATAACTTATTGGAATCTCACAATGACGGTTGGAGGAAGCTTTGAAAAATGGTATGAAATCAGGCTTGTGTTTGATTATCAATGATACCAACTTGCCCACGTTGCAGCCATATACTATCATATACCGTACCCAACGTATTCACTTCAAAAACGAGATGTCCAAATTCGGCAGAATGTTCTCCAAAATTGCTCCAGTTTGGGGTTTTCTTTCCATCCTTTGTTTTGGGGCACCCTGGGACCGTTTGAGCCAGGAGATTGCAGAAGTGGTACGCATGTCTGAGGTGGGGCTGCGGTTTATAATCTTAATGGCTTGACGTATGTCTAAGTGTTGTATACGAACACAGTTTGTTTTTGGATATACCCTCTGGTAAACTAACATAGATATTGAAAATGACCATTTGTAGTGAGTTTTCCCATGAAAAATGGTGATTTTCCATAGTTATGTAAACGTTTACCAGAGGGTATATGGTTTGACCGGTGACTCCATGGCTTTCACCACCCAGCTGTACAGGGACAGGTCTCCACCGAGAATCCGGTGGTTTGGGATTGGGGATAACTCCGGAAATGAGGAAATACCCCCATGATGGTTTGATGAATTAAAAATATCTGCTACAAATTTCTGCTGTGAAGCAAGCACAGATTCTGAAAAATTCCTCAGTACAAGCCACAAAGTTTGGCGGGTACTCAACTCAACTTTGACAGATCCCGAGAATTTTCGCTCTGATTGTGTCACCTATGACATCTGATCTGGGTGAATTTTAACGACCTCAACATTACCTGACCACAAGTTCGTACAAGGCATCAACCCCACCATTATCTTATTTGAGGTTGGTGAATTACTTTGTTCTCAGTCATCCAGACGTTAGCTTTTGGAGGACTGTCATCTTTGCAATCGTTGAATGTGCGAATATCATCATGGCATAGTTTGTCAAACTTATTCTGCCAGAGTATGTCTTTGAATCTTTGGTTACTGGTATTGCACCCGGTACAGTCATGGCCCTCCACCACGCAGGCGACGCTCCTGACACGTTTGCGGGAGTTGAAAGACACTCCCATGGCGAGACTTAGCCACTTGCCTAATCGAGGTTGGATGACGAGGTTTTGGTTGTTTTGGTGCACCCTTTGGTAATCAAGAAAACTGATCATTTGATGAGGATTTTCCCAGCGTTTCGAACCTCCATTTATAGGGGATTTACCATTGCTGCACCCGCTGGTAATGGAACAGTTTGCTATCATGCTATTGAAAATGGTCCATGTATGGATGATTTGCCTATTTCCTATCATGATTTTGTTTGTTTTGGTGTACCCTCTGGTAATCAAACGTGGCTGGCTGTATTTTTTCTAGAAATGGAGGTATATAGCTGGGAAAATCATATACATGGGGGTAACTAAAGTTGTGGGGTAGACTTAAGGAAGCAGGCTCTAGTAGAGCGGTGCTGTTTCCATTCAAAGTGGTGGATCGTATCCAGCAGTAAACATGAGGACTGCTGCCAACGGATTAATAGGGATAAATTGCTACTAAAATGATATCCCAATATTTTCACCCCTTTTTTCGTAAACTGGGGCTGCCATTTTTAAAAGGTGTAGCCACTAAGCCATTTTTTGTGCCCATCAAGCCATGATGTTTTAGAGGGATCATCCCGGCCAAAAAATGGCCACAAGAACTGGCTTTGTCAACTTGATCGACTTTATAACTGGGTTGAAAGGGTTGAAACCACCACTCACCTTGATATTGTAGCAGGCACCTGGCTGTGTCGTTCGGAACAACCCAGTTTTTCTAAACGCCAACTGGATTTGAGATCCTCATCGGTCCGACAAGGTCGGGACGAGTTCGACAAGGCAGGTTGGACAGCTGGACTGGACTGGGTGAAAAACGTTTGGCTGGGCTGGGTGGTGAGGTACCATTGGTGCCATCTAGAGTCAAGGGCTGAAGCCCGAAGTGTAGGATACCCCAGAGAGGGTGGCACTTGCTTTGGCTCGCATTGTGCGGCAGGTTGTAACAGTAAAGTTCACACGTTTCTTGTTTCTCTGATGTGTACCCTCTGGTAAATTAACATACCTATGGAAAATCACCCTGCTATCAATGGGTAAATCCACGAACTAAATCACCATTTTCAATAGCAAACTGTTAGTCATTACCAGAGGGTATAATCCCATTAGATCACCATTAAACCACCATAAAATCACCTATTTTCCCATGGGTTCCTGAAGAATTCCCTGGGTATTGGTTTCAAATCTGCAAAGTCCAGGTTGCTGCCAGGAAGTGATCGAACGCAAAATGTACCCTCTGGTTATTTAACATACCATGGAAAATGGCCCATGTATAGATGGTTTACCTATACAAATTCTGGTAGTGGGATAGGTAGGACAGAAATTCTCGCTGCCAAGCGTACTGCGCACCAAATTTATTGGGGTAAACACAACAGTGGTAGCACGTTTGTGGGGTCCACATTGAAATCAAAATTACTTGCTGCTTTCCGTTGCTTTATTTCCTGTCCTTTCCATATTGTCTTCAAATAATAATGATTAATTAGATGTAATTAGCAATTTTAATAAGTTATATTGATTTATTAATCAATCGATCTTTTTAGATATTTTTGATTTTTTTAGTGCTATGTGCTGAAATCGCCGAATGTGGTTTCAGAGAAAACAACACCTCCGGACAGCCTCAGATTGTGTCAGGAGAAGCCAGAACTACTTCTGGGCGAGGCGAGGCCTATGAAAATCCTCAAATGGTTGATGTTTTTGTGCTGGTCTTGTCGTCCAGGGAAACAATACATTGTATACAACAACTATAGTTGAGCATTTATATTTGGGCCAGCTTCTTGTTTCCATGTTGGAAACATATTCCATGTAATGTACTGGAAAGAAGTACGAATTCATCGACGATGTGCGGCTGGATTTTCGGGCGACGAGGCGAAAACCAACCATGCCGGAATCTAGGCGTCAGAAGATGAAAATGATGATGATGATGATGAAGATGAAGATGAAGTTCTGATGGCATTGGGTTGTTCAAAATCCCATCAACAACAGTAACTAAGTGTGCTGATGACATCAAAGATGAGCAGTTACAAACTGTTCTGATGATATTTGTGCCAGGAGAACTATTCACCAATATTGCCAATATTCACCATCAGAATTGTCAACTATTCCCAACTTGTTTTTAATGCTAAAGCTTGCTTTGTTGGTTTATCCCATTCACCAACCATTCACCAGCCGCGGGCGACGATAGTTGTGCCAGGAGCATCAGACCTTGCCCCCATGCTTGAAGCTCTCCAGGGCCATGAAGCAGGCGCAGTGCCCAAAAAAATGCTGGGAAGTCGTCGTGGATTCTGGGTTGTTCCGCGACAAAAATGGCGACAAAAACATATAAAAACCAGAAAGTCTGGATGAAAAGATCGGAAAATACAGATCTAATTCCTTGGTTTTGGATGTTGATAAGCTTGAAGAAAGATGGATTTGCCACATACTGACATACTGTAAGAAAACTTGAACTTTCAGACAGGGACCATAAGGGACCAACAAGCCATCAGGAAGTGGAGATATAACTCAAGACATCACTCACCAGAACAGAGAGATGGCCTGAAAAAGAGTCATGAAAGAATAACACGTCAATTTAGCGTCAATACGGTACTTGAACCTGGTGTAAATACACATGTGAAATGGAATGGATCCCAAAGGACACCGCGCAAACGCCACGCCGAGGCAGCGCTGGAAGGACCCGACCAGGCGGCGCTGGAAGGACCTTCCGAGGCGTGGCCAACCAAGACAGATTCAGGGGGTACCATAAACACATTATGTGTAACAGAGATGAAGTATGTATACATCAGGTGTTGTGTTAGTAATGTATATTAATTAAGGTAAATACTGTGGATGAAAGAAATCCTGCACCACTTCGTAGATGGTTTATTTCATTGTAATATGATTTACAGTGTTTTGCATACTTCCCAATAGTTACCCTGCCTGGTGCAGGATGGCGCCGGGATATGATGGGGATTTTTGACCACCCGCGTCTGTTGTGGTTGTGTAATTATCCAATACCGAGGTTAGACCGAAGATGAAGGGTTTTTATAAGCATCCAGAATAAGCGGTCATTTAGGTTCCAAGATTATGTACCCTAGTATTGATACTTAAGTTGATATATGGCATACAAACACCGAGGATACCTTTCCAATATTCATTCCCCCCAGCATCATCCCATCCCTGTAATCTTCACCACCTAAACGGTCCTAAAGATGTGTAAATTCCCCCATGAAAAGGTTTTTGGTGTTTCATATTAGGGGGATAGGATTATTTAAGTGTGTCATATAGTGTCATGTCAACCGACCAGGTTTCTGCGCTACGAGCGCTGCAGGTGGGCAATGGAAAGTTTACTGGGAAACCCAGTCGCAAATATGTGAAATTCTGGCATATTCCTGCGACCTCACAGGATGTCACTTGAAATTCGAACACATTAAAACCCATGTTTCCATATTTTTCCTGGGAAAACGGAAAACATGAGGAAATCACTGAAATCCCACGGTTTTTTTTCGTTTCGTCGGTTCAGTCGCTCCGCTGGGCGTTGAAGTTTCGTTTCGTCGCGTCGCTCTCCCAATGCTGGAAAGGATGGGGCAGATCCAGCGAAGTCAACCAGACAGGTGGCCGGTGACGGCTGGGTACAAATAGCAATCACTTTCATGTAAGGTGAAGGTGCAGAAAAGTTGACTTTGTGAAGGTGTATGTGAAAATTCGGAACATCTATGAAAATATGAAAACACACATACATCATGTACATGTAGCAAAAACTAGAAGAGCTTTAAACATGTCGTATTAAATTCTCTTAAAATGTCTAGAAATTTCCATTCGACTCGCTAGATTCCGCTAGATCAAATGGTAACCAACGGTGTCATGAAACATGTGGCGGGCGAAATCGGAAATCCCCGAAGTCAATGCACATTCCGCACGAAATGGGAACGTCATCGTTAAGTAAATGGCCGTATATTTTCCAGCAAGCCACGTTTGATCGCCCATGATCGCCCGCATTTGAGTTTCTGATGATTGTTATTTTGAACAAGTGGCTGGGAGTAGTGAGTAGCCTTTCTGTGACATGAGTTTTGTGTTTCTTTGTTTTGGCACACAACTGAACAACAGCATTGGATACCATGCTTAATATTCAGAACATGTGGCGGGGTGCAAGTGGGACTGTATGCCAGTGTTTGATAGATTGCACAGATTACAGACCTCTTTGTGTAGTTGGTTTGATGTTTCTTGATCACTCAGCTTTGTTTTTCACAGCTTCTTGAATGATACGGAACTGGCTCTCAAATGTTCTAAACCATGGTATACCCTCTGGTAAACTAACATAACTATGGAAAATCATCATTTTTAATGGGAAAATTCACTATAAATGGCCATGTTAGTCATTACCAGAGGGTATCACGAATATGACCCAGGTAATCATCACGAATCCAGTGCGCCAGTGCCTCAGGCTGATACGGATATGCCTCCGCCGCCCGTGCCTGTGAAGAGGCTGGGGTCAGCCTGTTTGATGACCCCTGTTGCACACCCATTTTTATGGTCCCAAAGACCCTGTTAAGGATCGAATCTACCATAGTTAGCCATAGTTACCATTCCCATGGGTTTTGGGGATGTTTTGGGGGAAATGTTCATAGGGCGGATTGGGATTGGAATCATTGGAATCATTGGAGACGACATCAACTCCAGCTGGGAATCCAGCTCTACCAGCCAGATTTTGAACACTGCTCACATCAAGATATCCATTCATAGTTTTTTGGGGATAAATTATCCCCAAAGATCCAGGTCCGGATGATGGTTCCAACAGACATCCGGAGTTTTCAGTGTCATGTTGGATTTCCAGAGGATATGATGGGCGACCAACGATGGGTTTTTGGGATCTCCTGGAGGCGTTTCCTCACATCTCCTCACATGTTTTGTAAGATGTTGCTTGTCAGCATTTTTGCCCCCCTGGTGTATGTTTGAGTTTTTGTAATTAGTTTCTGCAAAAAAACCGCACAGATGGCTGGTTTCTCCACCATGTGACAGCAAATGATTTGCATAGCCTGTGATGTTACTTGGCAAGGGCATAGGGTGACCTGCCAATGGCGGACATGGCAATGTTCTCATTTGCGGGGACCAAAACCACCGAATCAAAAAGATCTTGGAGATTGAAACATATTGAAACCAGATCCCCGGTTTTTAGTTTGGCGTGAAAATCCGTTGTAAGCGGGAAAAATGCTGCAATGTTGAGACACTGAAAGCTCTCTGTTCAAATTGGTCCATATTATCACTGGTTGGTGGTTTGGAACATGTTTATACATTTTTTACTTTTCCATATATTGGGAATAATATGGAATAATCATCCCAACTGACTTTCATATTTTTCAAGATGGTTAAAACCACCAACTAGATCATATTAGAGCCCCAAAATTCGACACTTTTGTAGGAGTGGGATCCCCGCCAGGAAACGAGACGAGGACACGGGATGTCGTCCAGGGTAACGTTTGGGATGGGTATCCCAAGATATCCAAAGAGATACAGGCATACAGCTGGTTTATTTTGGTTTATTGTTGAAATTATGGAATGCATCCCGCAAACATCAAACATCAATCATCTTATATAATCTTATGTAATTAAGTAATAAAGTAATAAAGTAAGAAATGATTGATCTCATTTTACAGCCGGACTATTTCGAAAAACACAATAAACTTTCTTATGTCAGATCTCAAATCAACATTGCGATGCACGTGATCCAAGGTGATCTGCATTGTTCAATGGCTCTGTATCTTTGAGGTCTTGGTCATAGCTAGACTTTCTGTTGCTGCGTGCATCCACTCAGATTACATCATCTCAGGCCAGCAAACAAATGAGGATTAGACAAAAGTGTCGCTGCCAAATCCCAGTGTTTCAACATTCTTCAGGTTCGCATGTTCAAACTCAAGAGTCAGATCGTCCGCGAAATTAACATTCAATTACCGTAAATTCATCAAGAAAAGTATTGTTCAAGCCTACTGTTCATTGGACCTTTCGGTTTCCTCCTTTGCACCAGGACGAGCAGATGAAAAAAGCTGAAAGGCGGGGCGCGGCAATGCGCGGCATCCGAAGCCTTTCATGAGGATTCCCAATCTCTGGTATATGGTATACCCATAGGATCCATGTATGCTATATATGGCAACATTTACCATCAATATACCCCAAATGTTAGCATATATACCATACATAGATCCTATGGTATATATGTTTGGTTGGTAGTTTCATGTGGTTTTATTTTCCGGGTTTCAACCCTGACAATGGCGATGATACAAATTGACTACATGATATGTTCATCGGGTCAGTTGAAGCTACTAATCGGATGACCAACATTTGGGAAAGCATCAAAGATCTGGGCTGACATGAAGTTTAGAGTCTAGAGCTGTTGTATGATAACTAGAAACCCTCCAGATCAGCATTTACAGATATTGTTTGCACAAAAGCAGAACAGCAGACTGTGGCAAGAGCATACGCATACAGCACAAATCACTGAAGCAGAACAGCAAGCGTTCTGATTGTAAATGTTCTGGTATCCATGCAGACTAATATAGAATGAGAAACACATAAACATAAAAAATACGGCAAATTTCCTTTAAGGATATAAAAGTAATCCCATGCTATAGTTTTAAACTGTATAACACGATCATTAGTTGATTTTTTTGCAACTTGTTTTACTTTTGGGTGCTATGCTTGCTGAATGCTTGCTGTGATGATGATTGTACGCTGGTGTGTGTGTGTGTATGTGATGGTGCTGCAATGATTTTTAATCAATTGTATGTTGATTTATGTGTATGTTTGCGTGGGTGCTGGGGCAGGGTGGTTGAGTATGAACTGGGGTCTCAGGGTCTCTACTGTAGCAGTAATCAGCCGATATTTGGTGACATGTTTCAACGCTTGAATTTATTGACAAACCAGTACTTTTCGGGCGGATATTTACTATATATATATATATTTGACACACACTTTATACTCGATACATACATACATACATTACATACCTACCAAACCAAACCAAACCAAACCATACCATTACATTACATTACATTACATTACATTACATTCATTACATATTATACATAATATGTCCTGGCATGAGCTTTACATGGACGTCCCATATGGTCGGTAGCTCCCAAATGTTCACGTCGTGAAAAACCCCGGCGCCAGGTACACCACCCGGCGACCCACGGAAGACGACGTGCAGAGCATCGCCAAGGACATTGCGCCGGGAGACCGATGGAAGAAGCCGCGATGGTTGACATCAATGACTGCTGGTTGGTGGTTTGGAACATGAAAATGTTGTAGATGGTAGATTCAATGGGATTTGATGGGGATATGATAGGATAGATCCAACAATAATGGGATATATATATATATGCTGGTTGGTGGTTTGGAACATGAATGGATTATGACTGTCCATATATTGGGAATAATTATCCCAACTGACGAAGTCATATTTTTCAGAGGGGTTGGTATACCACCAACCAGTTGACATCAATGACTGAGTTGTGACTGAGCAGTTATGGAGATATGGTGCATAGATATGGAGTTGTTCTAAAATTGTGGTACCTCCGAATTATCCAACATTAGACCATGACTTAGTATTCAAACCATTTTAAAACCATGGTTTTGGGGATCCCCCATTTTAAAAATATCGGGATATGAATGGGAACATAATGAAAATATAGTGGGAATGTATTGGAATTAAATATTTGAATTGATGAGAAAGAAATACAAGGGACATCTTATATAATTTTAGTGGAAATTGCATCATGGGATTGGGTCTATCTGAAACTTCCCGAAATGGCTACAAAACAATAGGGAAAATAGTGATTAAACAGAGGAGAAAACGGGGTGCCCCATGTTCAGACAAACAATTGCTGATTGTTTCAGCACAAAGTGTTAGCACAATGATTTGGACTTTTGAAACTTGGATACTCTTACTGGTGCTAAACGTAGGGAATGGAGGGGTTGCTGGGGGTTGCTGGGATTATTATTGATAGTGATTCTAAAAATCATTCCCGAAAATTCCCTTCGTAAAACGCACCAGTAAGTACTTGGTTAGAAAGATACTGAATTTATATAATTGATACTTGGTTTGAAACATAGAAACATACTAAATTGTTCATTGAATCTCCGATCAGGTTTTAACGGGTAAAACGTGGTTTAGGGTTTATGCTGCGGAAGATCCCAGACTTTGGTACCCTGAACACGCTGCTGTATGTCAAAGTGAGAATGGATGAGAAGGGATAGAATTCACAAAGACCCAGAAATTTTAATCATGTCCAATGGATTCCAATGGTTTATCATAATTTCCCCTACTCTTGGATGGCATTGTTTGATATTTTTGGGGGCGTTAGATCCTCCATTTTCAGAGACATGTTTCGCCAAGCTAGGCATTTTCCAGGTCAAGCTGGATGCCCTTGGAATTCCTGATCAATAGGTCTTGGTCTTTTGCTGGACTGTAATTATCATATGGTTTTCTTATGTTTTGACTTGTATTATAGCACCCAAAAAGATGCAGAAAAGTCAAATCCCCACTACTAACATTTATATATTCACATTTACTGTCATTTGTGTGGTAAGTTCAGTCTTGTCTATATGACTGGTTGGTGGTTTGGAACATGTTTTTTTTGACTTTCCCATCATATTGGGAATAATCATCCCAACTGACAAAGTCATATTTTTCAGAGGGGCTGAAACCACCAACCAGTTTCTATAGTCACCATCATGGTGGTTCGAAATATGTGTAACAATACTCTCATTTGGCTTTCATATTTTTCAGAGGGGTAGGTATACCACCAACCAGATGAAATTTGTGGGTTAAACCCAGACTTCCCGGGATGATCATCATCCTCATCCCAGCTGAGGTCTCACCATGGCATCGAGCCCATCTTGGAGGGTGTGGAAGATCCAGACACCCAAGCGAGGTGCAGCATGGGATGGGTCAGAATTGCGGATGGAAATTTTGTGGTTCAAAGGCCAAAATCCTCACAACTTCTTAAAAACTCTGACTTCGTCTAGTTGCATGATTCCCTAGGTCATTTTCCCATGTTCAGGTGTTCAACAGTTTATAGTAAATTGATAAACCATTGGACATCTAATGACACCTATCATTTTATGGCTTTGAGATTTGAAGCGCCATTTGAAGTTAGCACGGCGGAAGCCAAGTCCTCGATTGGCCATCGGAAATGGTTAGCAACCCTGATATTCGTAAGTCTCCATTCAGTAAATTATCTCTCATTTAGAAGTAGGTTACAACCCCAGTTATCCTCTGGTACACTAACATAGCTATGACAAAATGGAAAATCATAATCTTTAAGTTCGGTAAATCAACGAACTAAATGGGCCATCACTTCAGCAGTTAAATTATCAGAGGGTACAAAAAACATGGCAAAAAAAATAAGTCCCCAGTGGATTACTCTTTGGTTATGACTAACATAGCCATGGTTTTTCGATGGCCCATAGGAATAGATGGTTTACCTATTAAAACATGTGATTTTCCATGGTTATGTTAAATAACCAGATGGTATCTCTGCCATTTATAGCTTATAAGCCGAGTTACCACTTCAGCCGGCGTGAGAGGCTGAAGCGTCTGACGGAAGGCAAACCCGACTTCGCAGAGGACGCCGTTACCGACGGCGCCGAAAAGGCAGCTGGATGCAAGGCCATTTTTTTTGTTGGGAGTTTCATAGTCAATCTTACATTATGGATACTTTAATCCTTTAATCTTTTGGTATTAATGGGAATATCTACGTTCACCAGCAAAGAATTTATCATTGTTTGCAGGGTATCTAAGATTGGCAATGGTGTGAGTTGACGTTGGGAAAATGGATGAAAATTTAATGAAAATTGTGTTTTTTGTATATTGTTGTGTTTGAAGGAGCATATAAAGGGATTTGGGCAAGATGAAAGAAGGATATCTCAGCAATAGCTATCAGGGATTTTACCAAAAATGGGTTGATGGCTGGATATGATCAGAGATGGGCATTGTACTGAGTCAACAAGAAAAACATTACTGTACCTGGTTGGTGGTTTGGAACATGATTTTTATTTTCCATAATATATGGGATAATCCTTCCCATTGACGAACTCCATCATTTTTCAAGATGGGCACATTGCACCACCAACCAGGTACTCATTACTGGCTTGTACTATGTTTTTCTGTCTATCCCGGTTACGTACCGACGAGTCACCATGTTTGTCAGTCAAACGTCGATCAGACCACTTGCTGGACTCCGGAACTTACCCGGACGCGGAAAATCAGTTGCTGGTGGTGATGCACATCCAAGCACTATCTCAACCAAGAATGGCAGTGAAATTCACCTGTGAACGGGAATGTTGTGTAGAAAAGGCTTCGTTTTCCACTGGCTACTGCGCAGATATTTCAAGTAAGGCAGAACCAAACACACATGCGGCCCTTCTTCTTGTAATTGATTGATGTGTCCCTATTTTGATGTAGGAATGTCTCTTTTCATTAGCTACAGCAAATCATTGCGCAATTCTGAATGGACCTTTTCGGCAGTGTTTGCCTTGATTGGCCATCTACATGTTGCCTTGATTTCTCCATCGGTGACCAAATCTGTCCTGCGAAGGCGGGCGACGGTGAAAAGGATCAGGAGGACGGTGGTTGGGGGCCCCAGTGGGAGGTGTTTGTGGAGTACTTGGATGTTACCACAATTTGCTAAATGATTGGTAAGTACGGTAAACATAGGAATATCACCATGTATATTTGGATTATAATATTGGGATATATTTAGATCATAAGACCCAAACCTACTCAGATGTTGTGAGAATTCGCGATTCGCGGAGAGTAAAAGGGTTATGCCCCCAGCTACTGACCGCTTAGCAAATTATGGTGACAGCAAGGGTATGGGAACATTTGGTGATGCAGGTGGGATCGGCAATGGGATAATCGAACTAAATTGATGTACCATCTGGTTATTTAACAGTTTGCCATGGAAAATCATTACTTTTATAGGTAAACCATCTATAAATGGGCCATGTTCCATGGCTATGTTAAATAACCAGAGTGTAATTATCACAGAAGTATGGCAGTATTGCTGACCAACCTAATATCATGAAATGCGGGCTCCAAAAATTGGAGGAGAAACCGGTCATTGCCCGTCTAAACTTGCACAATCATGCATGTTGCCAACTTAAAAAAAAAGAAAATTACCATCTGGTTATGACCAACAGTTTGCCATGGAAAATCACCATGCTATTAATAGGTAAACCCAGTTAAACCATCTATTTCTATGGGCCATTTTCCGAGCGTCACTGGTGCAAGTTCAGTGGCAAATCATCCCAAGACAGGCAGAATTTTTGAGGCTTGGGACTTGTGTTAAAATCTGCCTTACCTATGTGGGGCCTTAGCTATGTTTGTTGGTTCAAAAGCCCCATTCATTTATAGTTAAAAGTATTGTAAACCATAGGTATTGGAGTTATGTGGCCCCCAACTTTGCGAGTTCGACAACAGGGCTCCCACTTTTTAGCTGGCGGTCTGCCATCAACTGCCCCCCAAGTTGTCAAGGTGAGTCCTTGAGCGACGTGGACGACGAAGAGTTGGAAGGTTATCTTCTGGATGCTGAGGAGTCCACCGAGTGTAGGTTCACTGCTTGGTGCTTTGGAACATGAATGGATTCTGACTTTCCATTCAGTTGGGAATTTCATAATCCCTGACTTTCACTCCATCATTTTTCATGTAGAAACTACCACCAACCAGCTGTTCATTGCTGAAGATTTTTGGCTCCCGCAATTTTGAGACAATGATGACCTCTCATTTTGTGGCCCGTCGGCAGTGCAAGCGATCCCAGGAGAAACAGAACAAGTCTGACATTTGGCACGAGGCGTCAAGTTTTGGGTGGCTGTTTTCACGATTTTTGGCGGTTTCTCGAAGATTGATAAGAGCAGTCTTGCCAGACAACGAGATGAATGGAGAATTTAAGGTACGCTGTTGCTGGTAGTCTTGGGTGCTAGCATCCAGGGATTTTGTAGGATAGTATGTATATAGATTCTATTCATATTCTATCCATATGATTTGCCCCTTTGGGCACTCCACAATTTTTGAACCCCACGATATCAGGAGGAAGCAGTTCCTGCGCATTAGACTCGGCAGTCCCCAAACTTGCGAGTTGCGAACATGGTAAAGTGTGATGGGAACGCATACTCAAATTTGGAGGTAATTTGTTTCTGGTTGGTGGTTTTAAACATTTGTTATTTATTTTCCATAATATATGGGATAATCATTCCCATTGACTTTCATATTCTTCAAAATGGTTAAAACCACCAACCAGGTTTAATGGTTAATGACAGATTGATGTTTTCAACGGTTGGTTCCTTGTTGATTTCTGGGAAGCCTAAGCCGCCGCCAGGTGAACAAAGATTACCTCGAGGCGAGGCTCCTTTGGGGTATGACGGTATGACTTAGGGGTTTACCTTCACAGTACGTAAATGATGGATCATTTTGGATCCATTTGCAGTATTTACACTACGTGTGGTTGATTGTTTCTCTATATCGATTCTGATATTTGTTGATTTACAAAAAATGCATGTTCTGATTCTTTGGTCTTATCATCCTTCTGTTTGAATTCATTGTATTTGATTATTCTCTGTTTATTTGATATAGAGATATCAAAAATTCTTTCCCTAAGATGACCCAGCCCAGTTTTTCTGTATATTCATTATATTCAAAAAATATATCGCCATCTTACCCCATTGTCCCATTGTATTACATCCCTATTGTGTTTCGGGGGGATTTTCTGGATCGGAGCTTCAGGAGTGGCATTTGCGCAGCTTGGAGGTCTGGATTTCTGGATGCCCCAGATACGGATGGATCCATGGTATCCCCAAGATTTTTCCAGAGGTTTCCCTGGTGTTTAATAGTGTTTAATGATGTTTAAGAGTGTTTAATGATGTTTAAGAGTGTTTAATGATGTTTAAGAGTGTTTAATGATGTTTAAGAGTGTTTAATGATGTTTAAGAGTGTTTAATGATGTTTAAGAGTGTTTAATGATGTTTAAGAGTGTTTAATGATGTTTAAGAGTGTTTAATGATGTTTAAGAGTGTTTAATGATGTTTAAGAGTGTTTAATGATGCTTAAGAGTGTTTAATGATGTTTAAGAGTGTTTAAAGAGTGTTTAATGATGTTTAAGAGTGTTTAATGATGTTTAAGAGTGTTTAATGATGTTTAAGAGTGTTTAATGATGTTTAAGAGTGTTTAATGATGTTTAAGAGTGTTTAATGATGTTTAAGAGTGTTTAATGATGTTTAAGAGTGTTTAATGATGCTTAAGAGTGTTTAATGATGCTTAAGAGTGTTTAATGATGTTTAAGAGTGTTTAATGATGTTTAAGAGTGTTTAATGATGTTTAAGAGTGTTTAATGATGTTTAAGAGTGTTTAATGATGTTTAAGAGTGTTTAATGATGCTTAAGAGTGTTTAATGATGTTTAAGAGTGTTTAATGATGTTTAAGAGTGTTTAATGATGTTTAAGAGTGTTTAATGATGTTTAAGAGTGTTTAATGATGTTTAAGAGTGTTTAATGATGCTTAAGAGTGTTTAATGATGCTTAAGAGTGTTTAATGATGTTTAAGAGTGTTTAATGATGTTTAAGAGTGTTTAATGAAGAGTGTTTAATGATGAGTGTTTAATGATGTTTAAGAGTGTTTAATGATGTTTAAGAGTGTTTAATGATGTTTAAGAGTGTTTAATGATGTTTAAGAGTGTTTAATGATGTTTAAGAGTGTTTAATGATGTTTAAGAGTGTTTAATGATGTTTAAGAGTGTTTAATGATGCTTAAGAGTGTTTAATGATGCTTAAGAGTGTTTAATGATGTTTAAGAGTGTTTAATGATGTTTAAGAGTGTTTAATGATGTTTAAGAGTGTTTAATGATGTTTAAGAGTGTTTAATGATGTTTAAGAGTGTTTAATGATGCTTAAGAGTGTTTAATGATGTTTAAGAGTGTTTAATGATGCTTTAAGAGTGTTTAATGATGTTTAAGAGTGTTTAATGATGTTTAAGAGTGTTTAATGATGTTTAAGAGTGTTTAATGATGCTTAAGAGTGTTTAATGATGCTTAAGAGTGTTTAATGATGTTTAAGAGTGTTTAATGATGTTTAAGAGTGTTTAATGATGTTTAAGAGTGTTTAATGATGTTTAAGAGTGTTTAATGATGTTTAAGAGTGTTTAATGATGTTAAGAGTAATGATTGTGTTTAATGATGTTTTTTAATGAGTTAAGAGTGTTTAATGATGCTTAAGAGTGTTTAAGATGTGAGTTTTAATGATGTTTAAGAGTGTTTAATGATGTTTAAGAGTGTTTAATGATGTTTAAGAGTGTTTAATGATGTTTAAGAGTGTTTAATGAAAGAGTTTTAATGATGTTTAAGAGTGTTTAATGATGCTTAAGAGTGTTTAATGATGTTTAAGAGTGTTTAATGATGTTTAAGAGTGTTTAATGATGTTTAAGAGTGTTTAATGATGTTTAAGAGTGTTTAATGATGTTTAAGAGTGTTTAATGATGTTTAAGAGTGTTTAATGATGTTTAAGAGTGTTTAATGATGTTTAAGAGTGTTTAATGATGTTTAAGAGTGTTTAATGATGTTTAAGAGTGTTTAATGATGTTTAAGAGTGTTTAATGATGTTTAAGAGTGTTTAATGATGTTTAAGAGTGTTTAATGATGTTTAAGAGTGTTTAATGATGTTTAAGATGTGAGTGTTTAATGATGTTAAGAGTGTTTAATGATGTTTAAGAGTGTTTAATGATGTTTAAGAGTGTTTAATGATGTTTAAGAGTGTTTAATGATGTTTAAGAGTGTTTAATGATGTTTAAGAGTGTTTAATGATGTTTAAGAGTGTTTAATGATGTTTAAGAGTGTTCCATTGCGTTTTTTCATGATGATTATCTGATCATGATTATCCGTTCTACGTGAATGAGTCATATATATCTACTGAATTCTACTGATACGTTTGTCTTGATTGAAGATGTTTCAAGTGCATTGTGTATTGTTAGGATATATTACAGTAATTAGGTCTTTGTTTCCGGTTTTTGCTGTCAACAAACCTGATTCTAAGCAGCATCAGTTCGGAAGAGTGTCCCGGCAGAATGCTGGCCCCCCAAGATCCATCACAATGTCCAGGATGTTGTAGAGCATATGACATATACAGTACTTCACTTGGTAAGTGCCAGGTTGCCCTCGTTTTTGTCTTATATATATATTATATATATTATATATATATATATATATGTGTGTTTTCTATCTATTTGTGGGTTGCTGCAGCTGCTTCGCAAGATGGGACGTGACATGTCTTAGGTCCAATGCTTCACTGAGGATAAGAGATCCCCAACTGAACTTCCAATTTGTCTCCAACGATTCGCACCGATCGCCGCGCCAGCAAAAGCGAAAGAAGATGCGCGAGCACGTCTTGCACTGAGCGGGCGGAAGGGTCAGAAGCGGTCTGTTTTTTTATATGTTTTGATCGCCTTCTCTGACTCTGAGAACTGGGCGCCTGAAATTTTGGAGCATTTGGGATGACTGACTGGTAGCGTTGTTGATTTTCAATTGTAGACTGGTTGGTGGTTTGGAACATTAATTTTATGACTGTCCATTCAGTTGGGAATTTCGTCATCCCAACTGACTTTCACTCCATCATTTTTCAGAGGGGTAGGGCGAAAAACCACCAACCAGATTATTATTAACCATCATTAACCATCATCATTAACCATCATCATTAAGAGTATATTAACCATCATTAACCATCATTAACCATTGTTATTAACCATCATTAACCATTGTTATTAACCATCATTAACAGTATATTACCCATTATTAAGCCATTATTACAGTAACCAGTAGATTCATTGATGATTTCCAATCCTCCATGGGATGATATTTTTCCAAGTCACCATGGCTTGCAAAAAAAAATGGTCATCCATGACGACTGGATGAATTGGGGGTAGCGCTATTTTAGGAAACCTCTACTGTAGTTTTAGGAAACCTCTACTGTAGTTTTGGATTTTGCTCTTTTCTATAGTTCTTGCAAGCTTCGGCAAGGCAAGACATGAATAGACATGAATAGACATGGTTTTCGAAGCGTTGCATTAGTCCTTTTATATCCTTTTATAGATTATAGATGATTATAGTACTATGGATACAATATATATATATATATCTATATATATAGCACTATTAATCCGCTTGGGCCGTGGTTCCCTGGTTCCTGGAACCAAGGTCAATGCAGAGCAGAAAGCAAACCAAGCGGGGCCCGCCGGATCCGAGGGATACCCATCTCATCAGGAGATCCCAAAGGGTGATGTGAAAACTGAACGGCGCATCTTCAAAGGTCGGTCATTTGTTTTTTTTACCCTCTGGTTATTTAACATGGAAATGGAAAATGGTCCATTTATAGATGGTTTACCTATTAAAAATCTGGTTATTTAACATAGCCATGGTATAGATGGCCCATTGAAATAGATGGTTTACCTATTAATAACATGTTGATTTTCCATGGCAAACTGTTAAATAACCAGATGGTAATTAAAGCAAGGGTGAAAAAATGGCGAGCTATGCATCATGTGTTTACATATTAAAAAAACAAAGGTGAAAAAATAGCGATTAGGATCAGTGCGATGTCTGTACTTACATGAAATAGTAATTTTAAAAAACTACCCGTGTAAAAAAAAAAATGGCGAGCTATGGATCAGTGCGATGAAATGTTCAGAAACCATTCGTGACATTTTTACATCCAGAAAAATCCCAGCGATTCTGCCCTGTGAACAAAAAAGGGCTTTTCCAGGGTGAACTGGCCCATCCCCATGTGGAAATCAGTTCCTGCAGTTGACCATTTGACCAACCTGTCCATCCATCGAAATCCACAGATATATCGATCATCTAATGTGGTTTTTGAGTAAGAAGAAACCTATCAAACAACAGGGCGGTTTATATGTGTTTATATGGTTTATCCCACCATGTACCAACCATCTATGGTAATTCTGGGGATGGTTACGGATGGTGCAGATGGTTTTTTTGTTTACCACATGAGCATCGAAGATCCTCAAATCCAGGACTCGGCAAGTGAGACCAATGGCAGTAGCAGGCAGATTGGTGGTGAACCACCGTTGGAACCCATGGGCTTTCCACATCACATTGGGGGCTTCCAATGTTCAGAACCAATCCAATCCCATGACGGATCCATGGTGCTGCTATATATATATGGTAACATGGATCCCATGAATATACCCCAGTCATGTTAGCATATATACCAGCACCATGGATCCTATGGGAATGACATCCAATGACATCCAAAGTGGTACTCCTATTGACTGTGGATGAACATTCTACGGAATTGGTTGGAACTGGACTGAAAAATGTTCAGATGTTTCGTAGCAACAGCAGTAACATCACCCATCCACATAGCCACATAGCTTTCTGGTGGACATTGTGCCAACAGCTAGGTTCAGTCTGGCGCATAGATCTCAATATGTCTATGGCAAAACCAACCCGGCCTTGATCCCAAATGTTACCTATCTCAGCCAGGCAACTTGGAAACGGATTGGCCCTCCGATGGTTGATCCGCAGTTTCGCTGTTACATTTGACCACAGAGACAAATCCATGATAATCCATTTGTGGATTCATTTCAATCCCATTACAATCCTGAATTTGCTGAATAACTCCCATTCTATCCCCAGTACACACGCAAGTAGTCAACATCCATTTCGTTCAGAGTGCTTTTATTATTGAATTACAGAAACATCATCAACCCTATTACATACTGGTGTCCCTTCGTATGGCTTTCTCAGAAAACATGGTATCCCCAGTCCATCCGCTGGCTTAACATCTCAGTTTCCCTGTGAAGCTTGGCATTTGACGCACCCATAGTATCCCATTACCTGCATCAATGTTGGGGAAGAACTTCTATCTGTGGTGAAGACTTAAGATGAACATAGATGAACAAAGAATAGGAATAAGCAGTTATTATATATATATTATAATTATTACTATTATTATGATTATTATTATTAGCATTAGTAGTTTTTATTATTATTATTATATATATATGATACATATCTAAAACACCATATTTAGATCCCATAGCTCTAGGTACTCTACGGTCGTTCACATGAACAGCCCGGGCCGATCTCCCGATCTCCGCGCAGGCGCGCCCCTGCGAGTTCCAGGAGGCGAAAGACCTCTGTGTCCAGTTGCACTCAGTGAGGGTCCCAGCGGAGATGATGGGAGGATGCGGATGTCTTACTGGTGCTAAACGCAGGGAATTTTCGGGAATGATCCATAATCACTAATAATAATCATCCCAGCAGCAACCCCCATTCCCATCCATTCCCTACGTTTAGCGCCACGTTTAGCACCAGTAAGATGTCGAGAGGGAAGAAAACTCAGGCTGGTTGGTGATTTCAAACATGAATTTTATTTTCCATAAATGGGATGTCATCCTTCCCATTGACTCTAATATTTTTCAGAGGGGTAGGTCAACCACCAACCAGCGACTTTAGCACCAAAAGATTTGGGAGACATGGGACAAAAGGGATGGATTTCTTTGGGAACATGGGAGTTCAGAAAGATCGTGTCTTGCCAGCAAAACTTAGCGGCATGAAAGTTGAACCAATGTTTGGAGCGACCAAACCTTACAGACCTCATGCCCCACAAGAGCTGGTTGAAGAATACGGTAAAGCGGAAGTCATGAAGTTCATGGTCTCAAGACAGGCAGTGTTCAAAACCCCTCTTGGTTGATGAATAGTTTGGGGGATTATACTATGTACCTATATAATCAATATCTACCTGGCTATATTGGGGATTATGATATATGATAATCATCCACTAGAGGAATCCCTATTAACCAACCAAGATTATAAACTGGGGATTATAATATGCTTTGATAATCCAATGGAGGAATCCCTATGAACCAAGCAGTTTACGGGCTCGGAAGGAGAGGATCCAAGAGAGGCTGCCATGGCGCCACAGGTCCGCCTTGATGGGTTTGGCCAAGAAGGGCAAGGCTCGCTCGCGACGCCAGGGAAAGCATGGTTCGGATGGTTCAAAAATTGGGGAAACCATGAGAACCCATCACCTAAAAACTTGTGGCTTCAATGGTTTGTGCGTAGTTTGTGGGTAGTTTCTGGGGCTTGGATTTAGTTGTTGATGTATTGGAAGGACTTAGGTATGCTTTTAGATTCACTGCAGGACATGAGCAGTTGGCCCCCCGAAAATTCTTGGGACTTTATTGGCGGACATGGATTACTTGATGTGCAGGACACGGGGAAGCCCCATCACAAATTACCTAGTAGATGATGATTAAACCTGGTGTCATACTACCAGCGTTCATTGCAAGCCATGATGGGACTAATGACCTTCATGCACACAAGCAGAAGGAGATAGGACATGATATAATATCAATGGGTATATACCATGACTGTCTCATTTATATATCTTATTCATATGCCACTTAGTGGACCCTTGTAGAACATGATGGAACCTTTGAGGTTGGTTTATGCCCTCAAAGCAGTGGAAGTCGTTGCTTACCGGTCAGGGAGAATATATACAAGTATACACTATCTTGGATGATCTCGGTCTACCCCCCTTTAGAGTCCAAGATTACACCCTGGAAATCCCTGGATAGCCTTGGATGCCCAAAGTAATTGCACAGCCTGAGCTGAAAATTCTTTGGATTCAGATCATCCAGCGACACCCGTCCTGACTGCAGATTGTCTGCATATGATTTTAAGCCATTTGGATCATGTGGTGTCACTTCTTGATGGACACATCATGCACTTCTATTTTACCCCAATATACATAATATATATTTAATATATCATAATATACTGTTGCATGCCGTACACGTGGTACACACGTCCTTAGTTGCACTGCGCAGCTGTGCTTCTTCTTTCCGACTGCACGCCGTCGGAGGTTGCGGGCAATCGCATCAACCTGGAAGCTTTGGAGAGTTTATTCTCATAGGAAGTCGACATGGCCAGGAGAGCAGCCGCCTTTGATAAATTTTGCTGGTGCACTTTGTTTTTTTTGACATCTTGTAATATTTGGGTCTGTCTGAAAATTAGGGGAAATAATGATAAATAATGGTTATTATATGATGATTCCCCCCTATCCCCCAAGAATGGTTATTTAATCGGGAATATGATGATCAATCAGTGGATTTCGCCAAACACATCTTGTAGCCCTTTCTGAAGCACGAGTTGGCGCAGGTCCCAGCAGTGGACGTGGATTTCTTTAATGGAATGGTGTTAGAATGAGATCGCAAGATTGCGCGAAACAATGCTGCAACGATTGCCATGAGAGTTTGATGATGTTTTCTCTATTCGGAATCTCACGATTACTTGTTGGATCATGTTGCAATCTTTTTAAGATGTTCATAGCGTTGGTCACCGTTTCCGTAAAAAGGATGTTCCTTTGTTGGTTGGCCTGTTTAGTCAGGTTCCACCCCCCATCACGAAAGCAGAAAGCAGATCATCACTGATAATCACGTCATCATTCGCTGGAGGCTAAGCTGGGTCTAGCCTTGATCCCGGCAGTGTAGTCACACTGTGTAACACTTGACATCTCTCGCCTGGCTGTCCTCCTGGCCGTTTGCCCAGTTGCCTCACTTGCGAGTAGAATCCTGGCTGAGATGGCGCTGACAGGTGAGTTGAAGTGTCAAAAATCTGTGTTGAGCAGTGAAAACTGGACAAGTGAGTCGGCGTAATCAAGAAGTGACAAATTTGCAGAGGACTGGGAGCAAAATTTCAGAAATCAGTTCAGAAGAGCCGATTGCACGTAGCACTTTTGGGATCTTGTTGTGGTGGGTTGATAGCAAGGCTGAACCAGTCAATTTTTGTTTATAATCCAAAGAATTTCCAACCAATCAGCCGCGATCAGATTTCAATGGTGATCTCAGCAAGCACTGGTTGAAGCTAGTCTCAGCTTCATTTCTGAAGCCAGAAATGGCTGGCCCTTTGTGCGTTTCCAGCTGTACAGTGTTACAGATTCACTGCGGGGGTTAGCCGAAAAAATGATCCAGCGAGGCTTGGTATTCTTGATGATTCTTCCCTGGTGAGTTAAGAGCTACAGAAAAGGCCTATGAAAGCTTGAACTTTAAAAGAAGTCCAAGGCTGTTACCCAACTTGATCTCGAACAATTACCTTTCATCGAGAAGCAATGAGAATCCTCCCATCAGGGACTGATTTGAGAGCTGCGGAGCTGCGGCGGATATACATTCATATATATATATATATATAATTATATATATATTACATACACGTATACATTATATATATAAATATATATATATATATTCATATCCATTCTATGATCAGATTAATATCAGATAGTCGTACATTTTTGGAGATTCCTGTGGAGTTTCGAGTGGAAGCCGTTCCCGATCATGATTATTTCAAGCCCTGCAATGGTGGAGAAGCGAAATCACCGAACTGAAACCTGCTCACCCGGAGTGGCCACGGATGGACCCTTGACAAGCTCGGGGATGATTGTTTCGCATGGACGTGCGTTGGGAGCCCGTTTTAACAGACAGGCAAGTAGAAGTCGTAGCTTCAAAGGTCTTCAATAGATAGATGTTCTCCACTTATTTCAACTTATTGATATTCCAACACCCCCTTACCATGAACAGCCTAATTTACTAAGAATTCCTATAGATTCCAATAGGACAACTCCCCGTTGCCAGCCACGACTTCGGCCCAAGAGTTCTCGCCATTGCCATCGACCCACGATGCCAGAGCACCTCGCCCGATCCACGGTGAAGCCATGAAGCAACGGGGATTTTCCGTCCAGGGATGAAAACCCTCTGGTTATTTAACATAGCTGTTGAAAATGGACCATTTATAGATGGTTTACCTGAGTTTTCCCATGAAAAATGGTGATTTCCCATAGTTATGTAAACGTTTACCAGAGGGTATGTACTATGACTGGTTGGTGGTTTGGAACTTTTTGGAATTTTGTGACTTTCCCATCGGGAATTTCATCATTCCAACTGACGAACTCCATCATTTTTCAGAGGGGTAGGTCAACCACCAACCACTATAACTATATAGACTGATAGCTTACTATGTACATAAACTATTATGGTTTAACTAGTGATACAACTATAGACCATTAACTATTAACATGTATTAACTACTGTATTAACTATAGTAAGTGTTCCCACTATGGGATGGCAAAGAAAAGCCAGGTCGCTTTTTTCGAGTCACCATGGCATCGAGTCAGCATGGGAAAGGGTCATGTTTCGCCCAGGGTTGGTGAACAAAAATCCAATTACTTTACTTCGTGTGATCCCCACCATGACATTTATACATGTTCTTACTGGCACATCTTCTTTCATTCTATCTGACATATCTTGTGACATTCTATTTGGCATTCTATCTGGCATATCTTCTGGCATATATTCTGACATTCTATCTGGCAAATCTTCTGGCATTCTATCTGGCATATCTTCTGGCATTCTATCTGACATATCTTCTGGCATTCTATCTGGCATTCTATCTGGCATATCTTCTGGCATATATTCTGACATATCTTCTGGCATTCTATCTGGCATTCTATCTGGCATATCTTCTGAAATATCTTCTGGCATATCTATCTGGCATATCTTCTGGCATATTTTCTGGCATTCTACCTGGCAAATCTTCTGGCACTCTATCTGACATTTTATCTTCCTACACGAGGTCCGGCAGGGAACACTTGGCGTGGATGGTCGTGGTTGAGGTCCGGCAGGGAACACTGGGCGTGGATGGTCGTGGTTGAGGTCCGGCAGGGAACACTGGGCGTGGATGGTCGTGGTTGAGGTCCGGCAGGGAACACTGGGCGTGGATGGTCGTGGTTGAGGTCCGGCAGCGAACACTGTGGATCGCGAGTCGCAGTTGAGCAGGAGGACGAGGAGGACAACGAGACGAGGAGGACAACGAGAGGAGGAGGACAACGAGAGGAGGAGGACGACGAGAGGAGGAGGAGAGGAGGAGGAGGAGCAGGCAACTTAGATAAAATCTAACAACCCTCACCTGGCAGGCGGGGAATAAATCACCATTAAACCACCATTAAATCACCATTACAGTAGATTGTTGGTTAGTAACAGCTGGTTGGTATTAGATTGTTGGTTAGTAATTGTTACTGATTGGTGGTTTGGAATCATTTGGACTATGTTTCCATTCAGTTGGGAATTTCATCGTCCCAACTGACTCATATTTTTTCAGAGGCCGGGTAGGCTCAACCACCAACCAGGTTCTCATTTAAAAGGACACCTACAAACGGAGAAGACCTGCTTGTGGGGTGAAAAAATGTTGGATTACCAAAGGGCAGTAGCAATGTAAGTGAACATCTATCAAATGGTAGTCGTGAAAACGATACAACATTTAAATACTATGATAATATATATATATATATACATACATCATGCATGGTTTAAAAAGGTGACTGCTTACCACATGTTGTGTACAGGCGATATCTTGAAACCAAAACTCTGATGTGAATCCTGAACTCTGAGCATAGCCGGTAAATCAAACGTGGCTCATCTGGCGGGGAATAGACATTCTTCACCGGAAACCAACCTACTTGTGCGTTTTACGTAGGGAATGGATGGGTTGCTGGGGGTTGCTGGGATTATTGATACTTAGCCAGTGGATCATTCCCAAAAATTCCCTACTAAGCACTTAAGTAAGTCTTACATAGTTTTACTATGACATTGATTGTGGTTTCCAGTAGATGTTCCCTGAAACTAATCCAATGAAGACATGTTCAGTATACCCATAGTTGATGCCTCGATGTTGAACACTGTAGAGGGATTAATGATAGTTGGAAAAATCAAAGGGTTTTTCCCTTAAAGAATACCCTCTGGTAATGACTAACGTAGCTATTGAAAATGACCATTTATAGTGGATTTTCCCATTAAAAATGGTGATTTTCCATAGCTATGTTAAATTACCAGAGGGTAATCATTAATCATTAATTGTTCATCAATATTCATGAATCTGAATAATCATCTATATGTTCATTCTCATTACACGATGTTAAAATATGTTAAATGTTACTATTCATGCCTATTTTACTACAATATCAAATGGGAAATATTAACAACTATTCGTTCTTCATTTCATGTCTATTTTAGCAACTATTCTGGTTCGTGGTTTGGAACATGTTTTATTCTTCCATTCAGTTGGGAATTTCATCATCCCAACTGACTTTCACACTCCATCATTTTTCAGAGGGGTAGGGCGAAAAACCACCAACCAGATTATTATTAACCATCATTAACCATCATCATTAACCATCATCATTAACAGTACATTACCCATTATTAAGCCATTATTAACCAACCAGTAGATATTGATGAGTTCCAATCCTTCATGGGATGATTGTTTTTCTGATGTTTAACCATTATTAACCATTATTTCTGATGTTTGATGTTCAATGGTTCTTCATGTCGTTTCCCATTGAGAAAACAAAAAAAAAACAACGCCGTGCCACGGGCTCCTCAGGGGCTCTGAGCACTTCCTGGATGCGTCCGACCTGGGGATGTCGCCGGAGCGGGAAGGGGCCCGGTGGTGAGGAAATCAATGCGAATCAATGGAAAACACATGGGATATGTATGGGATATATGTATATCAATGTATATATAGCTGATCTATCTATAGTTGATAGAGTTGATAGAGTTGCAACTCTAGATTGTAGATGACTGCGGAGGAAATTTACAGGATACGACTGTTTTTTGGCAAGAATCGGGTATACTTCGTCTGGTTTTTACTCGAAGACATGTTAGCTTCCGGGTAATAATTGGAATTGAGAGCTATGAATTAAATGTCCGGTGCACATGATATCCGATGGTATCCGGATGGCAGGACGCAGAGGGCTATCAGGAATTCTTGGAGGCACTCGGCCTGTGAAGCCGTGGTGTGTTGAGGGGCTTTGGGCGTTCACATTTGTTCACATCAAGTTTACAAAACGGCAGCCCCAAGGCAGGCGCTTGAACAAGATTAGTTGCAGAATTCTCAAAATTGGTTGCTTCAAGACGCTACATATGGTTCTTGATTCATAGTTTATTCAGAAAGCTGGGTATAGAATACTGCAAATCTCATTTACAGGTCGGTAAATCCATCAATTTCAGTTGAGTTAAATCCTACAAATATACCTGACATGTGAGTATTCCTGGAATCGCAACGAAAATTCATTTGTTCGTAGGATTTCTGCTCAAAAGGCCTGGCTGGACCGCCAAACAACGAGAATTCTGCCATGGTATATAATTTCAGCATGTTTCCGCAGTTCCAACAATGTGTTCTCTATGGATTCTTTACAAAGGGAAACAACCATTTCTGGTTGTTTGGGATTCCAGGTACTAAAGTATGACTCTCTTTATGCAGTTGCGCCATTTTTTAGTGAGTAAGTATCAATTTCATCTGACAAAAAGGTGTTTTCAAACAGTTTTTTTATTTTTCCATAATATATGGGATAATCCTTCCCATTGACTTTCATATTTTTCAGAGGGGTAGGTCAACCACCAACCAGAAATAGTTATTATAGCTATAGTAAATCATAGCTATTATGGATTATGTCAAGTATTTTCATGATGGTAATTTACCCAATAATAGTTATAATAATTGAAATAATCCATAATGACTGATAGCTATAAATAATATTGGTACCATAATAGTAATTTTCATAAAAGTTTTCATGGTAATAATCCATAATTTATGATAACTATTGGTATTTGTCAATAATATGATATACCCTCTGGTTATTTAACATAGCCATAGAAAATAGCCCATCTATAGATGATTTTCCTAGCTAGAAACCTCCATTTATGGTTGGGATTTTCCATGGCTATGTTAGTCATAACCAGATGGTATATCTATTAAATCACCTTTAAATCCCATTAAACCCCATTAAATCACCATTAAATCACCATTAAACACCATTAAATCACCATTAAACACCATTAAACCACCATCAAATCACCATTAAACCACCATTAAATCCCATAAAAACCAATTAAACCACCATTAAATCCCATTAAAACCCATTAAAACCCATTAAACCACCATTAAACCACCATAGTTATCATAGCTAGCAATCCGCCTCGATGCCGAGGACATTGGCAGCGCGCCTCCATGGAGTCTCTCCCAGCTGCAGGGCTACTTCGATCGCCGCTATGCAGGTGGGGGATGAACCGTTGGAACCGTAACGGAAGGGTTTGGTTATGAAGATAGTGTGGGGAAAATCCCATGAGAATATGATATAAATAATATTAAAATAATAATATTATATGGCAATATAATACTAATACTGGTTGGTGGTTTGGAACCATGGAATTTTATGACTTTCCATATACTGGGAATTTCATCATCCCAACTGACTAATATTGTTCAGAGGGGTAGGTATACCACCAACCAGATGTTAATATCATGATGGAAGAATCATGGGCATCATGGAATTTAACTAGTTTTTTTGATACATAGCGATGCCCTTGATGAAGATGATTCTTTTTTCCCCAATGGGAACTCCTCTACGACTGGGGGCTCGATTCAGGGAATATGTTATTAGTTTTTGGTGCGAATCCAAGGATGCAACATGACATAATGCAACGATAATGTCATGTTGATTTCCCATGAGCTGAGATAGTTTTGACAATACCAGGGAAATTAGTGGGAATTGATTGGATATAATGATATTGTTGGATATTTATTGCATCACATGGATGCATGAGTGATAGATGACTGGTGTGTATATATATATATTGTATAATATATATATATATATATGTATACACTGTATGAAAACTGAAGTTAGGAAGTTTGGACGGATGTCAAAGAAGTGGTATGGCTTACGTTTAATTTCTGTTGTGGGTTTAAACCCTGGGATATCAATTGATGTCACCCAGCTACTGCAATCCTTGTGACGGATCATCTTCTAGGACCTTTTTGAATCCATGGTTTCTGATGGGTCCGCCTTGGCCGCAATATCCACTGGTCTGATAAACTCTCACATGTTTAGGGTATGTTTACTGCTGCCAAATGTTTTAGCAGAAAATATACTAAACGTGGTGGACATCTCATCTTGCCGCACCTATCAAGACGTGCGATTATGGGATTGTTTAAGTCAAGTAAAGGCATATTTTGCCCATACCAACTGGTTGGTGGTTTCAAACAGTTTTTTTCCATAATATATGGGATAATCCTTCCCATTGACTATTTTTTTCAAGATGGTTAAAACCACCAACCAGCCAAAAAGGCTCAATGGAATGTGGACCTGCACTCGGATTCTGTCTGATTCTGTTTTCACATGTTGGTCAATCATGCCATTTTCGGTACCACGCAACAACACATGACCCAGCTGGTTGGTGGTTTGGAACATGAATTTTGTTGTTCCATTCAGTTGGGAGTAATCATCATCCCAACTGACGAAGTCATATTTTTCAGAGGGGTAGGGCTCAACCACCAACCAGCCAAAAATTGACCTACTATAAATCTGAGATCATTGAGGGGTACTTGAAAGGGTTCTAACAGTTGGGTGTTTGTTTTAAATGTTGGATGGCTGACTTGGGAAAGCTGACCAAGTCATCGTTGTTCATGCTTAAATCACATAAAAATCCCATAAATGTTCGCTGATTAAATCATATGGAATCCCCTATATATCTGTTGTATCTTGATAGTTTTTTAATGATTCATTACTGATTCTATACATCAATCCACCAGTAAATCCCCATGTTAAATTCACCAGTAAATCCACCATATGATTCTATACATATTAAATCATCTTAAATCCACCAGTTCTGAAGAATTCCAGCGCTGCGACTAGGCTGGGACGATCCGCCGAAACTGTCTCTCGCCTCGCCCGTGCGGCGGCTGCAATACTTGGACGAGGCGAAACGCACGCGGCTCCCGGGTGGCTGGGATCCGTCGTTGCGGCCTGGGCCACATGGGGATTTTGGGGATATAGTCACTATATGTCACAGTGTTCACTATGTCACTATAGTGTTGAGAATATGTGGGGATATGACCATAGTGGGGAAATGCCAATGATGATTTGAGATGGGGATTATGTGGGGATGTAGTGGGGAGATGTTCTGAGCATTGCATGGTTTTTTCTTCTTATGAAGACTTTGATATATGGTAGCCCCAAAAGTGAATGATTCATCAAAGTTACCCTCTGGTAAACAAACATAACTACGGAAAATCACAATTTTCAATGGGTAAATCAACTATAAATGGGCCATTTCAATAGCAAACTGTTAAACTACCAGAGGGTAATCATCATGTTTCATGATTTGATGACCATGTTCGGGTGCCACATGTTTAGACACCCTATTCTGGGTGGGTTGTTAGGGTTCCTGGTGTGTTGGGGGAACATGTTTACCCAGATTGGTGGAAGAGTAGGATACATGGCTCAGTTGTGAGGGGTCGGAGTCACCTTGCGAAAGCAAGAACCGTTTGGTTTACCATGGTTTACCCAAGATGCATGTCTGGTTGGTGGTTTGGAACATGTTTTATTCTCCATAATGTATGGGATAATCCTTCCCATTGACTAATATTTTTCAAGATGGTTAAAACCACCAACCAGATGTAGACTGAATGACAAGAACCTGGGGGAGGACCCACCAAAAACGGGCCTAGATATTTCCAACAGAAATATGCATGCAACGTTGACAACAAGCGGCTTGAGGGACAGCAAACATGGATCTCACACGGCTCAATGGAGGGAGAATCAACCAAAAAAACAATAGATAGAGACGTGTCCATCAGCAAGGGTGTGTACGGCGACCCAAGAAGGGAGACAATGTTGGGAACAACAGCGGCGGGTATTTTTCGTACGTATGTCCACTTTGGTTGGTAGAAATCAACATGTTGATGGGATAAATTCCAGGTTGTTCAAGTCAAACTATCCAGCCAGTTTCTCGATGCTTTTGAGTGCTGAAAGGAAATTTTGCTTCGTTGATGTATAGATGACCACATTGTCATGTCACGGACATCCATGACGTGTGGTTTCAAAATCCTGGATCTTACTGAAATCGTCTTTGAAATCCAACAAAACCTTTCTCATGAGTCCACCATCGCTGCTTACAACCTCATAAATTGTGTGTCGCCTTTGCAGGTTAGGCCAAAGCATGATAGGGCACAAATTCCACAAGCACCCCTGCAGGGTGCAAGTTTTTTATATATGTCTCAGAAATGCCAGAACAAGAGAAACATCTTAAGATTGTGTGGATTTTGTGGCTAGCAAGGAGAATCTTACCATTGACTGAGGTGAAACATGTTGAAACATACTTTCGGGATCATTGTCCTGTCGAACAATGACAAAGGGATTTCCAGCCAGCCATTGCCACTGAAGTCTTTGGGTATCAGTTTTTGACTCAGTACATTTATTGATTGGATGATATTTGTTATGATATGTTCCATGCATCTTGGTTTGCGTTGATATTCATGTTTGTCGGAAAAATCGATCATGGTGCCCAAAGCATCAATGGTTGATCATCGTTACATGTTTTCATAGCCATCAAAAGAGGTATCCTGACATTTTTGGATAAACTTAAACTGTAAGATTCTCCATATAAGATAACACATTTCATCACATACCATTATATCATATTATATCTTCATATTGTGTTGGCCATAGATCCCATGGCAAGACTCGCCAGGCGCTACGTTCCGACGATCCTCAGAGCATCGATGAGACCCTACGGGAGCTCGATGGAGAGGCGACCAAGCTGTTTGAGTGGCAATCCTTATTGACAAAGAGATACGTGTATATCCTTGCCAAAAAATAGCTTTATAAGGGCTTGAAAAATGTATGGATGGATGGAAATTGGTGAGTTTTTCGGATACAATTACTATGCTGGGACATCAGGAGGGACGTGTAGTAGTCAAAGTCCCAGGGTGATGATTATTCATGGGTCGGATGACATGGTTCGATTTTGTGGCTCCATTGGTGCAGAATTTTGAGCCATGGGCCGTGGTGCAGAATTCAGCTAGGATGAAAGAACAGCAGCAATGGACATAGACGTAAAATGATGTAAAACAATACATGTACTGATGAGGGTATAACTGGTATAACTCAGAAATGATGGTATAAGTATACACAGGAGTGGTCTACACTGCCAGGTTTTTTTTTGGATTGTGATGACCACGACCAGATGACCCATGATGCCATGACCTGAGAATCTGCGGCTTCAGCCAGGATCTCCAGGGTGACCATGTGAGGAATCCATGGTATGTCCATGTCATCCAGTCACACTCTCAACATGAACGGTTCTCTAGTTATTTTACCCTCTGGTAATTTAACATAGCTATGGAAAATCCATGATAAATGGAGGTTTTATTGGGAAAATCATCTGTAAATGGTCCATTTTCCATAGCTATGTTAAATTACCAGAGGGTATCTTATGAGTCCTGGGAATCGAGATACGGCTTGTAATGGCCTAAAAGATTGACCTATTGAGCAAGGTTTTACCTGGAGGATGATCCCATAGATATGGGCTGCACGTGACGCATCCATTCTCGTTGCGTGGTCCTTCAGCTACCCTCTGGTAAACGTTTATAGCCATAGCTATGGAAAATACCCATTTTTTATGGGTAAATCAACTATTTCTATGGCCATTTTCAATAGCTATGTTAGTCATTACCAGAGGGTAGGGCTCCGCAGGTGAAGAATGCCTTGCTCCGGTCCCTGCTTCGTGACAGCAGCAGCGATGAGCTTTGCGACTGGGCCGCAGCATGCGTGGAGAGGGTTCTTTTTTTCGTACCGGATGGGTCTGATGGGTTCTACCCACTGGTCCTATGATGTCCTATGATGTCCTATGTACCCTCTGCTAAACTAACATAGCTATGGAAAATGGCCATTTATAGTTGATTTACCTATTAAAAATGGTGATTTGACATAGTTATGTTAGTTTACCAGAGGGTATGTAATATACATATTGGATCATATTGGGGTATGACAACAAAAAGTGGAGATCTTGCCCAAAAAATCGATTGCCATAGGGCCCATGGGGTATTGGTGTGAGCAACAATGATTAGCCATCAACTTCTTCAAAACGGAATTCTCACCAGCAGCAATGGGGTCACCAAGATAAGATGGGTCAAACGTCAAGGTAAGCCTCTAAACCGCCAAAAAAAGATGCCCGACATATTCTTGTGGATGGGCTCAAGCCCTCGAAGGCACAAATAGTGAGTCATCTCTTCATTCGAATCAAGCCCATCAGGATTCCAAGCTACCCTCTGGTAAACGTTTACATAACGAACTGGAAAATCACCATGCTATTAATGGCAAAACTGACTATAACTGAGGTATTTTCAATAGCTATGTTAAATTACCAGATGGTATATCTATTAAATCACCATTAAATCCCATTAAAACCCATTAAATCACCATTAAACCACCATAGTTTTCAGGAATGCTGGGTCGAACTGTTGGATCTGGAGACCTTTCCGCGCCCTGAGGTTTTCTGACCCTACTGGTGGGTGAACTGGGCGCTCACCTCTTTGACCAACGGGAGGGCCGCAAGAACGACAGGCGCTTGGGAAGCGTGTTGTAATGACCTCAGTGGTTAGCTGGTTGGTGGTTTGGAACATGTTATATTTTTCCATATATTGGGAACAATAATTTCATTTGACTAATATTTTTCAGAGGGGTTGAAACCATCAACCAGTTGGGATTCGGGGAATCAGATGAATCATTCCCAAATTGCATCAAATGGCCATTTTTTAAATCTATTTTCCGGTGAATTCCATTGAATTATCAAAAGATACTGCCACACAAGTTGATGTAAACGATCAAAAAAACTGGATCATACTGGATCAATCTTTGGGAAAAAAATGGAGGAATACTTCGGGATCAAAACCGCCAGGATTGACATCCAAGAACCGCCAGGATGGAGGCTGAACGCCACCGGCAACAGCGGGAAGAGTCGCTTCTGACCTCGTTCCAAGCGGAAAGGGCCACCCTGACGCAGCAGATGGAGGCGCCACCGAGCCACCGTTGATCCGTTGCATCTCAGGTGTCGGCAGTGTTGTGACCGGGTTGGGTAGGCTGGTTGGTTTCCCCCCATGGAATTTCTTCTGAAAATGCCTGGGAAAAATCATGTAAAACTCCGAAATCTGGAGTAAAACCTCATTTTCTCAATGATCGATTTGCCAAAAATTTGCGATTTAGGGGGTGTGTCTCACCTATTTGCACACACACAGTTGTTGGAATCAGGTCAGGGATTACGGCGAAGTGTGGAAGTTATTGGGGATTCGAAAGGAGGAGAATACATGTGGAAATCAAGGCTTTGAATGTTGGTTTCTTGAATGATCATGGAATCATGAATATGTTTTATCTGGTTTTCTGATGTTTTCTAGTTCTGGCCTGTTGGATCTACTTACGCTAATATCCTGCTAGACAGAGAGCTCTTTCGAGAGTTTGTTTCAGGTCAGGGCCAGGGCCCCAACATTGGTTGGATGTTCCAAAAAAAGTTTGTTACCCTCTGGTAAACTAACGTAACTATTAAATCACCTTTTTTTGATGGGTAAATCAACTATAAATGGCCATGTTCAATAGCTATGTTAGTTTACCAGAGGATATTGGTGGGAAAGTTCCAAGTTGTTTTGTTATGTTTTGTTTATAAGCCTCCAGATCTGTTGGTAAAATCCAAGTTACATAGAAGTTATACCGTTACCCACTGGTAATGACAAACATAGCGAACTGGAAAACCAGGTGTTCAATAGGTAAATCATAGCAAATTACCAGAGGGTATATCACCATTTTGCTTGGTAAAAATGCCATTCATTCCCATCAAAATCCATTAGATCTCGTTACATTCCATTGAAATCGTATAATAATCCTTCAGTAGTTGATTTTTAAACCATGTTAAACCCTCCATCCTTATAGTTAATCTTAGTTAATGGTTAAACCCTCCATTCTATTGGAGGCTATCCCATTTTTTCATTGCAGGAGCTGGCTGCCGAAGCAGAAGGCTCTCGCAGCGAGTTGGCACGCTGTCGCGCGCAGCTGCAAGCGGCGCAGGCGCCGAAACCCTAGCGTTGGTTGATGAAAAATCTAGGGATCTAGTTGATAAATGATGATTTTAAAAAAAACGGGTTGGTGGTTTCAAACATTTTTCATTTTCCATAATATACGGGATAATCCTTCCCATTGACTAAAATGTTTCAAGATGGTTAAAACCATCAACCAGATAATTATATAGGGCATTTTCCAGCTAGCCACGTTTGATTACCAGAGGGTACAGTTTTTTCGGGGGACATAAGCAGTGCATATGTCGAGTTTTTGTAAACACCCCGAATCCCGGATGTTTTCAACATTTACGTGTTTTTTTTCTGTAGGTTACATACCACCATTTTGACATATGTTTAGAGTCTAGAGCTGAACATTGTTCATGATTTGGCAGTTTTTTATAGTTTGGGTTCTGGATCTTACTGTCCAAAATTCACTAAGTCAGCTATGACAGCTATTATTTGAATCAAGACTTAATGGATCCAGACAGTATGTTTAAGAGTTTTACAGACGAAAAACTCTGCTTCAAGTTGTCCGATCCCATCACGATCTCACGTTGTCAGGACGAAACGCCGAAACGCCAGGCAGAAGAAGTCGAGAGCTCCGAGATGCAGCTAGAGATGCAAGAGCTTCAAGCGGCCAATCGCAGGCGCCGAAAACGGAAAAGTTCCTGGTGTTTTTTTTTGTCCCGGGATTAAGTGGTGCTGATCGATGAGCACTTTTTGTTGAGTCGGCAAAGATGGAGATATTGTTGTCGAGAAGTGCATGAGGTATGCTAGAGTAATATTTTGGATCAACCAGGCATTCAACGGATTGTTGGGTCCACTCATGTCCACTCTTGTTGTGTTTTGGTTGAACAAGGGTCCACTCATGCCTGCAGAAAAAAATGGTGGCAGCTCTAGTAGTTCCAAAAATGATTGAGTTGGATAGAAGACATCCAACATCATTGAACCAAACCCTATGGATCCAGCCGTACCTTCTGAGGAAGTATTTGGGGGTTGATTTGGGGTGTTTTCTGGACCTTCTCAGGAGGTGTTTGGATCATTTTGGATCCATTAAACCAAAGATAACAGCAGCAACACCTTTTTCAGCAGCAACTTATTGGAGCCATGGTGACAAATACCAACGAACAGGGAGATCCTATACCATGACAAGGCTGCGGTCAAGACAGATATCGGGGTAAATGACCATAAATTACCAATAGTATAGCATAGTAAAGCAACAATAGACCACCGATATTTTGATGGTGTATACCAGTTATACCAGCCGTTTATTGTAGAATTATGTAGAATTGGGGATGGTTTACTGTTTACTATTGCTTTACTCGCATTAGAACTGCAGATCTTTGACACATCGTGCAACGATCGTCACAGGCTCAGTATGGAATCGCAACAACTCCGGGAGGAGTTGCAGGACCGTCTCGGGGCAGGGGTCCATGGATTCAATGGATGGAAAGACTCGTTGATGTCAGTTTTCACCAAGACATGACTGGAGATGGGCGGAGTCAAAACACCATCCTTCAAGAGTCAAAACGCCATCCAGTGAGAACTGCTTGGTGGTTTGGAACCATGGAATTTTATGACTGTCCATATATGGGATTTTTGGGAAAATGTCATCATCCCAACTGACTTTCACTCCATCACTTTTCAGAGGGGTAGGGCGAAAAACCACCAACCAGATTATTATTAACCATCATTAACCATATTTCATAACCATCATCATTAACAGTATATTACCCATTATTAAGCCATTATTAACCAACCAGAGAAATTTGGTACCCAAACTGCCCAAAGCCCATGAAACATGTAGGATCACTGCGCGTTTCTCACCCAAAGGATGTCAGAGGGGGTCGAAAAAAAAAAAAACACATCGAACCCAGCTGTTTGTTTCCCATTTCCATAAACCACTTAAAGCATCTTAAAACTGGATTTTCCCTGATATGTTCGCATAGCTAGACCCTTCAAATACCTCATAAAAACATATAAAAATTGTTAAACATACTAAGATTGAGGTAAAACACCATTTTTTCATATTTTTTCATGGCTACAACGGGAGGCGGAGGGGTCTAGCTATGTTTTTTTTGGTTCCCCTCTGGATGGCCAGGAGCTGAAGGCTCAGAAGGCCATGCTGCTGGCAGCCAAGGAGGCGATTTTCGATGGGATTCGGGGCGAAATGTTGGCGAAATCAACCCATGAATCTGGGTAAATTATAACGACCTCACTGCAACCTCACTGGAAATCATGGTTAGGAAATCATCCCCAACTGGCCTTAATTCAGGTTAGTAAAATATTATAATTGACCCAGATATAATGGATGTGATTTTCTTAGAGGAATGAGGAATTGATATTTCTTGGATTGATGTTGAATTGATGTTGAATTGATTTGTTGATTCTTATTGGAGGATGGTCGTCACAATCGGATTTTCTTAGACTCTTAGACCACTGATAGTTGTCGTCGTCGTCGTCATCATCATCATCAACATCAACATCAACATATATATATATGTAGCTGTAAGGAGCATATGTATATCATATATATATATAGTTATAATATAATAGCTACACCACAGATAGTAATGTAGCCTACTATACTAAGATCGTGGAAAAGCCATGATGGGTGTAGCCTATCTTTTCGGGGTTTACCCCAATGCCACAAACCAGTCATAGAGGTATACCCAATGAAAGACCTTTGTTCGGGATGGTTAATTAGGTTTTACCACATTACTAAGATATATAGTTCAAAATTGAAGTTGTTATATTTTTGGGACTTGCTTTGGGTTACTATAATCTGTTCAAAATGATGTGGAAAACTTTGACCCAGTTTGATAACATCTGTGAACGATGTTTCAATGTTGCTCTCCTGAAGTTTCAGATGGAACCCAACAGATATGCAAAATTCTGAAGACACAAATTCTATTTAAACTTTAAACCCTTGTTTTTAGAGTTCTTTCTTAGTTCTCAGTCGCCCAAATGGGCACGGCTCAATCACGGGATAGCAGTAAAGAAAACACATATAACCAGAGTAAAGAGGAGGTCACATGCCCAATAAATAGACTAAAATTTATTTAACATGAGAGTATAGAGGAAGGTTAGTTATATATATATATATACATATATATATATGAACTATATATACACATATGAACATATTTTGTACTTAGATGGTGTTCACATAAATGTTGCACATGATTTCCCAACCTTGGCGCAGGAAAGTGATGGTGCTCTGGATGAGCTGTCTAGAAGATGGTCCAATGCCTCAGGCGACCGAGTTGGGAGACCTGCTGATTTCTTGGTGGCATCATGTGGCTGTTGAAAAATGGTGATTCATAGTTAAAAAATGGTGATTTATAGTTGAAAAATGGTGATTTTTAGTTAAAAAATGATGATTTATAGTTGAAACAATGGTGATTTATCGTTGAAAAATGGTGATTTATAGTTGAGAAAATGGTGATTTATAGTCTAGAAGAGACCTGGATAGAAAATGGTGATTTATGGTTGATTTATAGTTCAACTATTGAAAATGGCCATAGTTAAATAGTTGATTCAACCATGAAAAATGGTAGGTACCTCCAATCAATCGGATCCTGAAATGGCCATTGATCTAACCTGGTTGGTTTGAGCATTGCCATGTTTTTTATAGGCATTTTTTATGGGCTGCGCTTCGCACCCTCTATCTCTGTGGCTTGGGGCTATATGGAGCTGTATGGAGCTATACGATCTGGTTCCATTGCTTGGCATTGTCATATATATAGCTCCATATAGCTGCTCCACAAAAAGCTGCTCCATATAGCCCCATGGAACATCTATGATATAGCTGATCTATACATATTCATTACATATTCCATGATATTCTATGTCATGTTCCATTGCTATGCTGCAATGATCTGCAATGCTTGGTTGCTGGAGGGTCGATGGAGGAAACTCATTGCCCAGCACGAAGTGAAGTTTGAAGCGTATCTAAGATTTAGTCATGTGAGAATTCCTGCTCCTCTTATCAGAATCCTTCCATACATGGCAGGGACATTGCATATGCTTCCATAAAACTCAGCAGTGACTTGAAAAAAAAACGCTGTACATTGTGGGCGTTGATATTACACAAAGGAAGTACTAAACTTTGAATCATAGATGTCCTTTATTCCACTGGTTGCTTCCTTCATTGCGGGGCAACCCACCATTTTGTACCAGGAATGATTCAGGAATTATTGTATACCAAGATGAATATCCCCATTCATTTCTGCTCAAACCCGTTTTTCTGATTCCCACTTGAAACCATGGTCTTGTCCAAACATGGCGCATACGCAGAAATTGCATGAAGTTCCCCAATTTACCCTCTGGTAAACTAACATAGCTATGGAAAATCACCATGTTCAATGGGTAAATCCACTATAAATGGCCATTTTCAATAGCTTTTTGTATGTTTACCGGAGGGTACATGACGAGCTTTGAAACCACCTTTTTGGTGTACCCCATGTCTGGACGACCAGGTTCTTTGCGCGATGCTGAGGTGACCAGTTGCGAATGTGGATAGTCCAGTTGGGTGATCCGAAAGGGAATGCAGTTTACCTCTGTTTTATATATACACTGTATATATATATATATATATTTATACTAATATATATATATATACTGTATATGTATATATACAGTATTTATACAGAGTAGTTCCCAAAACAAGATAGAAAAGTGTTCTCCATAATTATGTTTAGCTGGTACTCGTATTTCCAGGCGTCCCACTTATCTATCTTCTTTGGGGTGACTATACAGCATGATATATTACAAATGATATATTCAATATATTGTAAAGATTTATGATTCATATCTACTGATATATCCATAGACTAGATAGATATACATATAGATAGATAGATAGATAGATAGATAGATAGATAGACAGATAAATAGATAAATAGATAAATAGATAGATAGATAGATAAATAGATAGATAGATTAAACTAGACTAGACTAGACTAGATTAGATTAGATTAGATAGACAGATAGAGAGACAGATAGATAGACAGATAGACAGATAGACAGATAGACAGATACACAGATAGACAGATAGACAGATAGACAGAGATGTTCATGGGGTATAACTTGGGTTATTGTGGCATTTGGTAAGATTTGGTAGGTGGGCACTATCCACTGACTGTTGGCATATGGAAAGATGATATGAGATGTGCCCGTAGCCACCTCCCCTAGCCCTAGCTGCTTGGCTACGCATTCCGACGGAGCTTGCTGGTGAACCTGTTTAAGGTTAGGTGGAGGATGCCTGTGCAAAAAAATCCAGTCAAATCTGGAAAGAGTGCTCCAACCACACCCAGTGTGGTTTCTGCACTCATTCCAGATGTACTTGCGCAACCTCGATGGTAAGAGCTGGATTATGGTGGATTCATGATCAGATGAATGGTACCAGGAATGATTTTCCTTTGCCCTTCGAGAACCCTTGGGTCAGACTCTTGACGGACGGGTCTGAAGAGGTGCATTGGGCAGTGAATGCAGTGATGTTTTGGGCTGGCACTCGCCAAGAAAATGATAAGATTGTGGAGGAAATCAAGCAGCGGAGCCCAACAATGCTGCGATAACTTCTGAAATGCAAAGGCGCGCCAGATCTGTAGGTAGCGAGTGCATGGCACTGATGACAGCTGACAAGCGTTTCGCTGAAATCCTTGGACGGCTCATTTCAGACAACCAGCCAGTCGGTGTGCTCATGCCCAGTAGAAGTGTACCTGCCGCGAACTTTCGCTTTTGGAGCAGAGCACACCTGTCATTTCTCTGCCTTTGGAAGCTCTTCATTCCGGTAAGAGCAATTCCGCAGATGGAAGTGGCTTGGAGCTGGCATGAGCTGGCCATGTTCTTTGATCCAGCAGCATTCTCACCTTTAACATTCCGGTCCAAAGGATTGCCAATTTTTGTGTTTCAGAATGGTTTGGGTGAATTGACTGGCCAAGATCCCAGAAATGGATCTCTAATAGGCTTCAGCCTTCGCAAACTACGTCTGACCAATTTCAGCAGGCCGTAAAAGCACAGAGTCCATGGGTAGCAAGCGTGCACGGATTTTTTTTTTACAAGCGGTGGACCAATGATGTTGCGGGATTCTCATGATTTGGGGGTACTCGAGCATTGCGCAAGCTCGGTTACCTTGACACTCATGGAATAGCGATTTGACCTTCGGCATTGAGCTTCTGGAATGCCACTGAAAATATCAACTGCAGAAGCTTGGCCAAAAATATTCGGACGAAACAACCGCGCATTGAAGGCTGGAGAATGGCTTGATTGTCCGATAGCCACCCTGGCTATTGGCAGCGTGGCGCCCTGGGCAAATAGTGCAGCAATACCAGGCTTGTCCTCGCAGCACGAATCGGATTTCGATCAAATCAAGAAGGGCTCTCATTGAAATCGAGATGATGATTTGCTCCGCACTTGGCAATCAAGATTTGCGGAGAGGCTAGGGCTCCTAATGTTGCAATGTGCAAAAAAATTCTACATGTCACGTTCAAAACTCTACTAAAACTTGAACGCCATTGTGATTTGTCGCAACTGATATACAGTGTTGTTTGTTACATCTCTTTTTACAATTAACATCTTAACGCATCTTAGATCTCCACGCTATCACAAAATGGCGCTTCGATGCAAGTTCCTGGTGCTGGTTTTGTCCTTACCATAGGGCAGATTCAGAGAGGCAAATGGGGTGTTTCGGACAATACCGTTCGGTACAGCAGACTGCCTTGAACATTTTGAAGCCCGTGGAAAGGAAGCTGCAACTCAAAGTCTGACTCACATGTTGAAGTGAACATATCTCCCTTCACTAGTCTCTGGGATGGTCACCAAGTAAGGGTATGTTTTGTTTAATCAAAGAAGCAAGGTAAGTTGATGTAAGTTGCGGGTACAGATGCAAACAACATCAAACAACCATGAACAACCACCTATAGCCATAGGCTATAGGTGCTTGTTGCTACAAGATACTTAAGACGTTCATCCAGCTACCATGGGATGCCTATGATGCCTATGAACTGCTGAAAGAGCACTTGGCGGAGGCAGATTCACCACCTCGAAAACGGGTCACGGAGACCTAGCTGGTGGGGAAAAGGTGGGGTGGCTTCAAAAAGGACCTCTTTGGAGCCACCAAAAGGATCCGAAGATATCCAAAGATTGTATACTTTGCCATCGGAAAATCCGATGGTTGGGATATCCCTCGTGGGGCCAGATCATGCCAGATCCATTTTTCCATGCATGCTTACAGGGTTGGCACAGGGATGATTGGAACATATTGGAACGAGATTTCTCTCTGGACCTCAGCTTTTCACTACGTTAGGAGTCCCACACCATCACGATAGGTCGCATGATGTGACGCAAGCTTCTAAATCACCTGCAGGTTGATATCTAGATATCTAGAATGATCTAGATTCTAGACAGGTGGACATATTTAAGTACTCCATATACATAATTAATATGAATCAATATGAATGACAAACACAGTGTGGAACATTGCCAGATGCGGGAACTGTGCTGTCACCTACTGCCAGATCCACAGGATGGTCACTGGGTCGAAGCCATGCTAAGCCGGTCGTAAATCCTTCACGATCCAGGCGTAGCCCCTACTAGTTACAATCGATTGAAATGGGAATCAATCACTACTCATGTCATATATATTTATATAAGTAGAAGAAAAGCTGACAGTTGATTGGGGTTGGTTTGTAGCCATGTGTAGCCGAAATCTTGTACATTCTTGTACCCATTTGTGTGAAGTTGAAGGCAAGATGACCTGTGTTTTGCGTGGTCTTCTAAGCCATCTGTGCACAGAAATTGTGATTCGAACTCCGTTCTTTCATCTTGTGTTTTATTTCTGGGATCCTCGTGAAAAAAGGAAACCATCATCTGGGCCTATGTGATATTTGCACTATTGGATACCCCTTAAGTATGACTGTGATTGACTATGTGCCTTTTATGGTTCTTATTCTTCTGGAACGCCTTGAAACAAACGGGTGTATTACTTGCTCCAAAAATAGCGTATAATTGTTTTACCCTCTGGTAATTTAACATAGCCATGGAAATATGGTTTACCTATTAATAGCATGGTGATTTTCCATGGCTATGTTAGTCATAACCAGATGGTATATGATGATAAACCGTTGGCGATAAGGGGGTTATTCCATGTTCAAACAAACCTCCAACATGGCGATCCGATCGTCGAAAAAAATTCGAATATATTTTTTCTTCACATAGACCGTACGAAAAAGCTACCTGCTTTAAACCAACTTAGCTAATGACATATAGGGCATGGTTTTATTCATTTTTAGGCTGCTGGATGAACTTTGGGGTCGCAATTCTATGGTGCTAGATCTAGACTATCTTAAGATTCCCTGGACTCAACCAGATATACCCACGTAAAAAAACACCCACGAAACCTCCACGTTACACCCCTTTGAGGCCAGTCGAGGAGGTCAACCACAGGCGAGCTGACAAAGCACATGGGAAATTGATGGAACTTGGCCAACTCCTAGTGCTTGTGAAAAAATTCCGGCAAGGTTAGAGTATCTGAATAGTCGTGTGGCGAGGTCAGTAGCAGACATGTGGCAATGGGTAGCCCTGGGTAGCCCTGGGTAGCTGGTCAAAATGGGCCTGGAATGTCCCAGGCATCCCTTTTGGGCCGATTGGCAGATGACCTGAGTGCGGAAGGGAGGTTCGGGGCACGCCGTAGCAGTGAATTGCTGAAGGGGATCACATGGTCGTTTCATCGTTTTCCAACCCATGGTCGTTTGGTAATGTGGATGCTCAAAGTTGAGTCAGTTGAGTCGTAAACATAGGGAAACGAAGACTAATTTCTTGCTTCAGAAACAAATGGATGGGGCTGATCAGCTGATCCTGGGGTAAAGTTATCCCATTGAGGGATGGTCAACATATAGCAGTAAATGTTCCAGTTCGTTATGTTAGTTAAAGCCAACAAAAGCCATGGAAGCCATGGGTGATGACTAATGGTGGTTTAATGGTGATCTAATGGGATTTACCCTCTGGTTATGTTTGAGATGCAACCTGCATAACATGGTGGTATAACCGTATAACCGTTAGTATAAGCCGCTGTATTTCCTGCACATGTTTCCATTGAATATCCTTGAATCAACTCTCTGAAGTACATAGGCAGTACATGGCAGTACTCGATTGTCGTCTTTGGAAGGGAAACCATTGATTGGAAATATTTGCCGTGCTTCTTCATACCGATTTGATGAAATATTGACTATATTAGATGGGTTTGTTTCTCACCATTTACTGATATTGACTGTACATATTATGTACAATATATATATAAATATATATATATATATCATGTGTTCAGCAGAATCCACTTTCATTTCGGGAAGTCCATATAACATGATTAGTGGTCCGGTCTCCATGGTTCTAAATCTCCAGTTTTCCTGACTCCTTGATTCCTGACCAAATCCCATGATAATATATATATATACACTCATATATATATATATATATATTATACATAATATATATAATATATATATAATACATATATATATAATACATATATATATCTAATACATATATATTATATATATATGTTTTAACATCGTCCATGTCTATCCATATTTGGTGTCCCTCCACCGGCAAAGCTTGGTCTATCAACGTAGATGGAGGAGTCAACAAGAAAACTCAGCTGAGTGGTGACCAAAAGAAGCCAGTTGGTTTCATGCCCCATAGATCAACCAATCAACAGAGGTATAGTCTTATGGGTTTAGCCTTTTTCTCCTTAAAGCATCTCATAAATTCATCAGCTGGGTTGGTGGTAAACATCTCCTTACATTGGTGACCGGATGGAGCCCCCAGTCGATAGCGTTCAGTTGCCTTATAAGTGGCTGAATTCTACGGTTTATGGCAGATATAACTATCGTATTCATGGGGGTTATAAACCAACAAACATCACTGGGGGCACCATCCTGTAGTTCATAATCCCCAATGAACCACTACCCTCTGGTAAACTGACATAGCTATGGAAAATCACTATTTTTACTATGTAGATCAACTATAAATATTATAAATGACCATTTTCAATAGCAAATCAGAGGGTACCATCTCATATTTGTCCCACTAAACCATCATTAAGTCACCATTGAATCACCATTAGATGATTTATAAATGATGCAAGCAGTTATGACGACGTTTGGATGATTTATAAATCACCATTAAACCACCATTAAATCACCATTAGATTGTTGCTTAGTAACAGTTATGACTTCCCAAACCAGATTGTTGGTTAGTTACCAGATGTGTAAATGATTTATAAATGATTTACCAGATTTATAGATGATTATGACTTCCATCAATGGATTGGTTTAAAGGAAAATCTTAACCGGAAACCATGGTTTTTACCATCAAATATAGGGGTTTCCGGTTCCAATTTTCCCATCATCCAATTCTATGACTTCCAGGGCTCAAAAAAGTGTCAGGCTCCGTGGTGCCTTGATGGCGTGGCGCATGAGCTGCTTGGAGTCCAAGATGAAGCACTGCCAGACCCTGCAGGTGACATCCGACCGAAACGGCGCGCAGTTTCTGGCGATGTGAAAAACCGCGATTTTGATTGGGATATGGGCCCCCCAAAAAAAAACGTGTTACACAACATATATAACTTATAATTTGTTTATATATATATATATACGTCTATATAGAATGTTATAGATTCGATTGTAATTAGAACTGCACCCCCAAGTGGAGGATATGAATGGGAAAAAGATGGTGCTTAAGGCTTAAACCATGTTTAACGTTAAGGGAGAAACAATGGAGATTTTAGCAGAAATGGACTTTTCATCCAACTGATATAGATCTAACATGCTTCAACATGATGTAAACAGCGACAAACATGAGATTTGAGGACAATTTAACTAGCAATCTGCGGATGATTTCTGCTTGCAAATTTTGGCAACACATGAAGTTGGAATGATGTCTAGCAGATGAAAAAATATTGGACTAGCGTGGTGGTGTCTCAGACTGAGTCTCCTCAGCTGGTGGGTTGCGGATCACCAAAAAATTGGCTCAGAAATGACAAAAAAGACTCAAAAATCATCAAACACCTTGGATGTGCTGAAGAAGATGCTTTATTTGCTCCATGGGAAATCCACTACTTGGGGAATCTATAGGGAAGATGTTCTATTGTTTGTTGGTTCCTTAAGCAAATCCATGACACATGTCATTGTTTGAATTTTCGTTTTGACTCAAAAATGACAAACATGATGAAGCATGATTGGGGGTTGTAGGGTTTTGCATGCACTTTTTCCACTGCTACTGTATCAATTCAACCAAGAATAGCAACATGAAATACCAACAACGTATGGGGATAGAATGATGTAAGCACCAAGACTGGCTGGTGGTTTTGAATATCTCCGAGCGGTTCCACGTCGTTCCACGTCTGGGATGATTTTGCTTAAGCCAGTTCGGCTGTTCGGCATATCTTTGGGATAGGTGGCTCAATCGCCGAGCCGTGACAGTTTTAAGCAGTTGGGTAATTGTGTCAACATCACCAATCCAAATCAAAACCATTGAAAATCACAATTTTTTATAGGTAAACCATCTATAAATGGGCCATCTATATCATGGCTATGTTAAATAACCAGAGGGTATATATATATATATTTATATCTGGTTGGTGGTTTGGAACCATGGAATTTATGGAAAGTCATATGTTAGGAATAATCATCCCAACTGACGAACTCATATTTTTCAGAAGGGTTGAAACCACCAACCAGTTATGAGGTGCTTTGCCCAAACATTTCACCCATGCCGCTTTTATAGCACCATGAACAAAAAGGCCTTTTTTGCGACCTCGGTTGCTCCATTCTTGCCTGGTGCAAGAAAACAAAAATGCAGCCATTTGACATAAGCCAATCCTCGATCTCATTTGGTTCACTGGAGTAATTTGGTTCATTGGAGGCAGAAAACAGGTTCCAACTTTTCGTCCGTAGCCCTGTAGCATCTTCCGCGCCAGGCAGATCTTACAATGGCCAATGGTGCCGCGAAGGCGCGATTTTGAACTGCTGTGACTGGGTTGACCCTGCTGTGTGATAAAGTTCAGCTATAACTGGATACACATATCTTAGGTAGTAGCTCTGGCTATCCCACATTAGGGACTATGACTGGGTGAGCTCAAAACCCGAGTCAGAGGTGTTTCATGGTGTTTCTGTCCCCACTTTTGAGGAATTTCCTATAGTCAAATAGTGGTTGAGTGAGCATCCTGCAGGGGTTTTGACCATAGAAGACATCCAGGTCAACCATAGCAGACATCCAGGTCAGTTCACTTGTCGCCCCAGGGCAAGAGGAACTGCCAAGTGGAGGGTTGCTGTTGCCAGCGCGAGGCGGAATGGCATGTCCTCAAAAATGTGGAGGATTTGACCCAGAGGTAGTGCCAGTATCCAACTGTTGGATGATTCAATAAAAGTCTAACATGGTTTGGATATCCCAAAAGTGAACAAGAGTAATAATTGCATAATACAAGGGCAGCTTGAAGATGTCTTGCGCCTGCAGATCAACTTCCTCTTATTTTCCGTCGCTGATTAGACCAGTTTTTTTCGGAAAGTCGCCTGTCGCCCACTAGGCCAAGGCGATGGTGACAAGAAGGTCATGTAGAACGATGAAAATAACATCCCTTGATTGGTGCTCAATTTATGGGATATCCAATCATTATCCAATGAAAATACGAAGGTCATTTATATCCTCATGATTGGATGATGCTCAATGCTGCACGTATCCGTCCATCATGATAAGTGGGTCCAAGGGTCCAAGCTTAGGACCATGAAGACCACAGTGTTTTGTGATTTGTACTGTCAAATGGACGTCCTTATTTCGAGATGTACCCAAATGTGGTCCATACCTAAAATGAAATAGATAGCATATTGTTATCTTTACGGTCCCAGAATTGCTTGAAGAGGAAATGTTCACGAATTTCTCATAACTTAGATGTAGAAACCTCCGCGTCCTGTTTAGTTCCCCTTGAATAAATCCTATTTATATCTATTTATATAATCCTTTGATCGTTATGTTTGGTACTCAAAGCCATGTGTTGAGTGGTCAAATGGCCACTGAAATCCCAGCAATGGTTGAATCCCTTAACCAAAAAGAGTCAGAACAGTTTTTTCATGTGTTTTCCTGTGAACGTTCGATGATGTGTCCCCTATCATTTCCAGATTTCCCAAGGTTTTTGAAAACGGCATCTATGACTGTTGCTGTTTTTATCAACCCCGTTTCGAGGCTGGATTGCCAGAGACTCAGTGACCACGGTTGATGTTGGACTACGCAGGGGTGGTGGCCCACAGCTCCCGGCTGAGCCCTTGTATTTGGCGATATTTCATGGGAGAACCTCTCATGGCTCATACTGTAGGAAACAGATGAGAAACACAATGATTTCCTCTAGTTTCTCCCTTAGTTCAAAAATTGATTAATCATGGGATTTTCATGGCAGTATCATAGCAGATGAGAATCTTAGTTGCAGCCACCAATGTTGTTTGGGACACGGACAGGGGCGTATCTTCCAGTTGGTTTGTGCCTCAAGGTCCCAAGGTATTTTATGACTGGTGACTCTCAAGCCCCATCTCGGGATGTGCCTCAACTATCCTCAACTATTCTTCACTCCTCAAATGGGACATCGAATACCCTCTGGTAAACATTTACATGACTATGGAAAATCACCATTGCTAATGGGTAAATCAACTATTTCTATGGCCATTTTCAGTAGCAAACTGCAAACATTTGCCAGAGGGTATCTTCAGTCCCTTGATGGTTTAGCAATCATTTGCACATTGGGTTTATAGATCCATGTTTGGGAATATATCGTATCTATAGGGAATAATACAGCTACAAAAATATATTAAAAACAAAAAAGTATGTAGAAGTCAAATCTGATCGCTTGGGGGTAGTTCACATGGACCAAGTTATGGCCATCCCCTACGTATATATTATATATATATCCATTATATATCCATTATATATCCCTTGTATATCCATTAATCCTTTGTATTCTATCTCATATCTTACGGGGTAGAGCCTCAGTTCGTGACTAAGTTGGTGCATAGGTCAATTCAATGGGCCGTTGGGGTTGATTAGGGAAATATAAGATGATAGTAAGTATAACTATAATTTATAGTGTATAACTATAGTTTCAGGCTAAGGGTATTACATAACTATAGAACTTGTATAACTATATACGATATATTACTATAATTTTTAGAGGATTAAAATTATAAGGCAACAAAGAGTTCACCAGGGGGGGGCACCAGCCTGTTGAAAAAAAAATCATGGAATCTTCCCATCGATTTCCACAGGGCAGCCTGTTGCTGGAAGCTGAAGGTCGCCGAGCTGCAGGAGGCGAGCCTCGCGACGTGATTTTTCGTTGATTGGACAGGGACTGGATTACCATAGTTACCCTCTGGTTATGACTAACATAGCCATGGAAAAAGGCCCATAGAAATAGATGGTTTACCTGGGTTTACCTATTAAAAATGGTGATTTTCCATGGCTATGTTAAATAACCAGAGGGTACTAGTAATTTAGATATACTGTACCATACCATAGTAATAGTTAATATAGCTACATAGTTACCGTTATTGAGTATATATCATAGTGATGATAGTTAGTTCTTGGCTGAGATGGTTCTGGGTTAGCTAATTTTTGCTAATGCCATTGGAATGGTGAATACATTTACTGAAGTTGTTAATGGATCTACCTCAAATGGAATGTGTTGGATACGTTTGAATTTGTAACTATGTTTCTTTTCTTGAGAATAGTAATCAGTATGTCCCCACAGGTGTAAATTATAATATATATATATATATTATACATGTTGTGTTCTCTATGAAGATCAACATACTTTATGGGTTTGTCTCGATGGATTTGCCCCAAATGTATCAGAAACCACCGGTGACTTGGGGGTAGGAACCCCACCGTATAGTTCCTGACATCTGGAGGTGTCACTCAACTGTCGGAAATCAACTGAAGCTGCTGTTATTTCGTGGGACTTAGGATATCCCAGTTATAATATGTTATAATCCCTCGCCCCCAATATTGACGCCCCCCATAGACCATGGTTTAGTAGGGGATGGAACAACATATTTGGCACCATTTCGACAGAGGACCTGCAACTAATATGAACTGGGGCTGGGATTATTATCGAAGATGTTCCACCAGCTACCAGTAAACCAACAGTTTGCGGTAAAAATCCCAAGTTCGATGTAACCCTATGCATAAATGAGCTATTTTTCAAGTGGTGATTTTCCACTTCGCCAGTGTCAGAGTGAACTCTGGTGGTGTCCTCCATGGCGTTTTCACCGGGGGTTATCCCTTTGAGGACTTGCAGCGCGCGCGTGATGCCCTGCACTCCAAGTGTCGGAGACTTCACGGTGCAGGGGGGGGCGAGCAAAGCGTAGGCAAAACACAAAGATAAGTTCGATCCTTGAAGAGATGGACGACTGAAAAATCATCTTATATATCTTACAGTACATCATCTTACATCTACTCCAACATGATCTTACATTAACATACATTCACCAACATTAACCAATATTCTCCAACTTTCTCCCCAGTTTACTCCCGGTTTGTTGCTCCTTACCCTTGGGGGACGAGTCCTCCAAAGCCTTGAGGCGATGTCCCGCCCAAAGGACCTGCACCAAAGGGTGGATCCATGGAAGTGTGGAGCCAGATCCTTTGGTTTAAAGGTGTTTAAAGGAGAATATATATATATATGTATATATATATATATAACAACCTGGTTTTGCTGGAGATTTGTTTTTGCTGTCCAAATTGGAAATCCACTAATTACGACTAGGGAATCCATGCTGTAGGAACTTTTTTATTTTGTGGGGTTCCTTAAGCAAATCCAAGACGAATATGGCCTTACTTCGCGTGCTTGCGGGGAAGGGGGCCGGCCAAAGAGAAGATCAGTGGCCTTACCTCACGTGAATGAGTCAAATTTGTCCATATATGATATGATTTGATGTAATATCCATATATATATATATGTAATTACACACACATATATAGTAATATGTACCATACATTGATTTTTGTTGTTTGATCCCATGTCGTGATTCTTTATGACCAGATCAGAAGTCAAAGCTTTGGCACGCTTGCCCACAGCAAGTACTATTGCAACATGTGCAATTTGACCTACCATCTGGCCATCTGGTTATGACTAACATAGCCGTGGAAAATCACCATGCTATTAATAGGTAAAGCATCTATTTCAATGGGCCATCTATACCATGGCGAACTAACTGTTAGTCATAGCCAGAGGGTATATAGTGTGTTGAGAACTTGCGTGATTGTATTCATGGGCTTGGGACCCCAAGATATCCCAAGATCATGTGGCTGACAGGGTTTTCTTCATGTCCAAAAAGGAGGAGACACAGATGGGGAACCCCCAGGGAAACCTGAAAAACATGGATCCGTTAAAAAATCACGCAACGTGGTGGTCAAATACACGGTTGTTTATCCCCCTGAAAAAGGTGTTGTATCAACAAAAGCAGGAGATATGAGTCATGATATGAGCCACCATTTTAAGGCTTTCTCACAAGACCAAATTCGCAGGGTCGGCCAAGCAGGGTGCCATTTCGCTGTGAAGGACGTCGTTGGGTGCCACCGATCCTGATGAGCGTTCCTACCTCAGACAAAACGACACCTCAAAACAAACCGAACAACTTGAAAACATGAATTTTCCATTTCCGTGCGTCAAAGGTTCTAGACTGAAAACATGAACCCATAAAAAAAACACCTTTTCTAAATAGTTCACATTTAGTTCTCAATAGTAAAACCCATAAAGAAAAACCATCAATGGTTTTACTATTGAGAACTAAATGTGAAGTAAATGTGCTATTGGGGTTCTTGGAAAGCGAGATCCCAATCATTCACCAGGATGATATGACAACCAGTCGAATGTAGATGGTTAGACCTTTTTAATGGTGATTTAATGGGTTTTAATGGGATTTCATGGTGGTTTAATTGGTTTTTATGGGATTTAATGGTGATTTAATGGTGATTTAATGGGTTTTAATGGGATTTAATGGTGATTTAATAGATATACCCTCTGGTAATTTGTGACAGTGTGCTATTGAAGCCATGGCCCAGTCGAAATAGTGGATTTACCCAGCTAGATAGCATGGTGGATCTTTCCATAGTTATGTTAGCCCGTTTACCAGGCCGGGTAGATGGTGAGACCTTTTTGGTGATGCTTGCACTTCATGACTGCCACAGGACATTTTTGTTGTTGCATAGGATATTAAAACAGATATGTTTGCACATGAACAATGGCATGCGAGGTTCTCATATTGGAAGTATGAGGATCTCTGTACCATAGATGTTTTGATGTTTGGTCCATCTTGATCCAGTGCAAACCTGCACCACTGTCACAAATACC